TGCCTACCGATACTCCGAGATAGTTGAGCACTAGAGCGTCTCATGTTTATTAAGAGAACCAGATAATCCTGTCTGCCATGAGAACCATAGATGGTTTGTTCGTGATACACTAGAAACAGTTAAAGAGGGACTTAAATCAGAAAGATATAAACCAATAAAAATTGTATAAAACATGCTTAAGCTTGTCGTAAATTACAAGTGTCATAAAAAGGCACAGTTTCAGAAGAATTTAGTTAAAGCATTGCTTGGTTTCTTTGATTTTAAAAATATAAAATTCGAAAGCAGAAAAACCCGTTGTCGGTCCATTCTTCCCGTAAGGCACTTAAGCGTAAGGCACTAGAACGCCGCATGTTAACGCTTCGATAGGATATTTCATGTCATGCTCAAGCAGACTGCGCATGCGCAGATGATTTCTCTGGAAATTTGTGACTGAGCGAGCTAATTACTCTACAATTGCTACTAGTTGCTCGTTTGCCATGACCATGAACTTGGAGAGTTGGTGCAGTTGACTACGCATGCTGAGATTAATTTTCAATTAATTTGTAATGGAGTAAGCTCTGGAATTGCTGCCTGTATATGCGCTTAGCAAATTTTCAATCATTTATTTTTGGCACGCTCTTTGCTTTGACTTAAGCTTGTTTTCACAAATGCATATCAAACTCATCAACACTTGTTACGCCACTCGTAATATCTTTGACAATATTAGAGATATTGTTACTTTCCTCCATAACATTGTATCTTTATATTTTGTCCATAAACATTGCTCTAATATTTATGACAGATGTCGTAATTCGTGGATTTAGGTAAAAGAAATACTTGAAAATGAAACTTCCGACCGTGAAACAAACTGAAGCGGGACAGAGGAGAAATAACGACGCCTAAGGCTGAAGTAAGCTTGATGAAATTGAACGTAGTTCAAGCACATACTGTACGCTAAAGAGTTTTGGATGAGGACTCGTGGACCAATGAAAACACAAATGATTTGAAGCATGTTGACGATAATAAAAGCTCTAGCAAGGTCGAAGCTCCAATAAAAAAACAAAGTCTATTAATAACAACGAGTCTACTAAAGATATGTTCAAAAGAAATATCGATGAATCACATATACAGTTTGGAAGCTTGTTGGCTCAGGTATTATATAGTAGTGGGAACTGTTCATGATGTTGCTGAAGATATGTAAAAATAACTACCCGACTCTTTCCTTTAGGACGAGGAATCTGATTTCGAAAGTGAAGAGGAAGTAATCACCACAAGAGATTTGCAAGAAGATTGAAAGTGTACTCTGCAAGCTTTCTATATACAGATGGAGTATTGTAAGAAAAGTACTCTAAATAATATTATTGACGAGAGATATTACAAGGACCAACAGAGAATGTGGCGGCTTCTCCGTAAGATTGTAGAAGGATTAGTTCGCGTTCATTCACAGGTAGAAACTTCGATTATTTTATGTGTTAACTGTATGTATGTGTAACTAAACGTGAAAAAATGTGAACAATTTTCGTTGAGCTCGATAAGTACATAAAAAGACTTATTAGTTTCTATTTTTCTGCAATTTTTGCCAATAGGGTACGTTTCAAGTAAACGCGTTTCGACATTTTTGGTTCTCTATTGTTACATTATTTAGTTGTTTTTTTTAAGAAAGTCAACTAATATCAAGGAAAATGAGTTTGGTCTTTGGATCAATTGCAAAGTTCGTTTTGGATTTCTAAGTTCCTTTTCATTGAATCGCATTGCCATAAAGAAAGTTATCCTTCTCGGAATATATATTTGTCAATAGAATGATATCCATGCTTGAAAACTTCCTTGAAAAAATGAAGATCATGAAGAAAAACAAACCTTAAAGTGACGTAGAAATTATAGGTACTGCCTTTTAATGTCCTATACTTTGTAAAGATGTGTATATATATCCGGAGAACGGTAACCAATGCTCAGCACAGCACATTCTTAGGCATCCTTTTATCTCTCCAATTCCATGTCGCACGATTTAAGCAATCACATCACTTCAGATAAGCTTGACGCTGAAAAAGATCAAGGGAGAAATCAAAATGGCTGTGATGATGGAGTTGAGTCTCCTGATTTGATGCTTATTCCTTTTGGCTACACTACGAGAAATTCAAGAGTTCGGAATGAATTTCAGGTGTTCCAAATGCTTGAAAAAAGGAGAGTTTGCTTGTCAAGGTAACTTTTTATTACATGCATCGTTTAAATAGTCGCGGAAATTTGGTCATGTGAAGGAAATTTTGTACGTAATTTGGAAATGCTTTATATACGCTTAGGTGCGTGATAAATTGGAAGGCTGTCTCTATGCAACCAGGAGAATTTCTTTGAGTCCGAAAAGTGTGCTGTTTGATCGCAAAAATTAATTGAGAAGAGAAGTTACTTTCAAGATTGAATCATGAAAATATTGTAAGGTAAAAATAAATTTACTATCCAAGATGAATCAAAATTTTATAACATAAAGGGTGAAAGCGAGTTTTAATTTAGAAGATACAAATTGCTTGGCTTATTAAATGTTGTCTTTGTAGAAACTTTTATAAAAATTCAGATAGTCCCTTTTTTCCATGAAGCCCATAGATGCTTTTCTTCATGATGAGAAAGTTACATTGTAAAACGTAACTAGTAAAAAACGTATAATCTTGTTTAGAGTTTGTTTGAATTATAAGTGAAAAAAGAAGAAGTTGTTTGAACCTTTGCAGTGTCCTTTGATGTTCTAGTTTCTTTTATGAGAAGAATTCTTGTAAAGAAAAAGACAAATTTGTAAACAAAAAATCTCGTTTTCGGTCCATACCTCCACATAACCCGAGATAGTTTAGCACTAGAGCGTCACATGTTAATTAAGGGAACTAGATATTCCTTGTTTGCCAAGAAGCTCATAGATGGTTTGCTCGTGATACGTGAGAAACAGTAAATGGGAGAGTTAAATCAGAAAGATATAAACCAATAAAAATTGTATAAAACATGTTTAAGGTTGTTTTAAATTATCAGTGTCATAAAAAGGCACAGTTTCAGAAGAATTTAGTTAAAGCGTTGCTTGGTTTATTTTATTTTGAAAAGATAAATTTTGAAAGCAAAAAACCCCGTTTTCGGGCCATGCTTCCCGTTACCTTCTTAATCTCAAGGCACTAGAACGCCGCATGTTAACGTTTCGGTAGGAGATTTCGGCCCCTCCACGCTATCCTTTTTGGGAGATGCCAATAGCAGGTTTCCGTCCATCAGACGCCGAGATCACCTGCGATAGGGGTACGCGGAGAGAGTGCGGTCGCGACCGAAGTCTGGGCTCCTAAGCCACTGCATCCTATATCGCACCCAGCTTCCACTGCTAGTTGACATCTACTATATGAAATTAAAGATTTATATATATATATATATATATATATATATATGAAGTTTATAATTTATGATTTTCCGTATAAAACAGTGCTCGATGCCCGAGAGCAGAGCGTAAATATTGATAAGAAGAAGAAAATACATATTTATATATACATGAATTCAAAGGCTTACGAAAGTTGTGGTATGATTGACATCATTATTACCACAAATGTAGTGCAAGTATATATAGTTAGTCGTTGCCATGACTTTGAACAATTAGTTGAGTGGATTGCGCATGCTTAAGCGCATGCGCAGATGATTTCTCTATTAAATTGCTACTAAGCATTCTATTTACTTCAAAATCAGTGCTATTAGATGCAATTGGTCGTTGCCATGACCATAAACTTGGGCATCTGGTCAAGTCGACTGCGCATGGTCAAGCAGTCTGCGCATGTGCAGATTATTTTTCTGAAAATTTGTGACTGGGCGAGCTAATTACTCCATAATTGGTACTAGTTGGTCGTTTGCCATGACCATGAACTTGGGCAAGTTAACTGCGCATGCCCAAGCAGACTGCGCATGCGCAGATGATTTCTCTATTAAATTGTTACTAAGTATGCTATTTACTTGTAAATCGGTGTTATTAGATGCAATTAGTCGTTGCCATGACCATGAACTTGGGCAGCTGGTCAAGTCAACTGCACATGCACTAGTAGATATCGCACGCGCAGTGGATTTTTATGAAACTTTGTGACTGAGCGAGCTAATTACTCCATAATTGGTACTAGTACATACAGCTGGTTGTTGCCATGAGCATGAACTGAGAGTGTATGTGAAGCTGACTACACATGCTCAGATTAATTCTCAATTAATTTGTGACGGAGTAAGCTCTGAAATTGGTGCTTGTATATGCGCTTAGCAAATTTTCAATCGTTATTTTTGGCATGCTCTTTGTGTGCTTGAGCTTGTTTTGACAAATAGATGTCAAGCTTATGAACACTTTGTTACGGAACTTGTAATATTAGTGACAATGTTAGAGATGTTTTTCATTTTCTTTTGTTGAGTTTCTCAGGTAAGGATTTAACGAGACAACAGAAAATTCCGACCGCAAGTACGTGTTGAACAGGCCAACGGTTGCTAGCAATGAGAGTAATGGCCAGGCCCAGCCGTTGTTTAATATGGAGATTGTTAAGAAGGAAAAAACTTTGAAAAATACAAAAGGAGATACGAATCACATATGATTACGAAAGTCACGCGGATGTACTATAATTAAACTTGGTTCACACTAGTCGTATGAATCGGCGACGTATTTACACCGATAGATATGATTTGTCAGGGATGCGATTTTTATTCATGCATTGATCTTTATGTTCTAGTCTTTGAACTGAGCACTGCTAGGTTTGTAGATACGCGGAAACTCTTTTTTGATTTCCATAAAAGAGCAATCATCGCCGTTTTGAGACTTGGTAGCAACTAGCAAGATAGAGGCATGCAATTCCACTCCTTGGTCATCCGCCATTTTGAAAATTCGCGAGTGTCGGTTTCTGGATTTCATGTTCACACATGACGTAATTTATCGTACAAATCCCTGATTGGGGCGCAGTTTAACTGGGACATCCTAATCAAATAGAAACCATTCTTATTTTTCGGATATTTATGAATCTGACGCAGATTTTGTGGGATCTCGTATTTGCCATGTTCATAAATTCATTACTAGGATGGTCGCATATGATGATACAATACGGTTTTCGCGACTCTTACGACTAGTGTGAAGCAGGCTTTACTATAAATCTACGGTAATTACTATATGTTTACGGTAATTACCATTCAGGTCATTGGTTGTAAAATATAATTAATTTGAGGAGATTTCCCCAAATTCCCATCATTTTTCCCATCCAGGTAATTTATACTGGTCAGTAGCGGAAACACCAATGTAAATAAATGGCGAGTTTTTTGAATATTAGTTCGTAGAAGAAGGCGAGGTTTAAATATTTATCGAAGTCGTTCAAGCATCAGATTGGCGATGTTAGGTGTAAGATATTTGCAGTTAACATTAGCAATTTTAAAACCAGACTTAATCTCGCATCCTGTTCATCTGAAGGTTCGTAGAAACCTCACATAATTTGCCTTGTCCCGACTTGTCCATGTGAGGACCATGTCCCTTTATGAGATTTTTGTTTTGTGTTTGTTGTGTTGTAGTTGTATGCTGTTCTTTTCAGCTTGTTATGGAAAAAATACTGAAAGAAAATTTCTTCATTGTGCATTGGAAACTAGTGCAATGGAGTAGAGAAGATGCCGAACGATTCTATCAAGAACACAGAGGTCGAATAAAGAATTTATATTTATATATAAAATATAAATAGTTCACTGTTCATTTTAAAATTTGTCACTCGTGTCAATTTTAATTCGAATAATTTGTAAAAGGCCTTTCTTTTTCTTTTTAGACAAGTTTTTCTTTCAACGTTTGACATCTTACATGAGCAGGTTAGCCCAAGGCCTAAATATGTTTATATTTGTGACAGTTAGACATTTGAGACATATAATGAGCAATTTTACGGACATGTTTGTGACATTCACAATGTAACTCTGTTGTTATTCTGGGCTCAAAGGATAGAAGACTAACTGTGTATGAAAACATATATCCTCTTGTCATGAAAGTATGGTTTTTGTACACCCGAGATCTTGTCATACTTTTCAGACTGACATATGCTGTTATAATTTTTCACCATCTTTGTCTGAAACACAAAGGCAAAGATCTATGTCATGAGGGTGATCTAAAAAAAATGGAGGTTTCTATGTAGTTTTAACTTCCACATGTATAAAACTCTGTGAACGTTGGTCATGGCAAAGTAATCAAAAACACATGAAATACAACATCCAATTATGCCATAATATGTACTAGAACAAAAAACTGCTCACTATTTTTTGATTTTGTCTGTGTGGGTGTCCCTGTAAGAAGAGCGGGGGGAGCTCCAATCAATAAGAGCAATCATCAGGGGGGGTAGCATGAAACTAGGACAAGGTTACCTATCATTTGTTCAGTTCCTTCTTTGTAGGAGATATATTTTTAAATGACGATAAATTTTCATTCTATTTTATATCCTCACAGTGATTTGATTATGCCAATGGTAATGGCTAGAGTTGATGCTATTCAACATTGGAGAAAATTGATGGGACCTACAAAAGCAACAATGTACGTATGAAACAACATTAAATTCCATTCTTCACTCTCCTTCTTTGGTACACAATAGCAGTACACTTTATTCATTTTATTAACAGCACGAAAATGTAAAATTTGATGTAGTTTTGTTAATTATTTAAGAAATAAAAGATGTTTACTGTGTTTGCACAGGCTTATGCAAACCAAGAAGACCTTTGGGAGAACTCGAGAGCTGATCTGTCAAAGACCAAAGATCGAGGGTTACACATGCTCAAGAGTTCTCACAAACGTCTCCAAAGTTTGCATAAGCCTGTGCAAACATGAAAAACATCTTTTATTTCTTTTATAAAATAACAATAATGCGAAACAGATGAATTTATAGGAAATGTTTTAATTTTTCCTTTTAAATGTATTTATGATCGATTTGCAAATTCTCTTTGACTGGTTGATTGTTTTGATTGATTTGATTTTTGATTGGTTGAGCTCAGATGTGTTTTGCACAGGCTAATGCAAACATGGCTCTAGATCAATCACTGCACATGTTTCATTGTGTTTATTTTATAAAGATACTCGAATTTTGTCTGTAGGGCAAAGTTCTCTCATCCTGACAGCATTCGTGGATTATTTGGTATCACAGATACAAGAAATGCCACTCATGGTGCAGGTAGCTACTATTTTTATATTGAATAATGCTTGTTTGTAGATGTAGATTGTCCAGCTTAGTGGAGACCTCGGAGAAAGACTGTTGGTGTTGATGTTGACTAACATTTTGACATCCTTAGCAGTAATGATCTTCAAAGTCAGTCAACTCAGGACTCCACTCAGTGGGGTGGTGAAACTTCAAAAGAACAACAAATGGACAGCATTTAAGGGGCCTGGGGTTAAAACCATAAAAAACTTGCTGTACTTAGTGTGCAACTCTTCATCAGAAATTGCTTTATTGAACTGTTGTGTATTTAATATTTTTTATAACTTTTATTCATTGTGTAAGATGCAATTGGCATGTGAAGATTGATAATTTGGAAGGGGGACTGGGGGAGATTTATATTCATACATGCATGAAATGTAGTGTCAAATTTCTTTAAAATTCATAGTTTTCAATGGGTTATAACATGCATATGTATGAATATGAACTCCCTAATTATCGATCAGCCTACTCCCTTGTTAGGGGCCCTTAATACCAAGGCCAGCACCTCCCCCCCTGACTCCACTAACCAGGATAATGTGCATCTACAGAGATGTAACAATACTCCTGAGTTCAAAAGCATTCACTTCACCAAATGGTACATTGAAAGATCTTTTTCATAGTCTTTATTTTGAAGTATATAAAATTGTTTTATCAGCTCCAAATTGTCTTGTGATGTTTAACCTAAGTCTATTCATCCCTTGTGTTTTAGATTCTGTGGAAACTGCTAAGAGGGAGATCGAGTTTTTCTTTCCGGAGTTCAAATATGATGAATGGTTGGAGAAAAATGAGGAAAAAATTCAAAATGGACAAATTATCTATAATGAAGTATCAAAAACACACAAAGTTTTCGAGTGACTTGATGTTCAATGTAAAAGATTATTTTGTGATGGTATTGATGATTTTATGGGGAAAAGTGGATATTTTAACAGCAAATGGATGACAGAAGAGCTCAAAGTAAACTCAGACTCAGGTACGTAAGCGTGTTATTAATATAAGAAGATTGTCTAATGGGGATATATTTTACTATGAGTGAGGTCATCAGTGTGCCAAAAGGCTTTCTTCAGCTGTTGCTTAAGGTTGTCTTACGAGTGGGGATTTATATTTATTCTATGGGTGAGGTCATCTGTGTGCCTGAAGGCTTTCTTTAGCTGTTGCATAAGATTGTCTTACCGGGGGGGCTATATATGTTTTTCTATGGTTGAGGTCATCAATTGCTGGAAGGCTTTCTTCAGCTGTTGTATATTTTTATCAATTATGAGTACGTTATTGTACATGTTTGTAGATCTAAGTGGATATTCAAGGATAGTGCAGTCCTCCGAAGGATTCTTGCTGTTGGTGTTGATCGACATCATTAGCAATGGTCATCTTCAGAGTCAAATAATAAGTAAATGTCAGTTACATTGTATTTGTTGTCTGGTTCATACATCACAAGTGTGAAGACGACTAATGCTATGAATGTGAGTCCATCAACGCTACGTAAAACCGCCAGTCCTTCCCAGGACTTTACTAACCTGCGCGATCTACATCTACAAACATGTAATGATACTCTGAATTCAAACCATTTACTGTAATAGCTACATTATCTTTCAAACACTTCATTTCTATTTCTCCTGAAACAATACAAGTGATTTCGACCACGCTAAAGTGGGAGACAATGGAGGACAGTGGAGGGTTGCTAATTACGTACGAAGCATGAAGACTAAGACAAAGTTTGTGTCTTTAAGTGTATACATATTCCTCCCAATAAGTTCACTGTGGGATGAAATAAGTTCAGTGTAGGATGAAATAAGTTTAGTGTAGGATGAAATAAGTTCAGTGTAGGATGAAATAAGTTCAGTGTAGGATGAAATAAATTCAGTGTAGGATGAAATACGTTCACTGTAGGATGAAATAAGTTCACTGTAAGATGAAATAAGTTCACTGTAGGATGAAAGAAGTTCAGTGTAGGATGAAATAAGTTTAGTGTAGGATGAAATAAGTTCACTGTAGGATGAAATAAGTTCACTGTAGGATGAAATAAGTTCACTGTAGGATGAAATAAGTTCACTGTAGGATGAAATAAGTTCACTGTAGGATGAACTCTTGTCGTCTTTTACGTTTCTCGCACTCATTTGCCTTTGCCTTTCCTGGCTTATGTATGCAACCTATAAACTGAATGGTTTGAATCCGGGAGTATCGTTACATGTTTGTAGATGTAGATCGTCCAGATTGGTATAATCCTGAGAAGGACTGTTTTTGTTGTTGTTGACTGACTCTGAAGATGACTACCGCTATAATCTGGATTATTTCCTGTGGCACATAACATTTGGTTTCAAATTTTTGTAAATAACTGATTCAATAACAGCCTCCTGATGAAAACAACATTTCGTTTCTAGTGTGCGCGAGTTTGCATTTTAGACGCCTCTCTCTCATAAACGCCCAGTCTCTAATAGACGCCTCCTTCACATTAATTATAATAATATCAGTAATATACTTACTACAAAGACTTCCAGTTCTCTGTTGCTCATTCATCACTACCTACACTGACTCGCGTTATCTTATTTTTTATATATTTTAGATAGTGTAAAGACTGTTCTCGTTCTGTTTTGTTCATTAATCACTACCTATACTGACACACGTTATCTTATTTTTTATATATTTTAGATAGTGTAAAGACTGTTCTCGTTCTCTGTTGTTCATTCATCACTACCTACACTGACACACGTTATCTTATTTCTTATATATTTTAGATAGTGTAAAGACTGTTCTCGTTCTCTTTTGTTCATTAATCACTACCTACACTGACACACGTTATCTTATTTTTTGTATATAATAGATAATGTAAAGACTGTTCTTGTTCTTCTGTTGTTCATTCATCACTACCTACACTGACACACGTTATCTTATTTTTTGTATATTTTAGATAATATAAAGACTGTTCTTGTTCTCTGTTGTTCATTTATCACCAATTTGTCTACGGCAGAACCTTCCAGAAAACGACAACTGTCGGCGGACGATGATGTTTTGACCACTCAAGATTGTAGTCAAGGATCAGATGCCGATCAACTGTTGAACCAGCAGACGAGTAAACAGCAAAATGTTGTAAGTAGCGACTACAAAAAGAGCGCCACAAATAACGGCAACAATGATTATGAAGGGAACGTCTTTGAACATATCGATCAACACGAAGATTTTCTGCAGGTGAAAATTAAATAGGTTATGAATGACGATGAAAAACTACTGGGGAAAATTATAAATTCTCGTTGGTTGACTAATCTGGGAGATGAAAGTCTTAACTTAATACTTAATAACACCGGTTAAGTGCGATCGATTCATCACCCCAAAAGTCAATCCATTAGCTAACGTATATGCAGAAGTCTCGACAGAGAAACACGTAACAAAGACTTATAGCTGTCTTATTTGCAGACTGACTCAACAAAGGCTGGTGTATTGTCTCTAAAACAACAGATATGTTTTTAACAACTTAGGCAGAGTACAATAATATACAAAGCCTATATCTCAAGAACATGGACGTTCTTGATATCATAGGCCATATCAGTTGTGATTTGGCTCAACGAAGACGCGATGGTATTCGCCCTACGAGTATTGTTAATGTGAACTACTTCTTTGATTTTAATTGGAATGCAGCATCTGCAGTATCGATGATTTTAAATCAAGGAGTATGCCACTGTGTGCTTCATATTTACTGATGTGCAGAGCAGCCAATAATCAGTTAACCACTTTGCTTTTCGGTGACGAATTGCAAACGAAAATGAACCAGATACGAACATAGAATAGAACTAAAAACAAGGCGAGTTGTGCTCATTTTCCATCCAGACGAAAAAACGCCTCTCATCCAGCACCAGCAAAATTGAGCCCGAAAACAGAAGTCTTTTGATGGAAACACCCGCATCAGAGCGGCAAATCGCAATGCAAGTAAATATAAAGACAGCGGTTTGACCAAAATCATTTTGTGGATCAACAGAAACATCAGAGATGAGCATTTTGACAAAATTGCAGGTGAGCACATACACATACAATAATTTCAAGGGCAGATTCAGATCTGTTAAACAGGTTAGTATAAACCTGTCAGATTTTCAATAAAAATTTTAAATGAAGCTACTATTTAGAATTTATAGTTTTTCCTTCATGACATCATTCCAGTTAATGATATTATATATCAGTCAACGTATATCCATGGCGGGAAACATATGCAAACCTACAACTTTCGACAGAAAGTAATACGTGCGTACGTTCAATATGCTGACGTGCGTGTCTGCTGCAACATGACCGTCAGGCCTATGACGTAAGACTCCTAGCGCGCAATATTGCATCGAATAAATATATGTTATTTTACCCGCTCGGACGTCCGTGCAGAAAAATTTCACGAGGTCTCAAAGTGGCCCGAAGCCGAAGGCCAAGGAACGCTTTTGAGACCTCGTGAAAATATTTTTCCCACCCGACCTCCGAGCCGGTAAAAATAACATATATTTATTGTTTTTATTTCTATTATGAAGAAATTTGCGTTGTAAAATGGCCGATGGCCCAATGCAACTTGATTTTAAGACTAAAATTGAATTGTTTTCTGCAAACTTCGCTTCGTCTGGATAATAAAATTCACTCTTGCTGTGATAACTTTCATCTGAGTACACTTTGCCTACTCGTTAAACAATTTACAACGTTTTCGAATCAATTTTGAAAACTTGCCTTTCACTTCGCAAACAAAAACATTGCGAAGAAAATATCACTTTTGGCTCCATAGGTAAATATCGTAAAAAGCCGCGCGCTCAGGCAGCCAATCAAATTGCTGGAAGTCAAAAAGCATCGCTTTGGACTGATAAATAAATAAAAAATAAACAATTATTGGATAAGGTTGAGCATGATATCAAGAATGATTCAGACCGAGGTTAATGTTAACTGCAGAAGCGAAGCTGAGGTGGAAAAAATAGACCGAGGTCTGAATAATTCTTGATATCATGCAAAAACCAATATCAATAATTATTTTATTATTCACTTCATCATCATCATCATCATCGTTCACGCCACTGCTGGCACATGGCCTCCACAACTTCTTCCACTCGATTCGGTCTTTAGCTCTCCTCATCCAGGTCTTTCCAGTTTCCTCTTCGATCTCGTCTCTCCATCTTCTCTTTGGCTTTCCTCTTCCTCTGGTGCAGTTTCTTGGGTACCATTCTGTTGTCAATTTGGCCCATCTGTTGTTTTCCATTCTTGCCACATGGCCTGCCCATCTGCCTTTCATTTCTTTTCCTGTTTGGATGACATCTTTCACCCTGGTTCTCTCTCTGATTACTTCATTCCTGATCTTGTTCACTTCAACTGACTGAATTATTATTAATACATATCAATGTAAAGCATTTTTAAAACCTTCTCAGACGTTTTATTCAAGTTCTTCTCGTTTGAATATGTTGCAAACGTGTTCAAAGCCAGCTGGTGTTTTCCGCATCCTTTTTGTTCAAAAGCTTTTGCTGCGTCGTTTTTAGAAACTGTGGCTATTATTTGATTTTTTCAAAACCGACTTTAAATGGCGTCAATAATTGTAGAAACTATTATTTGTAAATACGACGTCTTAATTACAGATATCGAAAATAAACTGCAGGTAGTTGACCAATTAAGTGCATACGGAATAATATATTATTCGGTTTCCATAATCTTGTGCAAAGACAGTAAACAAATTTTATTTCTAGAATAATAGATGTACTCGAGCCTTAAAGTATAGCATAAAACGTTTGAAACTGGGAAAATATAACAAAAGGAGAGTTGAAAATGGCTTCAAGATAGTAAGCAGTTCATTCGAGTTAACCGTGTTTCAAGATATTATTCATAGCCTAGCGTAGGCAGGCAAAGGATTGAATTTATCGTTCGTTCTCGAGGTTTGTACCGTTTTCATTGTTATACTTGTAAAACAGTATAAGTATCATCTTCAAAAAATATTATTGTAAACTTGTCAACAATAATCCCACAGATTCGTGTTCCTGCTAATTTTTGCCGTCATTATTGGCATACCTTAAAGTATTAATATACAAAAATTTTAAATTTTTCAAAATTCAAAATGGCATTTTTATATAGTTAATCAAACTATTCTTGACTTATATTTTCTGTTTGTGTGGACGAATTACACCAGAAATTTAAACTTTTCTTACGTCCCTTCGGCCATTGACAAAAATATATATCTCCAAGAAAGAGTTATACGCACAGAATTTATAAGTTATAACCACCTTCTCTGTTGACACGCTTGCCATTGATTATTTTTCAGCTGTTTCAGCCGAGACATTTTTAATTTCTAGTTCAAACTAAGAAAAAAATTGTTTTAAATATAGTGTTGTTATTTGGCATATATGCTAAGGAACAATACCGATTGGTTCAACTTTAGTTGTATGAAATATTACACGTAGCCCTTCTGGTGATTTTCCTAAAGACCTGTATTAAGCGGTCAACCTGTATTAAAAGGTCACAAGACAAATCCCCAAGGGTTACCGCTTAATACAGGTTCTACTGTCGTACACTAAAAATTCAATATGGAAGACCGTGTAGATTATAAATAATACTATACGTTGTATTGCATTGCAATAGAGTTACTTGATATAAAATTTTATATAAGTTAGCAAGTTACTTTAGCTTATGAAATAAGCATGCCATGAACTACTTCAGGATGACGTCTTCTGGATTAATGCTCCTTTTCCTTCTCTGGTGTCTGTTCTGTTTTAGTCATCACTATATTCATGCTGATCAGAAACCTCGAACTCTCTCTTGGGGAATATTTTACAAGTATGATCTATGGTTCTTTGAAATGTCCATGCTTCAAAGTCTTCTGGAAGCCTTCATCTCAGGAATCGCTTTGAAACTTAGTGGTAAATCCTTACAGATATTTTCATTTGATGGTAAAATTTTGATGATGATAACTTTGTCCCAACTAGTGGGAACAATCTGCTCAAATGCGGCCATTTTTATTCACAGTGTGAGCATTCAAAATATTTTCTCCTGCTTTGCGCCCATCATGGTGTACATCTTAGTCTTTTTTCTTGACAACCAAGTGAAGAACACTAAAGCAATCCTTTTTAGCTTAACTCTTCTCAGTCTTTCTCCTTTTTTACTTGTCATGCGCAGTGACAATCTTTCATTCACCAAACCATCCATCATTCTAGGAATTATTCCACTAATTACGCGACCTTTAAGGAATATCTACTTTAAAGCACTCAGCGATGGCGAAGAACAATTTGTACAAAAATGCTTTTTGGTTTCCTTTATATCTTTTTTAATTACCTTACCACTTGTTCTAATAAAGTTAGCTTATACTTGGATTTTTCCTTCGTTAAAACTAGATATGGTTCTCCGAGAAACATCGTTTCACCTTTTTAACAATTCAATTTCGTTTTTTTCTGGAGAAATTTTCACCTTTGTTTCAATCATTTCTTGGGTCGCTCATAAGATATTTTGTTGTAATGATAACGTTTAATCTGTCAGATTGTTGCTTTCTTTTTTCAATTATAACGATTTCGCTGTGTCTTGTTGGTGTTAGTATATTTTTCATGAAATGGAAAGGCAACTCGAAAGCGAACGATATACGAAAACATGTAGTGAAATATTCTGTTCTCCTTAATGTCGTCTTCGGTTTTTACACTGTTTGGAATGGGACATAGAAAGTGAACATTGATGCAACGAAACTATATCCTCAAAGTTACTTTAATGTATTACTGCCCGCGAACAATTCTCGACATCTTCACCAACGAAATGGAAAGCTTACCTTTCATGCAATATTCACCACTTCACCGCAAAGTTTTATTAAAGTAATGGACGAAAGTCGTTTAATCTGTCAGATCGTTGCTTTCTTTTTTCAATTATAACAATTCCGCTGTTTCTTGTTGGTGTTAGTATATTTTTCATGAAATGGAACGAAAACTCGAAAAAGAACGAGATTCAAAAATATTTAGTAAAATACTCTGTTCTCCTTAATGTCTTCTTCGGTGCTTACATCATTTTGGATGGAAAATGGAGGATTTTTACAAACAAAACAGAAAAACTATATCCTCAAACTCATTTTACTAACTTACTTCTTGGAAACAATTCTCGACATCTTCACCAACGAAATGGAAAGCTTACTTTTCATGCAATATTCACAACTTCCCCGCAAAGTTTAATTGACGTAATGGACGAAAGAGGCGGCAAGTCAAAAGTGCAAGGAGAGTTCAGTTGGCGTCATTGGCGCTGTGTGGAGTCTGTGTTTTATCATCATCCCAACGCGACCATGATCATCCATAGTAATACCCTGCATTTGTCCATGCTTGATGTCTTGAGAAAGAAAGGCTATGATGCACACGTACAACGTTACAAACTATCAGAACTGGCACAAGGTAAGATACATCAATCAATGTCCAAGGTTTATGTTTGGTATTTTGTTAAAGACTTAGGATTTTCTTTCATATTTTGTTAACATATGGAAGAAACTAGAACTGTGTTTTGAAATATCATCATAGTTCACAGTTGATCTTGTAGTTTAGTTGGTAGAACATTGAAGACAATGATTATCTTGTTAAAATACCTGAGTACATCATAACAACGTGACTCAATTTAATTAGCATATCCTATAAAACAGTATCTGTAAATTTCTGCTCACTGTCTTCCTAACTGCCACGAACATCAAACGTCGAAGCGAAACAAAGATATATTAACATAATATTTTTGAAAAGCGAGTGTGCCATTATAAATTGATCTTCGTAAAGTCTCGAATTTTTTTCATAGGAACGTCAGCCGTAGAATTCGTACGAGACGAGCTACCTTACGCCATGGAAAGACAAAATTGGTATAGCCATGAAACGGACCTAATCCGATTGCTTCTGTTATATAAATACGGCGGCATTTATATCGATACTGACGTCATAATAGTGAGAGACTGGCACGACCTACCCTCAAATGTTATTGGTTGGGAAAGCTCAGATACTCTGAATGGAGCAATTTTGAAATTCGACAAACCATGTCATCCCTTTCTACAGATGTGCATTGAGCAATTTTCGCGACACTATTCCCAGGCCTTGGCAGAAAACGGTCCTTTATTGTTGAGCCGCGTTTATCAACAATGGTCAGCAGTAAACCGTAGCAATGACGTCATATTAGTAAACAGCAACGTGTTTTATATGTTTTTTTATGGAGCGATTGCAAAAGAATGCTTTGAAGTGACTTTCGGAGCAATTTACAACGCAAAGATGAAGATATTGGAGGACGACGCTTACGCTGTGCATTTGTATTCTAAAATGACGGGTGCCTTTGGCATCAAAGGGGGGGGGGAAATAATTAAGAATGGGACAATATGTGAATATTTATTGAGTAGATTTTGTGTTTTATGCCATGAAAGTTAGAAAAGCTGTTATTACACTGAAAATACTGTATCCTGATTGGCAGAAAAGCATTGAAGGCCAAACAATAAACTTCTTTTCAATTCAAAAATAGAAATGGCGGCAGTTGAAAGTCAACAAAGATTTCGTAAAATTGCAATCGTTTGAAATTCAAGAATCACAAAGAACGCAAGGAATAAAAACAAAGAAAAATGCACTTTTTTAAGAGTGTATGTTTTTAACATTTAGGCCGCGTGTCGATGCTTTTCTAACGCGATAGATAGCGAGACAAGGTTGGACAGTACAGTCAAGACAGATTTTAAACAGGAGCGTAACTAGAACGTTAATTGAAGGGGGGGGGTTCTATTCATATAATCAGTTGTGCCTTTATAATATGTAGGATTTCTAGTCCGTTGCCTATTGCCTCAAAACATTTACTTTCGTAGCCACCATCGGGATGCTAAATTTTATGAACGGCATTCTATAGTTTTTGACATGCTGAATTCGAATTTCTTTGTTCCCACTCAACAAAACCCGCAGTTTTTTAGAATTTTGACGATGAAGATCGTTCCCATTTTGTTGTTTAGGCGACCATCTTTTACATGAAGTACTTCACATACCGCTGTTATTTTGAGCAGAGTCATATTACCGTTCATAAAATTTAGCACCGCAATGGTGGCTACGAAACTTTATTTCTAAGGACATTTTGATTACACAGGCAACGGACTATTCTAAAGAAATAAGTCAGTTACACCTGAATATATCAATACACACCCTCCCCACCCTCTATTAAAGTTCTATTAACGCCTCTGATCTCAAAGTTTATTATTATTAACTGAACCGATATAGATAACTTTACTTTTAAGAATGCTTATGTCTACTATGACAACAAAGACTTTGAATTATATTTATTCAATTTGTCTTATACCAACAACTTATAATTATTTCTGTTATCCCAAAGTGTCATTTTACACATATTTTATCCATCTGTTTTCTATGTTGAGCATGAGGGTAAATGATTTTTTGATTGTACAAACAACAACATTATACTGCCATTGTTAACAGCGTCTGCTAATGCGTGGTTGCTTATTTTTCCTTCCTTTTAAGTGCTGTTTTGGGAGCAACTAATAGAGATGGTCCATTCGGAATGAACCATGTAGAGTAGAAATTAGAATCAGTAACGTAGCCAGCCTGCAGATTTACTTCCGCTGTGTAAATTACGAAGGATTACCATTATTCATTTCTTTGTAGAAATTTATTGTTCCCAGCTGGCTACGTTACTGATTGGAATAGATGAGATATATGTCATTGGGGTGAAAACATAAAAGTATAAGCAGTACAAGTAAGAAATCTGAACCTGTGAAATCCAAACCCTCTAATATAAATACTAAATTATTTAAAATTATTAAAATTATTACAACTTGTAGATCTAAAGATCGTTGTTTGCGTGTAAGCGGCGACATGAATATCCTTCAACCTTCCTTATCAAAGTTAGCTACGCTACTGCGTTCGCGTGTTTGTTCAATGTGCCGTAACGTGACAAAAACTGATATTGTTTCCAAACTACATTTAACATGCAAGAGTAAAGTCTGACCTTGTGATTCCATCATTAATAAACCCAAGTGAAAACAATGTCTTCAGTAGGCATGAGATCTTAATAATGGAAAACGACATTCATCAAATATAAATTGAACGACAGTATAGTGAATCGTTAACAGACAGTGTTTGATATAGGTAATAAATGTAACGGCTATGTCAAGTAAGACTTCTATGTCCATTCTGTTCTATTCCGTTGTTTTCTGTTAACTACATTTTGCTGATTACATTAGTTTAGGCTGTTTTTCATATGCAGCATAAATCGTCAGAAACTCAGAATTCATTTGCTTTAATTGTTTTCAAAACTGGTTTCTCGATGACATAAGTCGTCTTTGTTTGACGTAATTCATTTGTCTCAATTCGTTGTAATTGATGCTTGGTCTCAGAAGTTTTGTTGTATTTTGTCGGAATTGAAGGGAATCACGATTTTCATTAAATTGAGGCTGTAATAAAACTGTCGTAATTGTCGTGAAAAACGAAAGATAAGATAATTATGATTTCGGTTTTCATACGTCAGATTGTGCATAACAATGACATACAACAAATTACGACATTGAATTACGACGAATTATGTTGTATGAAAACCAGTCTTAAGCTAACACTTGTTTCCAAAGTCTGTCATGCAATCCATTTATCATGTGTTTGCCATGGATTAGACATTGTAAACCATGTGACATTGCAGATATAAGGAACACAGCAGCTAAAGGAAGCCAGACAGATACTATTAAACGACGTACTGAGGTCGAGAAGAAACGTTCAAAAAAATTTCAACGAAAGCGTACCAAGCCTTTTGAGGTAAGCTATATATTTGGTTGATCTCATTGATTTTTAGATATTTTTACAATTGACTGTATTTCATTTCTTATTTCAAAGGTACGACAATGAAGATCCTGATAGCTGCCACAGAATAAGAATATACAGAAGAGTCACTCGTGTCGGAATCTTTGATGCTTTTGTCCTCGCGCATGTTGTGCCGCGCATAGTGGCCGCCATTATTCCAGTTGATTAAGGTTTTTGACTTTTTCCCAACCTTTAAAATGATCCGAAGTCATTTCTTAAGTCAAAATATACTTGAATTCATTATTTAGTATTGACGTCAGTAGTTATCGTGTAGCTTTGTCACACTTTTGTCACAGAGCTCTTACCTGTGCCAGTTAGTTTCCAGTCCCCTGAAGTTGATCGGTGCGCGCATGTCAACGGGAAACAGACTCAGGCGGGAAGTTGAGTGTAATAGGCTAATATGATAAACGGGAAATGAAACAGATGTAAATTAGAAGGATGCCATTGTTCCATATTGAATTTACTTCAGCGTTTATCATTGCAACAATTTCTTCAGCATAGCAGTCTAAAAGTTTATTTTCTAACAAACTTTGACGTACAGTTATTTTATTCTTTTCTGACTCCAAAGGCAATTTGTTCATTCTTAATGCCTCATCAATGTCTACATTCAATTCCATTTGTTTCAAGAGATAAAATGTAAACCTTTCGATAAAGTATAAGCTATAAAATGCAATTACCTCGTTTTCTACCGTTTTTACCTTCGATTGTGATAGGGAAACGGATCTAATGTTACTTTGTCAATAGCATGCAACTTCCAGCTTTGTCGTATTTCCGATTTTCACGCCATCCAATGCCATGCCTTGTTTATTAACCCCTATTTCCGGTTGACATGCGCGCGCACTGATCAACTTCAGGGGGCTGGAAACTAACTGGCACGGGTAAGAGCTCCGTCACAAAAGTGTGACAAAGCTGCATGATAACTACTGACGTCATGTAATTTTAATGGTTGGAAACAAGTGAGAAATCCTAAACATCTGGCTAGAATAATGGCCGACATGAGGACGCGTTGTACAACTGAGTGACTCTTCTGTATAATAATTATTCTGTGCATCTGCGTTATTTCTTGTGTTTTTGCTTGTCGCAATAGATGCTCGACATCATATTTTACACAACGAGGATAGCTTGGAACGAGAAGGCCGACAAATAGGTACGGATGCAAGTCATAAAATAATGTCAAAGCACTTTTTGGTGCTTTTACATCACATTTGTAAGAACACTCAGAACACTTGCGATTATTAACATGCTCAAATCTTATGCACGATTGCAAACACAGTTTGCTATTCATTATCTGAATTTTGTTAAACTGCAAACAAATACTTATACTTCAATAATTGTTTATATTGATTTGTTTTATACATTTCATCACATTTAGGATTATGTAGATGCAAGAATCGCCGCGATACAGGAAAATGTTTTTTCAAGTGCCCGGTTTATCTACGTCCTTGCGGAAGTTGCGGCAGCTTTTATGCTTGCTGTAATTGATGCTACAATGTTTGCCTTGGTGTTTTACCTCTATTGCTGAAGCATATATGTAGTTTCTAGGTGTACAGATATTTTAATTTCAAATAAAGAACAGCTCATTCATGGAGCGTCGTAAATTGTTCGTTCATCGCTACACATAGTATCTTACTCAAACTTACACCGGAATTCTATAATTTTACAATAGGAGTAACTCAATGACATATACGGCCAAATTTTTCGCATTTTTCACTTTGAGTGTTAAACAACTATTTGAGTATGTCCCTACTTGATGTTAATAGAAACTAAAGGCGCATCTCCACTAGACGATTTTTGTGACGATCGTCTTAAATTTTCGCGACAATATTTCGAACACGAATTATAGGACGATTTTGTTAGTCATCTCCACTCAGTGAATTCCATATATATATATCTGGAATGATAACGACAATACATTTTATAGATATAAAATTGAAGCCAAAGTCCTAGTCTCTTGCGTGGTTTGTACGTCAGTTCCAGTCCTTCAAAGTCGAATATTCACGCGGTTTGTACGTCAGTTTCATTCCCCTGAGTGCCAAACATACACGGCCAATATAAATTTGAATACAAATTGCAAAAGCATAAACATATAAACAACACCACGACAAACAACACACGAGGCCAACTCCTCGCAAAAGGTTATTTTTTACAGCTGAAACTTTACTACAGTGAGTTCGTTGTAACTTACAACTTGTAACGAGGAAAAGCCAACTGAAAATTACACTGTTTGCTAAAAAGACAATACAATAGAAAATATGACGAAAAAATATTCAAGCATAAATTTTTCTTTCGTCGGAAGGTAAACTTTCAAACGGTGTCAGACAGTGTTTGTCTTTTTTGTCATTTAAGTGGATTTAAAGATCTGTTTTTCCGAATAAAAAAGAAACTTGAATATCCAGTTTCATAAAAAATATTGAGTCTATAACTCGCATTTTTACTTTTTACAGAGCGATTGTATTTTTCATCGATTTTGATAGTGCTTGAAACTTGAAATACTAAATGGTTGTCATCTCGATATCAATAATTGAATATCCTTAAAGACTTTGATATGTTTTAAAGGAAAACCGCAGCGTAAGAGCAGATCGACTAAGTTCACCTCATCTTGCTTCTCGATTTATCACTTTGATTCACTTTCCGTGAACCTTTTCATTCCAAAAATTTCGTTATTTTTACGCTCTGATCAAGATCCGAACTCTACCATTACCAAGGGACAAATGATTTAAAAAAAATAAAATGAACACGCGAGGACTAGAGCCTGACGAGTGATGACGAATGATGACAACAAATATTTTTTTGGCTTCGGTTATCATTCCAATTATTCAAATGTCGAGTTCACTGTCTCCACTAGACGATTATTTCGCGGTGTTTTCCAATAAACAAAATGGCGTCTATAAATAAAAGATATATTCTATATTTGCTGCTTCGTAGAAGATATTTATTTCTTTACAATCTTCACCAAAAAATGCTCAGGGAGAACACCAAAACAAGAAAAAGGAAACGTCGATTTTGGATAAGAAAGCTGTACGAAGAAAGAAATGTGAAAGGAGAATATAAGTTATTGATAAATGATATGCGACTCCACGACCATGAAATGTTCTTTAGATACTTTCGTATGTTTCCAAAGACATATGAAAGTTTGCTAAAGTTGATAGGACCCGACATAAAGAAAGTTTCAACGAAAATGAGAGAACCTATTGGACCTGACCAAAGACTTGCAGTGACACTACGATATTTAACCACCGGTGATGCCTATTCAACTATTGGCGCTAATTATAGAATGAGTGCCACAACTGTTGGCAGAATAATCGATGAAACGTGCAATTCAATTTGGAATAGACTGAAGGAAGCAGGATATATTGACACACCTTCTGGAGTTGAAGCATGGAGAAAAATTGCCAATGAATTCGAAACTCGATGGAATTTTCCGAATGCACTTGGCGCAATTGATGGCAAACATGTGTTGATGTTTGCTCCTAATAATCAGTCATCCGCTTTCCTTAATTATAAAAAGACTCACAGTATTGTGCTCATGGCAGTATGTGATGCTCGGTACAAGTTTACTATGGTTGATATAGGTGATAGTGGACGGCAAAGTGATGGAAGTGTTTATGCTAACAGCAATTTAGGTTATGCTATAGAAAATAAACTCCTGAACACTCCACCTGATTGTCAAATTTCCAATTCTAATAAGGTTTTACCGTATGTTTTTGTTGGAGATGATGCTTTTGGTCTAAAAAGACATATGATGAAGCCATATCCATTCTCCAATCTTTCAGAAAGCAAGCTAGTTTTCAATTATAGGCTCAGTCGTGCAAGGAGGGTAATTGAAAACACATTTGGCATTTGTGCTAGTCGTTTTCGTGTTTTCCACAGGCCAATCATTGCAAAAGTACCCAAGGTTATTCCAATAACAAAAGCAGTGGTTGCACTGCACAACTTCCTGATGACTATAAATGAAACTGACAGAGAAAGTCACTATTGCCCAAGTACATTTGTTGACCAGGATGGGCCAAATGGTCTGCACCTTGGTGAATAGAGACAAGATGCAAATATTATGAATGATATAGCTTCTATTCAAAATGTTGGGGCTTCAAGAAATTATGGTGGGGAAGCTAAATGGGTTAGAGAACAGTTTGAACATTATTTCAACAATGAGGGTGCTGTTGACTGGCAATGGGACAAAATAGGCAAAGCAAAATAAATAGATTCTCGTTTTTTAATAGGACTTGGAAACAACTAATGAATAACATAAATTCATAAAATGTAGATAATTGTTAAGCTTTACAGGAATGTCATTATTTGGCTAAGCAACAGAATATCAATTATCACATATACAATGTTATTCATTAATTAACAATATTCTATATAGTCTATTTATGTAAGCTGTCAGGTTTTTTATATATGATGAGAAAAGAGAATTCATCAAAATGTTAAAATGAGTTTAGTAAATTGAGTTTTTCAAACCCAAGAAAAAGTTCAAGATAAATTGTAATCAATTCAAAGCAATGTTTAATCACTTTTATTATGTAATGAATTCTCATGATTCCCACCACATGTGAAATATTATTTTCAAAAAAATTTGTCAGACCTATGATGCTTGTTTTGAGGTCACCAACACAGAAATAAAATTCATGTTTAAAATAGGAAAAATTTTAAGAATATGTAAATACCAAAATTGTTATATTGTTAAAAACTGAATGCATATTTTATCTCATTGATCATCAAATTCTATGTCAAATAAAAGTTGTTGAATTTTAATTTTTGCTAATCTTAGCTTTTTTTTATCATTTGATGCTGTAGCCTCATCATCCGCAGACTCTTTGTTAACAATTTTGATTAGTTGATCATCCATTTGCTTGATTTGTTGCAAAAATGGGTCATAAGCACTTTTTTCAGATGAAGGTCTTTTACGCTTTTTTGAAGTATTTTCATCAATAGGTCTTTCAGGTGTCGGTTTTGTTAGAGTACACGGACTTGCAGGTACCGATAATGGTGACATAGAGCAAGCTATCGGTTGAAATGGTGATGTGGAAAAAGTTGATATAGCAGGGGAAAAGCATCTGATTGATCCTCAAAATTACCAGTTTCAATTACATGGCTGAATTCTGCAGGTGATATGTCAACATTGCTATGAGTTGGCAAATTGGAAGTTTTCTCTTGAAGAAAACGCATCACTTCAAAATATTCGCATGTAGGTAGACATCCTGCAGGAGCACCTGATCTGGTCATGGCCCTTCTTTTGTCCAGGCATTTCTTTAAAGAATCTTTTAGATTTTTATAAATTTTCTGTAGGAATGCCACTAAAAAATAAAAATTCAAAAACAAATTACCAAATGTCATCAAACACATATGAAGAAGACTTGAATCAACTAGAATAAAAATATATGTTGTCTCGAATGAAAAAAAAAGTTGAAATAGGCCACAACTCAGAAAGGCTGGCAGAAAAGAACTGTGTAAGTTAGACTAGGGATTCATTTTGGACTCACAGCATACAGACCCAAAGGAAATTTTTTGGTTTCATGCAGACACCAAACATCAACACAGTTCATTGACAACCCTCCATTTTCATGTGTAACAATTACAATCCTAGAAGTATTTTTGTAGTAGGATATAGTTTGACTTTGGCATGTAAATAGGCAAAGGAAAACTGCAAAAATGGAAGAAACTCGTACCTTCTTGATTAAACAATGATGACAATGCATTCCATGCATTCACTTTCATATTACGATTTTTGTAATTGGGATCACTGGTATCCCACAAGCATTTATATTCTCTTAATGCTTGGAGAAACATTTCTTTGTCAAAGGTATTGCCTTCCACAGAAAAATTGGACTTTTGAGACTGACTGTCCACTTCTGATGAGTGTGGAAGATCTGTAATAATTAACTCAACTTCTGTTGTTTCTTCTTTACTAGTAGCTATGTTGAAATCATTAATATGAACTGCTAGGTTGACCCAGTGAACTCGACATTTGAATAACTGGAATGATAACCGAAGCCAAAAATTGAAGCCAAAAAAATTTTTGTCGTCATCATTCGTCATCACACGTCAGGCTCTAGTCTCTCGCGTGTTCGTTTTAATTTTTTTAAATCATTTGTCCCTTGGTAATGGTAGAGTTCGGATCTTGATCAGAGCGTAAAAATAACGAAATTTTTGGAATGAAAAGGTTCACGGAAAGTGAATCAAAGTGATAAATCGAGAAGCAGGGTGAGGTGAACTTAGTCGATCTGCTTTTACGCTGCGGTTTTCCTTTAAAACATATCAAAGTCTTTAAGGATATTCAATTACTGATATCGAGATGACAACCATTTAGTATTTCAAGCACTGTCAAAATCGATGAAAGATACAATCGCTCTGTAAAAAGTAAAATGCGAGTTATAGACTCAACATTTTTTATGAACCTGGATATTCAAGTTTCTTTTTTCTTCGGAAAAACAGATCTTTAAATCCATTGAAACGACAAAAAAAGACAAACACTGTCTCACACCGTTTGAAAATTTACCTTCCGACGAAAGAAAAATTTATGCTTGAATATTTTCTCGTCATATTTTCTTATTGTATTGTCTTTTTAGCATAAAGTGTAATTTTCAGTTGGCTTTTCCTCGTTACAAGTTGTAAGTTACAACGAACTCACTGTAGTAAAGTTTTAGCTGTAAAAAATAACCTTTTGCGAAGAGTTGGCCTAGTGTGTTGTTTGTCGTGATGTTGTTTATATGTTTATGCTTTTGCAGTTTGTATTCAAATTTATAGTGGCCGTGTATGTTTGGCACTCAGGGGAATGAAACTGACGTACAAACCGCGTGAATATTCGACTTTGAAGGACTGGAACTGACGTACAAACCACGCAAGAGACTAGGACTTTGGCTTCAATTTATATCTATAAAATGTATTGTAGTTATCATTCCAGATATATATATATGGAGTTCACTGGGTTGACCATGTGCAGTGTTTGCTCATCTCTGATATTTGATTGGCTAAAATTTTGACGATTGTAAAGCGCTTGACGAAAAGTTAAAACAGTTTAAACTTACTCAAGAGCAAAAGTTCTAGTAGAATGTATTCGAATTTTAAAGTATTTATGCAAAAAAATTGACCATAGTGGTAGAATCAAGTTGACATGATTTCAAATATTATTAATTAGTATGTTTACAAAAGCAATTGGTAGGGCGACCATATTAACATTGAAACCAAAATAGAATAGCCAGCGCACATAACATACGCGATTAATTCGTTGAAATTATTCTAGAGACAAATACACTTGGTCAAAAGCTGATCGACATACTAACTTTGGGCAAGTATAAAATTTGCCACATAAAACTTTGTCATAAAGAAATTTGTTCCCGTGTAAACGGCGACATGCTTATCAAGGTAAGTAGTGCGTTTGTTCAATGTGCCGTAACATGACCAATATTTCACAAAGAGTGATATTGTTTCCAAACTACAATTGGCAAGAGTCAAGAAATTACTTTCACTCAAACGCGTATAATTAAGATACGCAAAAATCGCTTATCTTACTTTCACTCAAACGCGTATAATTAAGATACGCAATTAAGATACGCAATTCAGATACGCAGTTGATTCCGTCACTAATAAACGCAAGTGAAAACAATGTCTTCAGTAGACTTGATATCTTAATAATGGAAAACGACATTTATCAAATATAAATTAAACGACAGTATAGTGAATCGTTAACAGACAGTGCATGATAAAATTAGTAAATGTAACGGCTATGACCTGTAAGACTTTTGTGTCTGTTTGCTAGTTTCTATTGACATCAAGTAGGGACACACTCAAATAGTTGTTCAATAGGCAATTAGGCATGACATCTTAATGGAATACGACATTCATTAAATTAAATGACAGTACTGTGAATCGTCAACAGTCAGTGTTTGATATAAGTAATAAATGTAAGGGGCTATGACCAGTAAGACTTTTGTGTCCTTTCTGTTCTATTCCGTTGTTGTCCAGTTAACTACATTACGCTGATTACTTTGCTGACGTGATTGACTGGCTGTCATCATGCTAGTCACATGACTATACTTCACACGAAACTGACGAAAGATTTCGAAACAAGAGTGACTCTAGTACTTGCTCCCCAAAACAATATAAGTAATTACGACGTTTTAGAACTCATCTAGATTTTTTTATGAACATTATAGGAAATCGCTTATCTTACTTTCACTCAAACGCGTATAATTAAGATACGCAATTCAGATTCATGTTGCGTAAGTACACAACAGTAATTAGAAATTGTGCAAATAACTTGTCGCTAATAAGTTAATATAATTCCACAACACGTTATAGCATTCCCGTATATTACCACACACTCGGAAAGGGAGAGTTGGAGCTAATTTTGGAGAAATATTATACAAGACTAAAAGCCATCATCAGAGAATCAGATTATCAGAACTCAAGAATTTGTATTCATTTTCGCGTTTGTTGATGAATGTGGCATGCGTATGCGAATTGAAGTTTAAAATGAATCTTTCAAGATTAGTTGCACGCGTTTGTATTGATCGACCGTGGGTCATTTGTACTATAAAGAAATGAGAGTGTTCTTTGGATGGGATCATGGGATTGAGAAATTCTTTGTTAGTTTCTATTAACGTCAAGTAGGGACACACTCAAATAGTTGTTTAACACTCAAAGTGAAAAATGCAAAAATTTGACCGTGTATGTCACTGAATTACTCCTGTTGTAAAACTATAGAATTCCGGTGTAAGTTTGAGTAAGATACAATATGTAGCGATGAACGAATAATTTACGACACTCTATGAATGAGCTATTCTTTATTTGAAATTAAAATATCAGTACATCTAGAAACTACATATATTCTTCAGCAAGAGAGGTAAAACACCAAGGCAAACATTGTAGCATCATCTACAGCAAACAAAAAGGCGGCTGCAACTTCCACAAGGACGTAGATGAAACGGGCAATGGAAAAAACATTTTCCTGTATCGCGGCCATTCATGCATCTACATAATCCTAAATGTGATGAAATGTATAAAACAAATCAATATAAACACTTATTGAGGTATAAGTATTTGTTTGCAGGTTAACAAAATTCAGATAATGAATAGCAAACTGTGTTTGCAATCGTGCATAAGATTTGAGCATGTTAATTATCGCAAGTGTTCTGAGTGTTCTTACAAATGTGATGTAAAAGCACCAAAAAGTGCTTTGACATTATTTTATGACTTGCATCCGTACCAAATTGTCGGCCTTCTCGTTCCAAGCTATCCTCGTTGTGTAAAATATGATGTCGAGCATCTATTGCGACAAGCAAAAACACAAGAAATAACGCAGATGTCAGGATCTTCATTGTGGTACCTTTGAAATAAAAAATGAAATACAGTCAATTGTAAAAATATCTTAAAATCAATCAACCAATATACAGCTTACCTCAAAAGGTTTGGTACGCTTTCGTTGAAATTTGTTTGAACGTTTCTTCTCGATCTTAGTACGTCGTTTAATAGTATCTGTCTGGCTTCCTTTAGTTGCTGTGTTCCTTATATCTGCACTTGTCACGTGGTTTACAATGTCTAATCCATGGCAAACACGTGATAAATGGAATTGCCTGACAGAATTTGGAAACAAGTGTTAGCTTACCACAACATGTGTTCCAATTTAGATCTTATAGTTTTAAGAATGGAATAAATAGTATAAAAACTCGAATAGATGAGCTTTATGTCAATGGGGTGAAAACATAAAAGTATAAGCAGTACAAGTAAGAAATCTGAACCTGTGAAAACCAAACCCTCTAATATAAATACTAAATTATTTAAAAGTATTAAAATTATTACAACTTGTAGATCTAAACGATCATTGTTTGCGTGTAAGCGGCGACATGAATATCCTCAAACTTCCTTATCAAAGTAAGCTACGATACTGCGTTCGCGTGTTTGTTCAATGTGCCGTAACGTGACCAATATTTCACAAAAACTGCTATTGTTTCCAAACTGCATTTGGCAAGAGTTAAGTCTGACCTTGTGATTCCATCACTGAAAACAATGTTCTATGTTCAATAGGCAATTAGGCATGACATCTTAATAATGGAATACGACATTCATTTAATTAAACGACAGTACTGTGAATCGTCAACAGTCAGTGTTTGATATAAGTAATAAAAAGGGCTATCACCAGTAAGACTTTGTGTCCTTTCTGTTCTATTCCGTTGTTGTCCAGTTAACTACATTACGCTGATTACTTTGCTGACGTGATTGACTGGCTGTCATCATGCTAGTCACATGACTATATCACACGAAACTGACGAAAGATTTCGAAACAAGAGTGACTCTAGTACTTGCTCCCCAAAACAATATAAGTAATTACGACGTTTTAGAACTTATTTAGATTTTTATGAACATTGAGAAATGCTTATCTTAGTTCCACTCAAACGCGTATAATTAAGATACGCAATTATATTCATGTTACGTAAGTAACAGTACTCAAATTGTGCAAATAACTTGTCTCCAATAAATGAATATAATTCCACAACACGTTATAACATTCATTACACGGAGTGGGATTGGAGCTAATTTAGAGAAATATTATACAAGACTAAATCATCAGAGTCAGATTATCAGAATCAATTTGTATTCATTTTCGTATGTTGATGAATGTGGCATGCGGATGAATTGAAGTTTAAAATGAATCTTTCAAGATTATTTGCACGCGTGTATTGATCGACCGTGGGTCATTTGTATTATAAAGAAATGAGAGTGTTCTTTGATGATCATGGATTGAGAAATTTTGTTAAGGCGCATCTCCACTAAACAGTTTAAACTTTCGTCAGAATCAAAATCGTCAAAAATTTCGTCCGAACGAAAAGCTTTTTGCCTCTGCGCATGTGTCGTCGCGAAAATTTAAGACGATCGTCACAAAAATCGTCTAGTGGAGATGCGCCTTAACAAAGAATTTCTCAATCCCATGATCCCATCCAAAGAACACTCTCATTTCTTTATAGTACAAATGACCCACGGTCGATCAATACACACGTGTGCAAATAATCTTGAAAGATTCATTTTAAACTTCAATTCGCATACGCATGCCACATTCATCAACAAACGCGAAAATGAATACAAATTCTTGAGTTCTGATAATCTGATTTTCTGATGATGGCTTTTAGTCTTGTATAATATTTCTCCTAAATTAGCTCCAAGTCTCCCACTCCGAGTGTGTGGTAATATACGGGAATGTTATAACGTGTTGTGGAATTATATTCATTTATTGGAGACAAGTTATTTGCACAATTTGTGAGTACTGTTGTGTACTTACGTAACATGAATATGAATTGCGTATCTTAATTATACGCGTTTGAGTGGAACTAAGATAAGCGATTTCATGTAATGTTCATAAAAAAATCTAAATAAGTTCTAAAACGTCGTAATTACTTATACTGTTTTGGGGAGCAAGTACTAGAGTCACTCTTGTTTCAAAATCTTTCGTCAGTTTCGTGTGAAGTATAGTCATGTGACTAGCATGATGACTGCCAGTCAATCACGTCAGCAAAGTAATCAGCGTAATGTAGTTAACTGGACAACAACGGAATAGAACAGAGAGGACACAAAAGTCTTACTGGTCATAGCCCCTTACATTTATTACTTATATCAAACACTGACTGTTGACGATTCACAGTACTATCATTTAATTTAATGAATGTCGTATTCCATTATTAAGATGTCATGCCTAATTGCCTATTGAACATAGAGACATTGTTTTCACTTTAATTTATCAGTAACGGAATCACAAGGTCAGACTTAACTCTTGCCAAATGCAGTTTGGAAACAATATCAGTTTTTGTGAAATATAGGCCACGTTACGGCACATTGAACAAACGTGCATGTTGTAAATTGTTAGTTCATCGCTACATATTGTATCTTACTCAAACTTACACCGGAATTCTATAATTTTACAATAGGAGTAATTCAGTGACATACACGGTCAAATTTTTGCATTTTTCACTTTGAGTGTTAAACAACTATTTGAGTGTGTCCCTACTTGATGTTAATAGAAACTAACAAAGAATTTCTCAATCCCATGATCCCATCCAAAGAACACTCTCATTTCTTTATAGTACAAATGACCCACGGTCGATCAATACACACGCGTGAAAATAATCTTGAAAGATTCATTTTAAAATTCAATTCGCATCCGCATGCCACATTCATCAACAAACGCGAAAATGAATACAAATTCTTGAGTTCTGATAATCTGATTTTCTGATGATGGCTTTTAGTCTTGTATAATATTTCTCCTAAATTAGCTCCAAGTCTCCCATTCTGAGTGTGTGGTAATATACGGGAATGCTATAACGTGTTGTGGAATTATATTAACTTATTAGCGACAAGTTATTTGCACAATTTCTAAACACTGTTGTGTACTTACGTAGCATGAATATGAATTGCGTATCTTAATTATACGCGTTTGAGTGAAACTAAGATAAGCGATTTCCTGTAATGTTCATAAAAAAATCTAGATAAGTTCTAAAACGTCGTAATTACTTATATTGTTTTGGGGAGCAAGTACTAGAGTCACTCTTGTTTCAAAATCTTTCGTCAGTTTCGTGTGAAGTATAGTCATGTGACTAGCATGATGACAGCCAGTCAATCACGTCAGCAAAGTAACCAGCGTAATGTAGTTAACTGGACAACAACGGAATAGAACAGAGAGGACACAAAAGTCTTACTGGTCATAGCCCCTTACATTTATTACTTATATCAAACACTGACTGTTGACGATTTACAGTACTGTCATTTAATTTAATGAATGTCGTATTCCATTATTAAGATGTCATGCCTAATTGCCTATTGAACATAGAGACATTGTTTTCACTTTAATTTATCAGTAACGGAATCACAAGGTCAGACTTAACTCTTGCCAAATGCAGTTTGGAAACAATATCAGTTTTTGTGAAATATAGGCCACGTTACGGCACATTGAACAAACGTGCATGTTGTAAATTGTTAGTTCATCGCTACATATTGTATCTTACTCAAACTTACACCGGAATTCTATAATTTTACAATAGGAGTAATTCAGTGACATACACGGTCAAATTTTTGCATTTTTCACTTTGAGTGTTAAACAACTATTTGAGTGTGTCCCTACTTGATGTTAATAGAAACTAACAAAGAATTTCTCAATCCCATGATCCCATCCAAAGAACACTCTCATTTCTTTATAGTACAAATGACCCACGGTCGATCAATACACACGCGTGCAAATAATCTTGAAAGATTCATTTTAAACTTCAATTCACATACGCATGCCACATTCATCAACAAACGCGAAAATGAATACAAATTCTTGAGTTCTGATAATCTGATTTTCTGATGAGGGCTTTTAGTCTTGTATAATATTTCTCCTAAATTAGCTCCAAGTCTCCCACTCCGAGTGTGTGGTAATATACGGGAACGTTATAACGTGTTGTGGAATTATATTCATTTATTGGAGACAAGTTATTTGCACAATTTGTGAGTACTGTTGTGTACTTACGTAACATGAATATGAATTGCGTATCTTAATTATACGCGTTTGAGTGGAACTAAGATAAGCGATTTCATGTAATGTTCATAAAAAAATCTAAATAAGTTCTAAAACGTCGTAATTACTTATACTGTTTTGGGGAGCAAGTACTAGAGTCACTCTTGTTTCAAAATCTTTCGTCAGTTTCGTGTGAAGTATAGTCATGTGACTAGCATGATGACAGCCAGTCAATCACGTCAGCAAAGTAACCAGCGTAATGTAGTTAACTGGACAACAACGGAATAGAACAGAGAGGACACAAAAGTCTTACTGGTCATAGCCCCTTACATTTATTACTTATATCAAACACTGACTGTTGACGATTTACAGTACTGTCATTTAATTTAATGAATGTCGTATTCCATTATTAAGATGTCATGCCTAATTGCCTATTGAACAACTATTTGAGTGTGTCCCTACTTGATGTCAATAGAAACTAAAGGCGCATCTCCACTAGACGATTTTTGTGACGATCGTCTTAAATTTTCGCGACAATATTTCGAACACGAATTATAGGACGATTTTGTTAGTCATCTCCACTCAGTGAACTCCATATATATATATCTGGAATGATAACGACAATACATTTTATAGATATAAAATTGAAGCCAAAGTCCTAGTCTCTTGCGCGGTTTGTACGTCAGTTCCAGTCCTTCAAAGTCGAATATTCACGCGGTTTGTACGTCAGTTTCATTCCCCTGAGTGCCAAACATACACGGCCAATATAAATTTGAATACAAATTGCAAAAGCATAAACATATAAAAAACACCACGACAAACAACACACGAGGCCAACTCCTCGCAAAAGGTTATTTTTTACAGCTGAAACTTTACTACAGTGAGTTCGTTGTAACTTACAACTTGTAACGAGGAAAAGCCAACTGAAAATTACACTTTATGCTAAAAAGGCAATACAATAAGAAAATATGACGAGAAAATATTCAAGCATAAATTTTTCTTTCGTCGGAAGGTAAACTTTCAAACGGTGTCAGACAGTGTTTGTCTTTTTTGTCATTTAAGTGGATTTAAAGATCTGTTTTTCCGAATAAAAAAGAAACTTGAATATCCAGTTTCATAAAAATATTGAGTCTATAACTCGCATTTTACTTTTACAGAGCGATTGTATTTTCATCGATTTTGATAGTGCTTGAAACTTGAAATACTAAATGGTTGTCATCTCGATATCAATAATTGAATATCCTTAAAGACTTTGATATGTTTTAAAGGAAAACCGCAGCGTAAGAGCAGATCGACTAAGTTCACCTCATCTTGCTTCTCGATTTATCACTTTGATTCACTTTCCGTGAACCTTTTCATTCCAAAATTTTTATTACGCTCTGATCAAGATCCGAACTCTACCATTACCAAGGGACAAATGATTTAAAAAAAATAAAATGAACACGCGAGGACTAGAGCCTGACGAGTGATGACGAATGATGACAACAAATATTTTTTTGGCTTCGGTTATCATTCCAATTATTCAAATGTCGAGTTCACTGTCTCCACTAGACGATTATTTCGCGGTGTTTTCCAATAAACAAAATGGCGTCTATAAATAAAAGATATATTCTATATTTGCTGCTTCGTAGAAGATATTTATTTCTTTACAATCTTCACCAAAAAATGCTCAGGGAGAACACCAAAACAAGAAAAAGGAAACGTCGATTTTGGATAAGAATGCTATAACGTGTTGTGGAATTATATTAACTTATTAGCGACAAGTTATTTGCACAATTTCTAAATACTGTTGTGTACTTACGAACATGAATATGAATTGCGTATCTTAATTATACGCGTTTGAGTGAAACTAAGATAAGCGATTTCCTATAACGTTCATAAAAAAATCTAGATGAGTTCTAAAACGTCGTAATTACTTATATTGTTTTGGGGAGCAAGTACTAGAGTCACTCTTGTTTCGAAATCTTTCGTCAGTTTCGTGTGAAGCATAGTCATGTGACTAGCATGATGACAGCCAGTCAATCACGTCAGCAAAGTAACCAGCGTAATGTAGTTAACTGGACAACAACGGAATAGAACAGAGAGGACACAAAAGTCTTACTGGTCATAGCCCCTTACATTTATTACTTATATCAAGCACTGACTGTTGACGATTCACAGTACTGTCGTTTAATTTAATGAATGTCGTATTCCATTATTAAGATGTCATGCCTAATTGCCTATTGAACAACTATTTGAGTGTGTCCCTACTTGATGTCAATAGAAACTGGCAAACAGACACAAAAGTCTTACAGGTCATAGCCGTTACATTTACTAATTTTATCGTGCACTGTCTGTTAACGATTCACTATACTGTCGTTTAATTTATATTTGATAAATGTCGTTTTCCATTATTAAGATGTAGGGCCTACTGAAGACATTGTTTTCACTTGCGTTTATTAGTGACGGAATCACAAGGTCAGACTTGACTCTTGGCAATTGTAGTTTGGAAACAATATCACTCTTTGTGAATATTGGTCACGTTACGGCACATTGAACAAACGCGCTACTTACCTTGATAAGCATGTCGCCGTTTACACGGGAACAAATTTCTTTATGACAAAGTTTTATGTGGCAAATTTTATACTTGCCCAAAGTTAGTATGTCGATCAGCTTTTGACCAAGTGTATTTGTCTCTAGAATAATTTCAACGAATTAATCGCGTATGTTATGTGCGCTGGCTATTCTATTTTGGTTTCAATGGTAATATGGTCGCCCTACCAATTGCTTTTGTAAACATACTAATTAATAACATTTGAAATCATGTCAACTTGATTCTACCACTATGGTCAATTTTTTTGCATAAATACTTTAAAATTCGAATACATTCTACTAGAACTTTTGCTCTTGAGTAGAAAACGACTGATTTTAACTCTACTTTCACAGACTTAATTCACACACGAATGGTTTTCCATAGCTCAGATAAACTCAAATGATTCAAAGATTTTGAAATAAATGTCTTAACATACTAGGCAGTTGCTTCAGTCGCGCTACAAACCGAATTGATGCGCACGCGTCAGTCGCTTGAACTCCAGAAACACACATGCAGCGACCATCGCGACTTTTGTGGTTTTTGGTGCCTTTGTTTGTTCACGTTAATAGCGTTCACGCTTGCGATGACTATCCTGCTTAAATTTTTTGTGTCATCGCATTTCACAAACACTGCAAAGTTTTTTCTATATCTAAATTTTGCTAAGCTGCAAGAAATAATAACATTCCAATAAGTATTTTTTGATTTATTTTATAAATTTCATCACATTCAGGACCCTGTTTTTGCAATAATAGCGAAACGGGTGTTTGTTAAGATCGCCACTGTCTGGGTAATGAACTTGCCTGCGGACTTTGCTCATTTGGCGTTTGCTGTTAATTTATTTGTTATCTGGTTCTTCGGCTAATACGGCTAACCTGACGTTTACTCCTCATTTGACTCTGAAGATGACTACCGCTAAGGTTGTCGAAACGTCAGTCAACAACAACAAAAACAGTCCTTCTCATGACTATAGCAACCTGGACGATAGACATTTACAAACATGTAACGATACTCCCGGGTTCAAACCATTTACTTTAATTCTTGGTTTGCAAGCTACGTCATAGCCTACATGTTTGATGATTTTAACAAAGCAAATTTCATCCAACATGGCGAGCATTCCATTGTTACCTTACTCCCAGGGGGATGGTTGCAACCACTGATCTGATAATAGACTGGATATAGCTTCTATAGGTAGCAAAAGTGAAGCCTAATTATATATGCAAAATTCACTTCCGGGTACCACAAGAAATACAAATTACTATAGAAATGTATGGCGGATAACGTTTACATACAAGGATTTTCGAATATTTAAGGCATTTCGTGACCTTTACTAATCTCAAACATCTGTCATGGATAAAACAAGTTATGTTAATCAATTTGACATCAAAATGATACCAATATCTGCAAAATATCGGTCGTGTTCAATTGAAGCGCGTGCAAGAATCGAATTGCCCATCGTTGCAAGATAATTCACAGCTCATTTTCCAAGTTCAGAGGCAGTTATGATCTAGAATGAGTTTCGATGCTTAAAAAATTCGTTTAGTACCTTTCTTTTATCATTCTTTAATATCTAGACATTGTTGTATGTAACTTTTGCCGTGACTTCATTAGCAGGGTACTGTTGTTGTAGGAACAAGACAAATTTACTAAACTTTCTTCCTCTCTTTATTCTTATTTTCATTTCTGTTTTTATTTTATAAAAATAATACAATCACCACACCTTGCTGTAGCATTTGTATATAGCCATGAGTAAATATGGTTGTTATTGACAAAAGTATCCAACATTTTTATCAATTGCAGTCTATACCGTAGCATCAGGAATTGTATTCCCATGTGGTAAACTGCCATCTGAAGTTAAAAGCACCTTTCTATTTTACTGCATACTTGAATAACAATAGCTGTTGGTTTGAATCAAAGTACTCATGTCTTTTAAAGACAGGAAAGCAGATTCACTTTAGTAATTTTTTCAACCAACAGCTTCTTAATAAGTAGGGCAGGTGGTTTTCTTTGGCAGCATCTGCCTATAAAATTAGCCATGTATGGTATTGCAATCACTTTAAATTCAGAAACAATGGAAAAGCTGTGTGCACTACTATAATCTTGATAATCATCACAGCATATATTTTGTCTACCAAAAGAAGTAATTTGTTTCAAACCAACAGCTATTGTTATATCAACATGAAACAAGGCAGGAGGGTGTTTTCAGCTTCTGATGGTAGTTTATTTCACGGGATACAATTTCTGTTGCTGAATCCTTGTATACAATGCAATTGATGCACATGTTATGTCAATAACAACTATACTCACTTATTGATGAAGGCCATTGCCAAATGTATTAGCAAGGCGTGGTGATTAAATTATATCTGTAAAATGATAAAGAATAAAGAGAGGAAGAAAGCTTAGTAAATTTGTCTTGTTCCTACAACAAGAGTACCCTGCTAATGAAGTCACGGCAAAAGTAACATAAAACAATGTCTAGATAATAAAAAATGATAAAAGAAAGGTACTAAACGAATTTTTAAGCATCGAAAACTCATTCTAGATCATAACTGCCTCTGAACTTGGAAAATGAGCTGTGAATTATCTTGCCTTTGCAATGATGGGCCAAATTCGATTCTTGCACGCGCAATTTTCAATTGAACACGAGCGCCGATATTTTACAGATATTGGTATCATTTTGATGTCAAATTGATTAACATAACTTGTTTTATCCATGACAGATGTTTGAGATTAGTAAAAGGTCACGAAATGCCTTAAATATTCGAAAATCCTTGTATGTAAACGTTATCCGCCATACATTTCTATAGTAATTTGTATTTCTTGTGGTACCCGGAAGTGAATTTTGCATATATAATTAGGCTTCACTTTTGCTACCTGTAGAAGCTATATCCAGTCTATTATCAGATCAGTGGTTGCAACCCACCAAGAGACGTCGCCAGAACGATGATTGAGGAGCCATATTCATATGCGCATGACATGCCATATTAGTTTCCTTTGAAATGCATTGTTTTGTACGGATTATAAAATATATATATGAATATGGGTCCCCCAATTATCGTTCAGGAGACGCGCCTAATAATTAGCAAAAAAGAATTTCTTATTCACATAGAGTACTAGCAAATTCGTCGTACATATAACCCAACGTCAACGAAATTTTCAAAACGTTCAAGCTTTTGAAGGGTCTAACTGAAATGACTTGATTTGTTGTTTTGCGCAGTTTTATAATCGTCTCTTTGTTATCAAGGTCTGCTCTGATTTTGTTAGTTTATATAGGTATTAAAATGGCCAATTCAACAATTGGCTAACCGATGGAAAAATCAAATTCGAATCGCATATTTGATGAGGTGGAGCTTCTCTTTAAAGTTATGAAGGAAGAGACAAGGTTAAACAAACCGTCGAATACATACTTAGGGAATCTTGTCAAAACAATCCATCTGATATACTAGTCTACTGGAGCGATTTGAATCTCATAATCCATCCGCGCTGCAAAGTACATCCGAAAAGATTTTCCTCAAAACAAAGGAGATGTTACCAGTGGATATGGAAAGGTATTTCTTTTATACTTTAAGCATAGCACATTATTTTTCTCGCATTTATTCATTTATGCTTGGTTTGCCTATAATCGACGAATTTGATTAGGAATGTTGACGCAAGTGAAAATGGCAAAATTCTTCACCCCTGAGGTAACTTAATCTTTTATCTATAACCATCTAAGGGGCTGATTACATGAGCCCGGGTAACCGAGATTCGGTCAAGCGATAAATGATTTTGGCAAATGGAAACGATTCAATACTCATCATCATATAAATCTTCTCTGGCAATTTCACAATATTCTGGTTTGTAAACTACACAAAACATTTAAAATTACAACAACCATTTTGCCCAAATTTGAGAATTAGAACAGGAATGACTTGTGGCGCTTAATAAACAGTTGTAATTCTTATGCTTGAATTTTTGACTCCATTTAATACCGCGAAATCATTTCACTCCTCACTGAAATTCAGTTAGCCGGGATCATGTAAACAGTTCCTAACGCCGACTATTTGCAATTTTTCATAACATGTTATAGTCAGGCTTATAGTATAACGGCGTATATTTATGTTATCATTAAATGCGACAAGGAAAGAAGTCAGTCTCTTTTTTCCATGAAGCCCATGGATGCTTTCGTTCATAATGAGAGCGTCATATTGTATAAGGAGGCTCTCGTTCATCACGAGAGAGTTATGCGAAAGTTACATTGTAGAAGGTAACAAGTAAAAAACGTATAAACATGCTTAGAGTTGGCTTAAGTTTGAAGTCAAAAAGGTAGAAGTTGTTTGAACCTTTGCAGTATCCTTGGATATTTTAGTTTCTTTTATGAGAAGAATTCTTATAAAGAAAGAAGACAAATTTTGAAAACAAAAAATCCCGTTTTCGATCCATGCCTACCGATACCCCGAGATAGTTAACCACTAGAACGTCTCATGTTTATTAAGAGAACCAGATAATCCTGTCTGCCATGAAGCCCATGGATGGTTTGTCCGTGATACATGAGAAACAGTAAATGAGAGAGTCAACTCAGAAAGATATAAACCAATTAAAATTGTATAAAACATGTTTACGGTTGTCTTAAATTTTAAGTGTCATAAAAAGGCACAGTTTCAGAAGAATTTAGTTAAAGCATTGCTTGGTTTATTTTATTTTAAAAAGATAAATTTTGAAAGCAAAAAACCCCGTTTTCGGTCCATGCTTCCCGATACCTTCTTATGCGTAAGGCACTAGAACGCCGCATGTTAACGTTTCGGTAGGAGATTTCGGCCCCTCCACGATATCCTTTTTGGGAGATGCCAATAGCAAGCTTCCGTCCATAAGACACCGACATCACCTGCGATAGGAGTACGCAGAGAGAGTGCGGTTGCGACCGAAGTCTAGGCTTCTAAGCCACTGCATACTATATCGCACACAGCTTCCACCGCTAGTTGACATCTACTATATGAAGTTTGAGCTTTATATATATATATACATGAATTCAAAGGCTTACGAAAGTTGTGGTATGATTGACATCGTTATTACCACAAATGTAGTGCAAGTACATATAGGTAGTCGTTGAACAATGACTTTGAACAATTAGTCGAGTGGATTGCGCATGCTTAAGCGCATGCGCAGATGATTGCTCTATTAAATTGTTACTAAGCATGCTATTTACTTCAAAATCGGTGCTATTAGATGCAATTGGTCGTTGCCATGACCATGAACTTGGGCATCTGGTCAAGTCGACTGCGCATGGTCAAGCAGTCTGCGCATGTGCAGATAATTTTTCTGAAAATTTGTGACTGGGCGATCTAATTACTCCATAATTGGTACTAGTTGGTCGTTTGCGATGACCATGAACTTGGGCAAGTTAACTGCGCATGCTCAAGCAGACTTCGCATGCGCAGATGATTTTTCTATTAAATTGTTACTAAGTATGCACATGCACAAGCAGATATCGCACGCGCAATGGATTTTTCTGAAAATTAGTGACTGAGCGAGCTAATTACTCCATAATTGGTACTAGTACATACAGCTGGTTGTTGCCATGAGCATGAACTGAGAGTGTATGTGAAGCTGACTACACATGCTCAGATTAATTCTCAATTAATTTGTGACGGAGTAAGCTCTGAAATTGGTGCTTGTATATGCGCTTAGCAAATTTTCAATCGTTTATATTTGGCATGCTCTTTGTGTGCTTGAGCTTGTTTTGACAAATGGATGTTAAACTTATGAACACTTTGTTACGGAACTTGCAATATTCGTGACAATGTTAGAGATATTTTTCATTTTCTTATGTTTAATTTCTCAGGTAAGGATTTAACGAGACAACAGAAAATGCCGACCGCAAGTACGTGTTGAACAGGCCAGCGGTTGCTAGCAATGAGAGTAATGGCCAGGCCCAGCCGCTGTTTAATGTGGAGATTGTTACGAAGGAAAAACTTTGAAAAATACAAAATGAGAAACGAATCACATATGATTACGAACGTCACGCGGATGTACTATAATTAAACTTGGTTCACACTAGTCGTATGAATCGGCGACGTATTTACACCGATAAATATGATTTGTCAGGGATGCGATTTTTATCCATGCATTGATCTTTATGTTCTACTCTTTGAACTGAGCACTGCAAGGGTTGTAGATACTCGGAAACTTATTTTTGATTTCCATAAAAGAGCAATCATCGCCGTTTTGAGACTTGGTAGCAACTAGCAAGATAGAGGCATGCAATTCCACTCCTTGGTCATCCGCCATTTTGAAAAGTCGCGAGTGTCGGTTTCTAGATTTCATTTTCACATATGACGTGATTTGTCGTACGAATCCCCGATTGGCGCAGTTTAACTGGGACATCGCAATCAAATAGAAACCATTCCTATTTTCCCGATATTTACGAATCTGACGCAGATTATATCGGGGATCTCGTATTTGCCATGTTCATCAATTCATTACTAGGATGGTCGCATATGATGCTACAATACGGTTTTCGCGACTCTTACGACTAGTGTGAACCAGGCTTTACTATAAATCTACGGTAATTACTATATATCTACGGTAATTACCATTCAGGTCCGTGGCTGTAAAATATAATTAATGTGAGGAGATTTCCCCAAATTCCATCATTTTTCCCATCCAGGTAATTTATACAGGTCAGTAGTGGAAACACCAATGTAAATAAATGGCGAGTTTTTTGAATATTAGTTCGTAGAAGAAGAGGTTTAAATATTTATCGAAGTTGTTCAAGCATCACATTGGCGATGTTAGGTGTAAGATACTTGCAGTTGACGTTAGCAATTTTAAAACCAGACTTAATCTCGCATCCTGTTCATCTAAAGGTTCGTGAAAACTTCACATAATTTCCCTGTCCCGACTTGTCCATGTAAGGACCATATCCCTTTATGAGATTTTTGTTTTGTGTTTGTTGTGTTGTAGTTGTATGCTGTTCTTTTCAGCTTGTTATGGAAAAAATACTGAAAGAAAATTTCTTCATTGTGCATTGGAAACTAGTGCAATGGAGTAGAGAAGATGCCGAAAGATTCTATCAAGAACACAGAGGTCGAATAAAGAATTTATATTTATATATAAAATATAAATAGTTCACTGTTCATTTTAAAATTTGTCACTCGTGTCAATTTTAATTCGAATAATTTGTAAAAGCCTTTCTTTTTCTTTTTAGACAAGTTTTTCTTTCAACGTTTGACATCTTACATGAGCAGGTTAGCCCAAGGCCTAAATATGTTTATATTTGTGACAGTTAAACATTTGAGACATATAATGAGCAATTTTACGGACATGTTTGTAACATTCACATTGTAACTCTGTTGTTATTCTGGGCTCAAAGGATAGAAGAATAACTGTGTATAAAACATATATGCTCTAGTCATGAAAGTATGGTTTTGCACACCGGAGATCTCGTCATACTTTTCAGACTGGCATATGCTGTTATAATTTTTCACCATCATTGTCTGAAACACAAAGGCAAAGATCTATGTCATGAGTGTGATCTAAAAAAAATGGAGGTTTCTATGTAGTTTTAACTTCCACATGTATAAAACTCTGTGAACGTTGGTTATGGCAAAGTAATCAAAAACACATGAAATACAACATCCAATTATGCCATAATATGTACTAGAACAAAAAACTGCTCACTATTTTTTGATTTTGTCTGTGTGGGTGTCCCTGCTAGAAGAGCGGGGGGAGCTCCAATCAATAAGAGCAATCATCAGGGGGGGTAGCATGAAACTAGGACAAGGTTACCTATCATTTGTTCAGTTCCTTCTTTGTAGGAGATATATTTTTAAATGACGATAAATTTTCATTCTATTTTATATCCTCATAGTGATTTGATTATGCCAATGGTAATGGCTAGAGTTGATGCTATTCAACATTGGAGAAAATTAATGGGACCAACAAAAGCGACAATGTATGTATGAAACAACATTTAATTCCATTTTCACTCTCCTTCTTTGGCACACAATAGCAATACACTTTATTCATTTTATTAACAGTACAAAAACATAAAATTTGTTTAGTTTTGTTAATTACTTAAGAAATAAAAGATGTTTACTGTGTTTGCACAGGCTTATGCAAACCAAGAAGACCTTTGGGAGAACTCCAGAGCTGATCAGTGAAAGACCGAAGATCGAGGGTTGCACATGCTCGAGAGTTCTTACAAATGTCTCCAAAGTTTGCATAAGCCTGTGCAAACATGAAAAACATCTTTTATTTCTTTTATAAAATAACAATAATGCGAAACAGATGAATTTATAGGAAATGTTTGAATTTTTCCTTTTGAATGTATTTATGATCGATTTGCAAATTCTCTTTGACTGGTTGATTGTTTTCATTGATTTGATTTTTGATTGGTTGAGCTCAGATGTGTTTTGCACAGGCTAATGAAAACATGGCTCTAGACCAATCACTGCACATGTTTCATTGTGTTTATTTATAAAGATGCTCGAATTGTTGTCTGTAGGGCAAAGTTCTCTCATCCTGACAGCATTCGTGGATTATACGGTATCACAGATACAAGAAATGCCACTCATGGTGCAGGTAGCTACTATTTTTATATTGAATAATGCTTGTTTGTAGATGTAGATTGTCTAGCTTAGTGGAGACCTAGGAGAAAGACTGTTGGTGTTGATGTTGACTGACATTTTGACATCCTTAGCAGTAATCATCTTCAAAGTCAGTCAACTCAGGACTCCACTCAGTGGGGTGTTCAAGCTTCAAAAGAACAACAATTGGACAGCATTTAAGGGGCCCGTGGTTACAACCATAAAAAACTTGCTATACTTAGTGTGCAACTCTTCATCGGAAATTGTTTTAATGAACTGTTGTGTACTTAATATTTTTTATAACTTTTATTCATTGTGTAAGATGCAATTGCCATGGGAAGATTGATAATTTGGAAGGGGGGCTGGGGGAGAGTTATATTCGTACATGCATGAAATGTAGTGTCAAATTTCTTTAAAATTCATTGTTTTCAATGGGTTATAACATGCATATGTATGAATATGAACTCCCTAATTATTAATCAGCCTACTCCCTTGTTAAGGGCCAGCACCCTCCTGACTCCACTAAACAGGATAATGTGATCTACAGTGATGTAACAATACTCCTGAGTTCAAAAGAATTCACTTTATCAATGAAAGATCTTTTTAATAGTTTTTACTTTGAAGTACATAAAGTTGTTTTATCTGCTCCAACTTGTGTTGTGATCTTTAACCAAAGTCTATTCATCCCTTGTGTTTTAGATTCTGTGGAAACTGCTAAGAGGGAGATCGAGTTTTTCTTTCCGGAGTTCAAATATGATGAATGGTTGGAGAAAAATGAGGAAAAAATTCAAAATGGACAAATTATTTATGATGAAGTATCGAAAACACACAAAGTTCTCGAGTGACTTGATGTTCAATGTAAAAGATTATTTTGTGATGGTATTGATGATTTTATGGAGAAAAGTGGATATTTTAACAGCAAATGGATGACAGAAAAGCTCAAAGTAAACTCAGACTCAGGTATGTAAGCGTGTTATTAATATAAGAAGATTGTCTTACGGGGATATATTTTACTATGGGTGAGGTCATCAGTGTGCCAAAACGCTTTCTTCAGCTGTTGCTTAAGATTGTGTTATGAGGGGGGTGTATATTTATTCTATGGGTGAGGTCATCAGTGTGCCAAAAGGCTTTCTTCAGCTGTTGCTTAAGATTGTCTTACCGGGGGGGGTATATATTTTTTTCTATTGTTGAGGTCATCAATTGCTGGAAGGCTTTCTTCAGCTGTTGTATATTATTATCAATTATGAGTACGTTATTGTACATGTTTGTAGATCTAAGTGGATATTCAAGGATAGTGCAGTCCTCCGAAGGATTCTTGCTGTTGGTGTTGATCTACATCATTAGCAATGGTCATTTTCAGAGTCAAATAATTAGTAAATGTCAGTTACATTGTATTTGTTGTCTGGTTCATACATCCCAAGTGTGAAGATGACTAATGCTATGAATGTGAGTCCATCAACGCTACGTAAAACCGCCAGTCCTTCCCAGGACTTTACTAACCTGCGCGATCTACATTTACAAACATGACTAATGCTATGAATGTGAGTCCATCAACGCTACGTAAAACCGCCAGTCCTTCCCAGGACTTTACTAAACTGCGCAATCTACATCTACAAACATGACTAATGCTATGAATGTGAGTCCATCAATACTACGTAAAATCGCCAGTCCTTCCCAGGACTTTACTAACCTGCGCGATCTACATCTACAAACGTGTAATGATACTCTGACTTCAAACCATTTACTGTAGTAGCTACATTATCTTTCAAAGAATTCATTTCTATTTCTCCTGAAACAATACAAGTGATTTCGACCACGCTTAATTGGGAGACAATGGAGGACAGTGGAGGGTTGCTAATTACGTACGAAGCATGAAGACTAAGACAAAGTTTGTGTCTTTAAGTGTATACATATTCCTCCCAATAAGTTCACTGTAGGATGAAATAAGTTCACTGTAGGATGAAATAAGTTCACTGTAGGATGAAATAAGTTCACTGTAGGATGAAATAAGTTCACTGTAGGATGAAATAAGTTCACTGTAGGATGAAATAAGTTCACTGTAGGATAAAATATGTTTACTGTAGGATGAAATAAGTTTACTGTAGGATGAAATAAGTTCACTGTAGGATGAAATAAGTTCATTGTAGGATGAACTCTTGTCGTCTTTAACGTTTCTCGCGCTCATATGCCTTTGCCTTTCCTGGCTGATGTATTCAACCTATAAAGTAAATGGTTTGAATCCGGGAGTATCGTTACATGTTTGTAAATGTAGATCGTCCAGGTTGTATAGTCCTGAGAAGAACTGCTTTTGTTGTTGTTGACTGACTCTGAAGATGACTACCGCTAAGGTTGTCGAAACGTCAGTCAACAACAACAAAAACAGTCCATCTCAGGACTATACCAACCTGGACGATCTACACCTACAAACATGTATGCAACCTATTGTGGAAACAATACGGAAGAAATTTAAAGTTCAAACGAAATTTTGTAAAGTATTAATAAAGTCTTGGGAAGTGAGAAAACCGACTACGTCATGAGTCTGGGGAAGTGGGAAAACCGACTACGTCATGAGTCTTGGGAAGTGGGAAAACCGACTACGTCATGAGTCTTGGGAAGTGGGAAAACCGACTACGTCATGAGTCTTGGGAAGTGGGAAAACCGACTACGTCATGAGTCTTGGGAAGTGGGAAAACCGACTACGTCATGAGTCTTGGGAAGTGGGAAAACCGACCACGTCATGAGTCTTGGGAAGTGGGAAAACTGACACGTCATGAGTCTTGGGAAGCAAGAAAACCGATTACGTCATGATTTCTGATCATCGAGCATTTGAACAGTATATTGCTAGTCATTTTTGTCAATATTCAATCGCTTGTACGGTTTTCAACAGCATGAATGGTCTAAAGTTGTCACATTCAGATAGTGCGCCATAGCAAAAACTAAAAACTAACTACGTCTAGATACCACAGGCTTCTCGAAAGCCTATAGGGTAATCCGTTACTGAACGGGGACAACGCAACGCCTTCATTATGTCGAGGATACTGAGCTCCACAAACAAAACTTCTTTCCTTCCTTCCTTGTAATTGTAATGCAAGAATACATGTAATGAAAACACCAAATATGTTGAACTTTCTAAAGATTCTTAGGTTTCATGATAAATGTCGAATGTCGAGCACCCGACGTGTGACATAAAATACTTGAGGGGGTGGGGGTGGGGCAAACAAATCAAATAGTTGACTTGAGGTGTAGCAAAAAATACTTTAGGGGGGAGGGGCAAATAAGTCCAATAATTTAAGGACAATGCATGTTTGCCATGATGTGTAAAAATGCTCTTTGTTTTCGTTTGCAAATTAATTAAAATCTTGTTAAGAAAGTTATGTTATTGGGGGGGAGTGGGACGAGGCAACTCTTCCCTCTTCCTCTCCTCGTCTTCCTATTGTCCGTAACTTAAAACTTCATACGTACAAACTCGTAGAGGTTTTATAACGTTTGATGCTTTGATTCAATAATGGTCTTCAATGTACAGGCTCTTATTTCACATACAACTATCATTTTTTGTTGTTGATATATTTTCAAGTTTAGTCTTTCTAACAATAACATTAAGTTTGAAAAAAGAAGTCCGTGTTTTCGCGCGGTCTTTAGTAGGACGACGATGTATGAAGAGAAGAATGTTTTGCCCAGGCATGTCGCTGCAGTGAACGAACTTTTCTTGCTGTTTCGGTTTTACGTCTTTGCGAAATATCGCTGTCTTCTTCCTTCGGGGAAAGATCAAAAGAAACCACGTTTATTTTGAATGACAAATTCGTTTATCTTTAACGGCTTTCTTCGTCACTTAGAATACTACATATGATTAAATTTCAACTTTGTCTCCAATGTTCTACCAACTAAACTACAAGATGAACTGTAAACTATGATGATATTTTTAAAACACAGTTCTAGTTTCTTTCATATTTTAATATCATAGATAATAACATCACGTTGTTGTGATGTACTCGGGTATAGTAACAAGATAATCATTGTCTTTATTGCTCTACCAACTAAACTACAAGATCAACTGTGAATTATGATATTTCAGTGAAATTCACCCTCACAAGTACAAAGTTCTACCTATATGTACCCATTATGTACATTATGTACCTCGACTGGGGTCATTTCACAACCGTCTGGTAAATCATTATTGTTCTCTTCCTGCGGTCCGACTCTGTTTCTTTTCCTTTCGCTTTGTGTGGATCCGAATTTCCTGATGAAGTAACATGACCCAGCCATAAGCGTGATCTGAAATGTTTAATGAGGATAATTTTTTTCTCTACTTTCTTTTAAACTGTTTAACTTTCTGACAACCTCAATAAACTCTTCATTCTGACAACTTCAATCAACTCCTGCTATTGACGCCCTCGATAGTCTCTTCATTTAGACAACTTGTATAAAGTCTTCATGCTGACAACGTCAATCAACTCCTGCTATTGACAATCTCAATTTACTAATCCTTCTGACAACGTCAATAAACTCTTCATTTTGACAACATCAATCAACTCTTCATGCTGACAACCTCAATCAACTCTTGCTATTGACAACATCAATCAACTTCTGCTATTGACAACATCAATCAACTCGTGCTATTGACAACATCAATCAACTCGTGCTATTGACAACCTCAATCAACTCGTGCTATTGACAACCTCAATCAACTCCTGCTATTGACAACCTCAATCAACACGTGCTATTGACAACATCAATCAACTCCTGCCATTGACAACATCAATCAACTCGTGCTATTGACAACATCAATCAACTCGTGCTATTGACAACATCAATCAACTCCTGCCATTGACAACCTCAATCAACACGTGCTATTGACAACATCAATCAACTCCTGCCATTGACAACATCAATCAACTCGTGCTATTGACAACCTCAATCAACTCCTGCTATTGACAACCTCAATCAACTCCTGCTATTGACAACCTCAATCAACTCCTGCTATTGACAACCTCAATCAACTCCTGCTATTGACAACCTCAATCAACTCCTGCTATTGACAACCTCAATCAACTCTTGCTATTGACAACCTCAATCAACTCCTGCCATTGACAACATCAATCAACTCGTGCTATTGACAACCTCAATCAACTCCTGCTATTGACAACCTCAATCAACTCCTGCTATTGACAACCTCAATCAACTCCTGCTATTGACAACCTCAATCAACTCTTGCTATTGACAACCTCAATCAACTCCTGCCATTGACAACATCAATCAACTCCTGCTATTAACAACCTCAATCAACTATTTCTTCTGACAGCATCAATAAACTCTTCCATTTTGACAACATCAATCAACTCTTTGTGCTGAAAATCTCAATCTATTATTGCATTTGACAAACTCAATAAACTCTTCATTATGACAATCTCCAGTGACTTTCACTCGCTCTATTCATCGTCCAAAACTTACCAATGATCCCATGACAGCACCTGCAGCCGAGGCAATAATAATCTGATTATCTTCAAACCACTGGACAAGCTTAGTTAGACAGTCCTGTCGTTCAGAGTATTACATTACAATTGTAAACCAGCTTGGCTACTCAACTGAAAAGCTATCTTATAAGAATGGTATACATGTTAGGACGTAAAATGGCGTTTTGCATTGTGGGCAGGGAGATAAAGGACCGGGGCATTATGGGCAGGGAGATAAGGAATCAATCAGATCTGTAAGAAATTTCAGTTTTCTTTTACTATAAAAGTCTGTGGTAAAAATCTTCCGAACAAGTATTCTTATGTTGACGTGTTATCAACTTGCAAATGTTTACGTTATTTAAAGTCAGCTTTATTGCCTCTATAGCTACGTTGTTTAGCTTGTAATGAATTTGAAGTTGTGCTAGCTTATTTCAACAAACCAGTTTTCTCTCGTAGTTGGTAATGTTGACGAAGCAAGATGGATCGGTGTTTGAAGGTCTTTCAGAGACGTACTCACCAACATCACAACAGTCAAACTACAGCAAGGACATTAACACATCATAGTTAGTGTATCTTGTAGAGACGTATTCATTAACATCACAAACGGTACATTAACAGATCATAGTGGAGCTTGAGGAGGGTTGAGTTTATGTATGTTCTTTTTTATCTTTAATGAAAGATCGCTGCTGTGGCTGGCTAACAAAGTATGTTTTCAGGTTATTTTATATTTTACTTTCTGTTCGCACCGTCGAAGATAAATATAAGGGTTGTTTGTGGATCAGTGATTTCCATTTTTCTATAAAGTTGGGCTCCACTATTTGGATTATAAATAATATTCTTTGGATTTTGGATTTTACTCGTGGTCTACCCTTTGCACGTAATCCTAATCTCTCGCCATGGATTCTGGATTCTTTTTCTGGATTTCAGATTTCAAATTCATGAAAAGGGATTATTTCGACGATGAACAAACTCATTTACTAACCTTAATTTCTAAATTTACTCATCGTCACTTAGTACTGTGGGATTTATTTATTTTATGCTGCCATATTGCTTTTTTCAACGCACCTTCGTTTGTAGGAAAATTCTTGTGTCGTCGTTAGTTCTGTTCCATTGGTTTACAACTATCTCATCCATCTATAAATTCGCAAAAATTGCCATATTTTTATATCACTGCTTGTAGTCTTGTATTCGCACATATCCCCTAATGTCCCTTATTGATGGTACAATTTCTGTTATATTACCACCTGTATGCCCATATGTCCCCTAATGTTCCTCAATGATGTTTTTATCATTACCTCTGTTGTTATATTACCACCTGTATGCCCATATGTCCCCTAATGTTCCTCGATGATGTTTTTATTATTATCTCTGTGCGTATGCATCTTTCCCCTAATGTCTCTCTCTTAACCCTGTTTCCCCTATCACAACGGACAATTGAAAACATTACTTTATGTCGGCTTACCCTCGATCTTTTTACGACTCCCAAGATGAGCAAGCCGAAGAGCGTGCAAAATACAACACATACAATGAAGAAATACTAGAAAACGAAAATACTCACAGTTGAAGGATTCATGTTACATGATTTTATTCATTTGTGGAGCTGATTCAAATATGATGGACGAAACATTCGCTTTTAAAAATGTCAGTCAAATCAATTCGTGAAAGACACTGAATCGCAACAATGTCTTTTTTTGTTTATTGTGTTCACTTTAGCAAACCGAGGAGACGTTTTGGAGAACTCGAGAGCTGATCAGTGCAACTCTGTTCAAAAACGTCTCCGTGGCTCGCTTTAGCCAGTGCAAACATGAAAAACATCTTTTATTTCTTTTATAAAATAACATTACTGCTAATAACAGATGTTAATTTCAAACAAATGTTTTAATATTTTATCTCTGACACATGTTCATGATTGATTGGCAAATTCTCTTTGATTCATTTAACAGATTGAGCTCAGATCGGTTTTCACAGGCTAATGCAATGCAAACACGGCTATTGACCAATCAGCGCGCGCGTTTTATTGTTATTTTGCAGTGAATATAGTCATTTGAAAGACTCAACTACTACTTTTTTCGGACTGAATATGAATATATTTCTTATATTAACATGTACTTACAACTTTCAACAGTGCTCGGTTGCCCAACAAAAACCCGAATGTTCCTAGAATTCCTACAAGTATAAAGGAAAATATATATCAAACTCTATTCAAGTTGAATTTGTCCGTAGAGCAGGGTTGCTATCTTTCTTTGATCATTATAAGTTAACATGGCTGACAGTTGACAAAGCGAACTGCACTAACTTCTAATTTAGTAAATGGTTTGAACCCGAGTATCGTTACATGTTTGTAAATGTAGATCGTCCAGGTTGGTATAGTCCTGAGAAGGACTGTTTTTGTTGTTGTTGACTGACGTTTCGACAACATTAGCGGTAGTCATCTTCAGAGTCTTTTGACAACAAAAACAGTCCTTCTCAGGACTATACCAACCTGGACGATCTACATTTACAAACATCTAATTTCCTATACACCTTATTCGCGATGCAAGAAAACAAATATTCAAATCGTACCAAGAAACCATTGATCATAAGAGGAACTGCTAGCGTTTTTGTCAATGATTTCAGGCCTGCGGTATTTAATGCCAGAGGTTGCAGTCACCCAACATGCCGATCCGAATGACGCAACCCAATAAAGTTATTGTATACAATGCTTGATAATTCCCAATAGTTATGAAGTTTGTTGCTTTTTCAATACAAAATGAACTCGACCCAAACCCCTAACACATTGAACTAAATTACGTGGAATGCTACCTCAAGCGAATAATTGAAGCCATATCTTACCCCAGGCACGCGAGATTTTACCCCAGACACGCGTGTTTAGTGTTTCGAGATTCTCTCGCGGAGGAATAATTGATTGACTACACACACGTGTCTGGGGTAATTACACACGCGTATTAGGATTTTGTATTACAGGTAGCGTTCCATGTATTTTAGTTAAATGCCCTAACCTCTCGGCTAGCCATTGACAATTCCAATGATTTCCAATGTAATAAACTTAATATATAAAACAAAATTTTTTATTACAGACATGTTTCGGCAAACTTATAACATCGTTAGCGTAAATGAATATGTTACAGAATGTGATGAAGTAAATGGTTTGAGCCCGGGAGTATCGTTACATGTTTGTAAATGTAGATCGTCCAGGTTGGTATAGTCCTGAGAAGGACTGTTTTTGTTCTTGTTGACTGACGTTTCGACAACCTGAGCGGTAGTCATCTTCAGAGTCAAATGGAATTTACAAACAGAATGTCATACTTAAATATATAAATAGAGATAAACGACTTACAGTTAATTGAGATGAGGATAGTAAAAATCCTTCGAAACATGTCAGTAATAAAAAAGTTTGCTTTATATATTCTGTTTATTATTTCAATTGTGCTTCACGTAAATATGGAAATTTCTTGATGACAACAAAACTTATTGGTTACAACGTTCGGATCTATTGAGCTATCTATGACAGCCAATTGAAACTTCAACGGATAATGCCAGCGTTTCATTATTCGAATATATCAAATCCTTTTAAAGGTGAACCTAGAATGGTGATTTTCGTTTGACTGACAAACTTATATTTGTGCTAAACTACGAATTCCCATATTTTATGTTACAGCAGTTAACGGAGATATTGTGCTAAACGTGATCCATCTTTCAAACAAAGCGGTCAAAAAGTACTTCTAGACTGCTACAAAGTATTTGAAATTCGCCTAATTTACCTGCGGTCCAGTGTGATGTAGGCGATGAAGATTGTCTATTGCAAATGATACAATGGGTCCAAAACTATTCTACAACATTGGGACTGCGGATAGAATTCCTACCAAACTCTATTCAACCGTATTGCTATCTTTCTTTGATCATTCATGGCTGATTGACAAAGCGAACTGCACGTAAAAACCGATCCCTGTACTGAACAGCGGTAGGAGACATGGACTATATGCGAGCGATGCAAGAAAACAAATATTCAAATCGTACCAAGAAACCATTGATCATAAGAGGAACTGCTAGCGTTTTGTCAATGATTTCAGGCCTGCGGTATTTAATGCCAGAGGTTGCAGTCACCCAACATGCCGATCCGAATGACGCAACCCAATAAAGTTATTGTATACAATGCTTGATAATTCCCAATAGTTATGAAGTTTGTTGCTTTTTCAATACAAAATGAACTCGACCCAAACCCCTAACACATTGAACTAAATTACGTGGAATGCTACCTCAAGCGAATAATTGAAGCCATATCTTACCCCAGGCACGCGAGATTTTACCCCAGACACGCGTGTTTAGTGTTTCGAGATTCTCTCGCGGAGGAATAATTGATTGACTACACACACGTGTCTGGGGTAATTACACACGCGTATTAGGATTTTGTATTACAGGTAGCGTTCCATGTATTTTAGTTAAATGCCCTAACCTCTCGGCTAGCCATTGACAATTCCAATGATTTCCAATGTAATAAACTTAATATATAAAACAAAATTTTTTATTACAGACATGTTTCGGCAAACTTATAACATCGTTAGCGTAAATGAATATGTTACAGAATGTGATGAAGTAAATGGTTTGAGCCCGGGAGTATCGTTACATGTTTGTAAATGTAGATCGTCCAGGTTGGTATAGTCCTGAGAAGGACTGTTTTTGTTCTTGTTGACTGACGTTTCGACAACCTGAGCGGTAGTCATCTTCAGAGTCAAATGGAATTTACAAACAGAATGTCATACTTAAATATATAAATAGAGATAAACGACTTACAGTTAATTGAGATGAGGATAGTAAAAATCCTTCGAAACATGTCAGTAATAAAAAAGTTTGCTTTATATATTCTGTTTATTATTTCAATTGTGCTTCACGTAAATATGGAAATTTCTTGATGACAACAAAACTTATTGGTTACAACGTTCGGATCTATTGAGCTATCTATGACAGCCAATTGAAACTTCAACGGATAATGCCAGCGTTTCATTATTCGAATATATCAAATCCTTTTAAAGGTGAACCTAGAATGGTGATTTTCGTTTGACTGACAAACTTATATTTGTGCTAAACTACGAATTCCCATATTTTATGTTACAGCAGTTAACGGAGATATTGTGCTAAACGTGATCCATCTTTCAAACAAAGCGGTCAAAAAGTACTTCTAGACTGCTACAAAGTATTTGAAATTCGCCTAATTTACCTGCGGTGAAAAGGATTGTAGCCAGTGTGATGTAGGCGATGAAGATTGTCTATTGCAAATGATAATGTAAGAATTAGCAATGCTTAAACTTCATTTTAGGTGATTAAGGGTTTCGTATTACAGTTGATAATGTCAAAAATTAGCTGTGCTAAGATTTAAGGTTTCTAACGCCTGTGTTCTAAAAGTTTGCTCATATTCACTGAGTGGGTTTTTCCATCGATGGCAAAATTTTTGTAAAATATTTCAAATCATGCGATCAGTGTTTATAAAAATACGGTCTGGGAATAGTTAGCTATGTAGCGATTTTGTAGCCGTCTTTTGAGTTTGAGCGAGCTTTTACTGGCGCGAGGGTTTGTTGAGAAACGAGAAGGTTCTCCAACTAAAGCTGGAAATGTTTTTGTGGCAATTTTTGTACAACGTTTCTGCGCATTTTATAAAAATTCATGTGTTTGAAAGCTGTACACAGAACTGGCCTTTTAAAAGAGCTTTTATGTACAATCGCTCAACATAAAATGTGAATTCAGACAATGGTAGGAATGGCGATGCACAGAGATAAAGCCAAGCAAAAACAATATTCTTAAAAAAGTATCTGTCTTTACAGGTTATCAAACAAAACTTATCAACGAACATTGTTTTCTTAAAAACCTTATATCTCTTCAGCTTGACAGTTCTTTTCATATCATGGACGATGTATTGATTTACTAACGAAAATCCCACCTGATTTTCCATGAAATGTTTGTACTCGTTCTCGGAAACAACGATCCATATGGCGACACCAATCAGCGCTCCTCCTCCAAGCTAAATATATACATTTTAAAGTCCGTTTCAACGTGCGTTTTGAGGCTGGATCCTCTTAAGCTTTTAGCCACAACAAACATATCATATAACAAAAACAACAAGTTTTAAGCTCGGCATCTGTAGTCGAACTACTGTAGTTTGCGTGACTTAAACAAATTAGTATACAACGTTTGAATTCCTTTGTGAAAAACTGTCATGATTATTTTACAAGTTCCATATTGCCTTTTAACTTAAAATACGAAAAGCTCTGAAGTGTCTATAAGTGTACCTTGTTGGACTTATCTTAAATTTCTTTTCTTATGTTGCAGTTTTATGAGCAACGACTCATGGTAATTATTGATTTGAAATGTAAATTATCGCAATAGCTTTACACATTTTCACTCATGGAACACGATTGCAGTCTGCTTATTTTATATTTTTTTCAACTATCAAAGAAACCCCGTCGTTACGCAATTTGTAAAATCTTTACTCTTCCAGTTTACGCGTATTCAAAAACATGCTCAAACAACCATACATTCATAAACAGACCTTACTTTTCACGGCCGAATAATATATGAATCTTACTGTTTATTCACCTACCCAGGTCAGAAGATTAATAATGAAATATAGGAATCGACTACATCGTGATCCAAATGATTTGCCATTTCGGCTGACAGACGCGTTCTCTGAATTCATGGCTGAGCGGAACTCTGATATAATTCCTCAAATCTTTGTTCCTCGACTCGTGAGAATGCAGAGTATTATGAAATGTTGAACTTTCGATTTCGGCGTGAAATGAAATTTCAGCTATTTGTACAAATTAAAGCAATGTTGACTCAGACGACGTTGTACACATATCAAGTTTAGAAATTTGATATATTGATGGTTTTTAACAGCAAATTAGCCAAAGCGCGTCATCTTACACATTAGGTTTATGCCTGTTTAGTCTAACGATTCCAGTTTCTTCATTTGAATAGTTATGAATGACTATTGAAATTTTGGTCGTTAAACTTTAAAAACAAAATCAACAACAATTTTGAATGCGTACCAAGCGACAATCTCATAAAGTGTAAAATAAAACATAATCCTTTGTAATACTTCTTGTTGACTCAAAATTAAGTTGTATGCAAGATATATTATGAAATAAAACCGAAATAATTCAGTTTCATATCTTGATTATAACTTCAATTTGAGTATACAAGACATATTTCTTAGGGTTATTCTTCATTACTACACCTATACTCTAATGCTCATAATAACAATTCTTTATGACAGCATTGACAGTTACACCTAAAACGTGGAACAGCATTGACAGTTAAACCTAAAACGTGGGACAGCATTGACAGTTACACCTAAAACGTGGGACAGCATTGACAGTTAAACCTAAAACGTGTGACAGCATTGACAGTTACACCTAAAACGTGTGACAGCATTGACAGTTACACCTAAAACGTGGGACAGCATTGACAGTTAAACCTAAAACCTGGGACAGCATTGACAGTTACACCTAAAACGTGGGACAGCATTGACAGTTACACCTAAAACGTGGGACAGCATTGACAGTTACACCTAAAACGTGTGACAGCATTGACAGTTACACCTAAAACGTGGGACAGCATTGACAGTTACACCTAAAACGTGGGACAGCATTGACAGTTACACCTAAAACGTGTGACAGCATTGACAGTTACACCTAAAACGTGTGACAGCATTGACAGTTACACCTAAAACGTGTGACAGCATTGACAGTTACACATAAAACGATGTGACAGCATTGACAGTTACACCTAAAACGTGGGACAGCATTGACAGTTACACCTAAAACGTGTGACAGCATTGACAGTTATATCTAAAACGTGTGACAGCATTGACAGTTACACCTAAAACGTGGGACAGCATTGACAGTTACACCTAAAACGTGTGACAGCATTGACAGTTACACCTAAAACGTGGGACAGCATTGACAGTTACACCTAAAACGTGTGACGGCATTGACAGTTATATCTAAAACGTGTGACAGCATTGACAGTTACACCTAAAACGTGTGACAGCATTGACAGTTACACCTAAAACATGTGACAGCATTGACAGTTATATCTAAAACGTGTGACAGCATTGACAGTTACACCTAAAACGTGTGACAGCATTGACAGTTACACCTAAAACGTGTGACAGCATTGACAGTTATATCTAAAACGTGTGACAGCATTGACAGTTACACCTAAAACATGTGACAGAATTGACAGTTATATCTAAAACGTGTGACAGCATTGACAGTTACACCTAAAACATGTGACAGCATTGACAGTTACACCTAAAACGTGGGACAGCATTGACAGTTAAACCTAAAACGTGGGACAGCATTGACAGTTACACCTAAAACGTGTGACAGCATTGACAGTTATATCTAAAACGTGTGACAGCATTGACAGTTACACCTAAAACATGTGACAGCATTGACAGTTACACCTAAAACGTGGGACAGCATTGACAGTTATATCTAAAACGTGTGACAGCATTGACAGTTACACCTAAAACATGTGACAGCATTGACAGTTACACCTAAAACGTGGGACAGCATTGACAGTTATATCTAAAACGTGGGACAGCATTGACAGTTACACCTGAAACATGTGACAGCATTGACAGTTATATCTAAAACGTGTGACAGCATTGACAGTTACACCTAAAACGTGTGACAGCATTGACAGTTACACCTAAAACGATGTGACAGCATTGACAGTTATATCTAAAACGTGTGACAGCATTGACAGTTACACCTAAAACGTGTGACAGCATTGACAGTTACACCTAAAACGTGTGACAGCATTGACAGTTACACCTAAAACGTGTGACAGCATTGACAGTTATATCTAAAACGTGTGACAGCATTGACAGTTACACCTAAAACATGTGACAGCATTGACAGTTATATCTAAAACGTGTGACAGCATTGACAGTTACACCTAAAACGTGTGACAGCATTGACAGTTACACCTAAAACGTGTGACAGCATTGACAGTTATATCTAAAACGTGTGACAGCATTGACAGTTATATCTAAAACGTGTGACAGCATTGACAGTTACACCTGAAACGTGTGACAGCATTGACAGTTACACCTAAAACATGTGACAGCATTGACAGTTATATCTAAAACGTGTGACAGCATTGACAGTTACACCTAAAACGTGTGACAGCATTAACAGTTACACCTAAAACGTGGGACAGCATTGACAGTTACACCTAAAACGTGTGACAGCATTGACAGTTACACCTAAAACGTGGGACAGCATTGACAGTTACACCTAAAACGTGGGACAGCATTGACAGTTACACCTAAAACGTGGGACTGCATTTTGAGTTATAAATTGACTTTAGGTACAGAATAGATAGATATCTTAGCAGAAGATCCACTCGTGTCGGAACCTTTGATGTTAGTGTCTCCCACTTTTCTGAAGCAAATTCTAGAGCAGACAGGCCTTCCAGCAAGATACTTCCGCCAAGATGGCAATAGAAAATATAGATGTCTTTACAAATAAATCGTTTTTCACTAAAAAAGCTTGGAACCTTATCGTCTTCGTAAGATGATAACATTTTGTAAAAATTTCGGCAAACTTTTTTTTTAAACATGAATTATTAGTAAAATAGCATTCTCGCGTGCAATACTATTCCATATTGATTTTGTGAAAGTATCTTGCTGGGAAGTCACGCATGCGTAGTGAAAAAATGCGCCACGATTTTAGCCGAGTGGGCCTTCTGTTAGATGTCTATTCTGTGCTTTAGGTATCTTATAAATAAGAGAAAACAGGAAGTAATGGAGCATATATGAAAAACAACAACTCATCATTCATTATGTGGAATTATACCGTCAATAGTTAGTTTTGTTGTATTTTATCGAAATTTGTTTATTTTTTGTTTGTAAAACAGGAAAATCGACATTAAAATCACCTACGATAATATAAACGGACTACAATCACCTATGATTACATTGACGGAAACAGACGTGTTCAACTAAATACGTCACAAGTGTCAATATGGCGTCGAAAAAAGTTCGCAAATAGGACCCAACTTCAGAGGCAAAAATGAACGGATAAATATAAATATACCTTTTTAAGTCCGTCGACGTGTCACAATCCTTCAAATAGTCCAAACTTTCAATTTAGCTAATAAAAAAGGAGGGCTAAACATCGTCGCATAAACACTTTAACACTTTTGCGTTAATTAATATTCGCGGTATTTAACTGGCATGTTTATACATATTATTTATGCCTGATTTTGAAGTAATTAACAACCTGCAACAACATGATAAGTTCTGCACATGATAATTCGATGTTTGAACCGGGCCTTAGCCTTGGTTTGTATTACATAATCAGACATAGAAATGTCGAAGATTACCTACGACGAAGCTCTTGAACTGCTGGAAGTGCGTTGGAAAGTTTTGAATGTCGAGCAGCGACTGAAGTCCGACAGAAAGAACTTGGTGGATATGAATATGTACCTTTCCAAAGTATTTCAGTTCTCAGTATTTCACGTGAGGAGAGAAATGTAATGTCGACCAGTCAACAAATGAAAGAAATGTGCTTTTATGGAGAAGGGGGTCTTTGTTATGTGATAGCCTACTTTTGTTGGATGTTGTTCGGTGCACTAGGCTTCTCTGTACGCCTGATCAGTTCAACTGTGACATCGACAAAATCGTATATGGACAATCATGCTATTGTGTTAATTCATGGCTTAGTATATGAAACTGATATTCACTTAGTTGATTGTGGCTCGGGATATCCAACGTTTCGTGCAGTATCATTGAATTTCTCCAACGAATCCCCCGTATTTAAGGACGGATTTCTCGAGTACAAATTCATTCGCCATGATGGTAAAATTCTGCGCATGCACGGAAAGGGTGATCGCTTAATACGAAACGATCCACCAATAGAAGGTCTTGATTTCATAATTGGCCATTGGCGTCGGTTTTATTTCTTTGACCTCAGTAGAAAGCATGAAATTGCACTTGAACCTGTTCAAGTTGCCTGTAGAATAGTTGCTTGTGATTTAACTCCCTTCACTTCCAATCCATTAGCAATTTGGTTTCCAAGAAAACGCGCTGTCATGATCATTAAAAACAAGTTGATGTTGGAGAACGAAAAAGGCCAACTAGTCACCACCATTTTGGCGAATGATGAAGAAGTCATAAAGGCATATAATAAATACTTTTCAATTTTTAAGGAAGAAAAAATAAAGCGCGCATTGGAAGAATGGCATGAAGTATCAGGAAACTCCAGATGAGTTATATACAATAACCACTCTGGATCTGGGTACAATTATATAGTATTACAACAGGGTAGGGATGCAAATGTTTTTAAGGACTTATGACAAAATAAGTAATTGGTGTTGAATTAAACTATTATCACGTAAATTAGAAGTGAGTAACACTATATTGTACTGCAGTAGAGCGAAATGAAATGTTTGTGGTTGCTCTTGTTGAAAAGGATGACTTTTAAGGGGTTGTAAAATTACATTCGTGAATTATATGGAGCACATACATAACACGAAGTCTTTAAAGCAATGAAAATCATTCTTTGATGGCTTGATGAAAGTATGAAACACGACAATTGCCTTCATAAAATATTGCCACATGTAAGAATGAGTTGATTGCCTTGAATCAGAGGCGGACACGGCTATTCTAAACACCTGCAGCAAAATTTCTTCACGTGAAAACTTTTCTTCTCAGTTCAGAATTTAATTTCACTTTCAATGATCTGCAAGCAGTAACGTTTGTCTCAGAAATTTTCCCAGAAATTTGCATGCCTCAACAATTTACAAAATAAAACAAATTGCGAAGAGGGACATATCGTTTTCTTGATATTCAAGATATTACAAGAGTTTGAAACAAAAGATGGTGCAATATTTCGTCTTTATTCCAAAGACATCATTAGACTTATAGTTTACAATGCAGGCTGCGAAACGTTTATATATTTACAAGCGGAAATGACAGTTATGTAATTAGAGAACTATAAGACTAAGCAATCAGGCAGTATACTTATTGAAATAGAGATAATTTCTTACACGCTTTGAGACCACTATTAAGTTGTGGCATATTGCCTTTTATCAAAAGTGCTTCTAAGGTGAGAAGTTGATTAGGATTATTATTTTTACAGCGATATAAGATTTTGGTGTTACTTGCAATCAAATTACATGGATTAAGTGGCACGCGTGTGAGATCGGGGTCGGAATCAGCGTCAGCAATTTACAATTTACCAAACACTAGCCTACTTCAACATATTATTGTAAACCAAGTGTTTTTTCTAAAACTTAAGTGGCTTTTTGTAAAGCAGAGTTTTTTAGGATTGTAATCTAAGCAAGAAGACTGACAGAGCAACTGACAAACAGTATTCAAATTTCATCGACAGTCGCACTAATAAAAAAAGGAAGTGAAATATAAAATTTAAGTTGAGATTCTAACAAGAGATTTCTTACAGTAGCATTAATAATGAATGTTTTAGGACAAAAACACTTACGATTGCTCCCATTGTTTTTTTTTAAATAAACAAAACGCCAGCTCTGGCGTAAACCCCTTGTGCAAAGTTGTGTGTGAAATTCCACGACAGTACATTCACCTCACTATCAATTTTGTTGCAAATTGCTATTCTACTTTAAGGATACAGAAAATAGTGAAGGCACACCTGCAAGTCATACTGATAAGTGGAAAATAGTGAAGGCACACCTACAAGTCACACTGATAAGTGGAAAATAGTGAAGACACACCTACAACTCACACTGATAAATGGAAAATAGTGAAGGCACACCTACAAGTCACACTGATAAGTGGAAAATAGTGAAGGCACACCTACAAGTCACACTGATAAGTGGAAAATAGTGAAGGCACACCTACAACTCACACTGATAAGTGGAAAATAGTGAAGACACACCTACAAGTCACACTGATAAATGGAAAATAGTGAAGGCACACCTACAAGTCACACTGATAAGTGGAAAATAGTGAAGGCACACCTACAACTCACACTGATAAATGGAAAATAGTGAAGGCACACCTGCAAGTCACACTGATAAGTGTACCTTTGGTATAGGTAAAAGCATGGTTTCGAGTGCAATTTGGGAAAAACATGCACAAGTGAGTTTTTCAAAGACTATCAAAATTGCACGAGTCCAAAGGACGAGTCATCCTAAACCAATCAGAATTAAGAAGTAGTGATTTTGAAGTAGTTAACACGCTGCAATATACTTGTGTTTACTTGTATTTTATACTTTGACAATTTAAGATTTATTTCGCCATAAAACTTTACACGGACATTCATTTCCACAGTTATTTCAATTGCTCATTTTTGCAATTCGTGAAAAATCTGTTTGACTTCTCGTTTTAAAGCAAGTTCAGATGCCGTTGCTTTTTTGATATCTATTAATGTCACATTACATCCGGGAAAGTTGACGAGCCTGTACACGACAGATGGATGGCCAGCGGCTGATGCCAAGTGTAACGCTAGTAAATTAGAGCCATAGTTAGAACATTGTAATCCTACATATTATACGGAACAAAGGAATGGCCTTGAGATGAACATTATTTATAGTCTTTACCAGTCCTTCCGTTCTTGTCTTGACGGTTGACGTCACTCCCAGTTTTCAAAAGGAAATTTACGGCTTCGTCATTGCCTTCCTAGATGTTTGAATTAAATATCTTGTTACTAAACCTGAGTACATCACAACAACGTGATGTTATTATCGATGATATTAAGATATGAAAGAAACTAGAACTGTGCTTTGAAATATCATCATAGTTCACAATTGATCTTGTAGTTTAGTTGGTAGAATATTGAAGACAATGATTATCTTGTTACTATACCTGAGTACATCACAACAACGTGATGTTATTATCTACGATATTAAGATATGAACGAGACAAGAATTGTGTTTTGAAATATCATCAATTTTTTAACCAAAATGTTGGCCTGGTATCTCATCTATCATTACCTTCGCTGCAATGTGTAAAGCAGTCATTCCAGAATAATCGACACTGCTTGTAACATCAACTTTCATCTCCTCCACAAGGTATTTCAGGGGTAATAAGGAATCCGATAGGACAGCCATATGTGCACACTGTCGTCCCAATTTATCCCTTGCAACTGGACTGGCTTGTTGCTGTTGGAAAGAGTAAAAAGATCTTTGTATTTAAGATCGCATATTCAGTCGAACCAGCTTTAATTAATTCTCTCTTCATCAATTAATAGTCCAGTCACGAACTACAACGTGATTGTTTATAAATTAAAAGACGCAGGCTGCATACTCCACAATTTATTTAAAACCTTAAATCTTGTTTCGTCCGGAATCTGACTACTTGCACTTTATTTGCCCTGAATATTTTTAATTACATTGTGGTTCACGACAAGACTCAAAACCATATATTTTGGCCAGTCTGTAACTTTGGCCCAGCCATTATTTCTACATTGTGTGATCACCAAACGTGATGGCTACGTCACCATATATATCCTACCCTTGCTTGGGAAATGTTTAATTTGTTTTTATAACAATGGTCAACGAACCTTCGTGATTAAAAGTTTCACAACTTCGATACAGTTTCCTTTACAACTTTCCATTAATGGCGTGCACCCACATGAATCGGCGCGATCTGATGGGAAGTTTGCTCTACAAGAATTATAGAAACGATGAAATTCGAAGGATGATTGTAAACATATGTTTTTATTGTTCAGTGTTTTTTTTCGTACCGCTCTAGCAGACATTGAACTGTTTCATAGTGTCCATATAAAGCTGCAATCAACAAAACATGTTAGCAGAAAAAAATGGTCCTAAGAAAACATAGAAGTGTTCTTAAATCATTGTCCTGTAAAAGCCTTTTTATGTTGTTGCGATGTCTATGGTTGTGTGTCAAAAGAGACATGAATGTATCACTGTGACAGTATAGGGAATAAACAGTAGGTCCACTTTGAGTGCAACAGGCTGCTGTATGTTTAATATGATTATTGTCTGCCGTAAGCCATTTCATCATTCTTATTGGTCAGAAATTGCAATTGACTTGCTGCCAATATGGTAATCACATGCGTAATGATATATATGGGCACGAAAAAATTCAATGGAGTGGCTCTACTGTATGTTCTCTATACTGTGACACTGGTATACATTACAGTGGAATAGAATGGTCCTTAGGATGACGGGGGGGGGCGTTCGAGAGACATACCTGCCGTGTGGAGAGGTGTTCGACCATTATTACTAACGCTGTTCCAAATATCAGGGAACTCATCCAGAAAATATTGAATTATGTTCACGTGTCCTTCTCTTGAGGAGAAAAAAAAGGCGATTTTAAAAAAAACTTTTTAAAGTTCTAACACATCATCTTCTTCGATCAAGATGTGTCATAATGCTTTAGCTTTATTTGTACATTTGCTCTTTAGAAAAAGGAAGGGGAAGGCGATAGACGGAGATGTAGTGTGGGCAAGAGAAAAATGGAAGAATGGTTGCACGTTAAATCAAAAGAACGTTTGAACGTTTAAATACTAAAGGCTGACAACCGTCAAAATGGCAAGGCAATCGATTCGGTAGATTTTAATGACATCACAATCCACAGCTTTCAAATTTTGGTAAAATTTCATGGTGAAAGTTTGAAGGACATTACAATCTGGTCACGTTTATACCTGGCTGCGATATGAAAGGAATTCCAACCGTCTTTATTTCTTAAATACGGATTTGCCCCGGCTTTCAACAGTTCTTTGATTATTTCGATGCAGTCTTTGGTACAAGCAAGCATCAGAGGAGTCCTGGGGTCGAACAATTTGAATTTAACAGAAATGATTAGCGACGATAGAGGATGAAGGTTAGTCAAAATAGCATGAAACGGATCATTTTTTGCAAGAAAAAATTTCTCAAAAGCAAGTGGATCGTTATAAATTCAACCTTTTGAAGTTCACTACAACTTGCATTTCAATCAAGGTGTTCTTAATTAATATGTAAACTGCTATAACGTATTTTAAGTAACGTTGGATCGGCACTATGAACACCTAATGTCGTGGAAAATTACTCGCGCAACATGAAATACGCTTTGTATTAAAAAAAACTAGCTTCTAAATGCAATCTTTGAGAGTGCCATATTCATTAAAGTCTATTTACCAATCGGCTCTTTTCAGGCTATCAATTTCAACTTTTCTACTGATTAAATATATCACGCAAGCGGTATGTCCGGCGAGAACGGCTTCGTGCAAAGCTCTCTTGCCATCGTTATTCCATTGTTCTAAACACTGAGCACATTCTTCCACCAAATACCGTAACATATGGACATGTCCGTATCTTGCACATAACAGTAAACATGTGTCTCCCGATCTTGTATGTCTCCAGCGAAGTAACTCGTGGCCAGACGCTTCTACAGTGGAGACAAACTCTTTGTAGTTACCTGATTTTGTGCATCGTAAAATAATGTGCTCTAGATCGGTGTTTTTTCTTTCATTTTTATTCCGATTCATTCTTTCGCTCCTCTCATCGCCGCCATTTTGTTTACGAATTTTGTTTTATGCAATACGTCATGTTATACAAATGATGAGCATCTTTGAAGAAATTGGTGATCGATAAACTAGTTTAAAGTAAATGGTTTGAACTCGGGAGTATCGTTACATGTTTGTAGATGTAGATCGTCCAGGTTGGTATAGTCCTGAGAAGGACTGTTTTTGTTGTTGTCAACTGATGTTTCGACAACCTTAGCGGTGGTCGTCTTCAGAGTCAAAAAATAAAAAAAAAATCTTTTTTGACTCTGAAGATGACTACCGCTAAGGTTGTCGAAACGTCAGTCAACAACAACAAAAACAGTCCTTCTAGTTTGTCGGATACCGAAGGTTACGTAAATCACGCGTGACTGCCACGACGTCCTTGACCAATCAAATTATTTCTTGCATCGTTTCACGCGCTGATGTCACTAATGACACGTAAAATGAAACATGATTTAGTTACATTATAAGTAATTTACTGCCACATTTGAGATTGCAGTGCCGTAAAGTTTGCTGTGATATTTGGCAACAAAGTATTCAAACACGCAAATATAAACAAACGATGTTCTCGGGTGGCCTGAGTGAACGCCTGATAAACGTGTTCTTACATTAAGAATTCGTTTTCCACCTCGTAAATTTAAATATTATAAAATATATATATTATAATAGTTTATAACCAAACAGAGTGGAGTTTATAAACAAAGCTATAAGGGTGGCACGAGAAAGGCTGTTGTACTTTGTTGAAACTGACAATGACTCCGTACAAGTAAAACATATAAGGAAAATTTTGAGCACGCATGCTCACAACCACTACGGAAGCTGAACAAACTAATAAATACGCAGAGCGTTGTTTGTAAGAAAATAATACATTTATCACGGATGGAAGCGCACATTTATAAATATTTCGTTTTTAACTCTTTCCAACTGAATAAAAATGTATGATTAATATCATAGTAAGTGAAAACCATTGTTTGAAGATTATATCCTTGGATATAAACACGTTTCACAAGAGATTTCCAAACTGGTTTTAACCATGTTAATGGGCTTGCACTGATCTGCTCTCGAGTTCTCCCAAAGGTCTTCTCGGTTTGCATAAGTCTGTACAAACACCTTTGATTTTTACTGTATAAAACACAGTAACTTTGACTGTAACAGTACGAACACAGTAAACACCTCGCTATGAAGTAAAGTCTGCAGATATTTTATGCTTTTTCATACTTCTTGAACACATCAAGAATTCGTTGTCTTCATTATGTACTCTAGGAGTTTTGATTTGTTTCTTCGAAACTGTTGCTCATTGCTCATGTCAATAACTACTGACGTCACAGCGAGTCGCTTAGTAACGGCCGCGATCCTATCCAAGGGGCGTGGGATCCACTGTAGCATGACTGGCAAAATTGGCTTTCCGTGTAGCTCGGCGAGTTTGGTGTCTTTGATAAAGTTATCACAGTGCAGATATTTCAACGAGATACATAGAAGTACCATCGAAGCCTTGGCAATCCCATCCTGTACTGTTAACGGAATAGGTTGGCTTACATGACGTAATGTTTGTCCGTTTTGATATCGTGTATGAAGAGTGGTAACCAAAGGTTTTATGGCATCCGTCCTTGTCTCGCATCCATTTTTATCAAGGAAATCCCTTATCTTCCTTACCATGTGTTGCATGTGTAGGTGGTAACTTAGAAACACTTGTGGACGTTTGTATGCGAGACTGGGAAACTCTAAAATTAGAAAGTATAAAAAGTGGATTTTTATTATAGGAGCAGTTTAAAACAGAAGATGATGAAGATGAGCGTTTATATGTACTAACTGCACTACACTTGCTTCTATCTCAAAGTTGATAGATTGTCATTGAAATAAAACAGTAAATTAAGCCGATATAACGGTTATTGATTTTTCCTGCATCTTGGCACTGACGTAAGCCAGACCTCAAGTTTTGAAGAGGCATAATGTATGTGGGTCCAGGTGCATGCTCCCCCCCGGAAAAGTTCATTAAAACAAGAGTACGTCAACGGCCATTTTCCGTGTTTCCGGGGAGAGATTTTGCACAATAGGGTAAGAAAACAGGGTTCCCTCCAGATTTCTACTACGGGATTTTGTATTTTTAAGAGCGTATTCCTTCGGCCATTTGGGTGACACAAGCGTCGCCTATACTCCTCATTTGCACCTTTCCATATCTTCATGACTTCCTGTTTTAAACTGCTTACCTTTATGTGTATCTGTGAGGACTTCAAATGGCTTCATTGCTTCTCTCATTTTTTCGACGTAATTTTGCTGGAGCTTAACCCTTGGTAAAACCCCTCGTCTGTATGTCACGTGGTAACGCAAGACGTCAAGTCCATCCAAAAACTGCTGTCTTTCGAACATGATCGCGGGCTCTTTTTCAACGACAGCCATCACCGCATGTCTCAAAGACGAATTATTGGTGAAATCAATAACCGCACTAACGATTTGCTTGTTGAGCCAAGCAGCCAATAGAAGCTCTTTAAATACCACGTGGGAACCGTCACTTGATGACGTCATGAGAAAGATGACGCTCGAAGCTTCGGCCAAGTGTCTCACACTGGAGTTTGAAAGCGTAAAACCTTTAGCGTGAAAATGTGCCTGAAATAAAGTTGATAACTTTTAAGCAAAACTTAGATGGGAAATAGATAAGAAAGTACATTCCAATACCGAGATTCCGACTTTCGCTAGGTCCGACTTGATGAAATCTGCTATCCACTCATCAATCATGTCGCAGACTACGTATACACAATCATTCCTCTTTGCCCTTTTGAAACAACATTTGTCCCATGATGTCTCGTTCTCCAAAGTTCTCGCTAAACCGTTCAAAACTTTCTGCCGCGTTGTGCTGCTGTCGACATTCAAAGATTCAAACAGGTCGCTGTCATCGAGAGCCATGAGCAAATATCCGTCGATGGCATTCTCTTCGAAGCTGATGCAATATCGTTCGTGTATCCTCAGTGATCCTAGCCAATTCTGTACGTCTTGAATGTCCCATAAATAAACCGCTTTGTTTTGATATCCTTCGTGTCTTGTACCGTGTTTTTGTGTGTCTTGATAAAGTTCTTGGTATAGCTTTGTTGAAAATGTTACATATCTATAGGGTGAAATTGAATATTGAAGGATTGGTATGTTAGAGCATTGAAGAATTCAGTAGATGAAGTATTGAACGGTTGACGAAGTGTAGTGTTGAAGGATTCATATGTTGGAGCATTGAAGGATTGAGAAGGTGGAGCATTGAAGAATTGAAAAGGTTAAGTATTGAAGGATTGAAAAGTTGGAGTATTGAAGGATTGAAAATGTGAAGCATTAAGGGATTGAAAACTGAAAAGGTGGGGTATTGAAGGATTGAAAAGGTGGAGTATTGAAGGATTGATCATGTAGAGTATTGAAGGATTCATATGTTGCAGCATTGAAGGATTGAGAAGGTGGAGCATTGAAGAATTGAAAAGGTTAAGTATTGAAAGATTGAAAAGTTGGAGCATTGTAGGATTGAAAATAGGAAATATTAAAGGATTGAAAACTGAAAAGGCGCGGTATTGAAGGATTGATAAAGTAAAGTATGGATTTACTTCATGAATAGATTTACTCTAAATCACGACATTTCTAGTCTATTTAAGACAACATATCCCAGGAGGGGAAAACTTTGCATTAGCATCATTTGCTCCGTGTCCGTAGAGCAAATGAAAAATTTTAGTGCCTTTCACCGACATTAAAAGTGTCGGAGATCCTCTGAAATCGTCAAAGTAACTCACCCCTCGAGTTGTACGCTCAAGGCACCTACAACCTTTGCTGCTTTTTCGTCAGCGCTGACGACATTTAAATTATACTCGACCAGGTCCACATCGACATCCTGGAACCTGGTTGGAATTTCTTCATCATCTGAGAATTTTACGACGAACACTCGAAACTTGTTACCACTTGATGTAATCTCATCGTAACGCCGTCGAAATATCCCCACTTCGTATTTCATGGGGGAACCATGGAAACAGTCACGTGATACAAACATGAGAACCGCGTTGCAATCTTCGGCCGACTCCATTCTTTGCGTGAACGATGCGAAGGAGTTTGGCTTTCCTTCATCTTTGTCAAACCAGATGTCGTCTTGAAAGCCAAGATATTTCAAATCCTCGACAACTTTACACACGACTCGTTTTAATGCAAAAACACCATTGCTGTCGTAGGAGATGAAGATTCCACGTTTTTTGTATCTCTGCTTCAGAATCTCCGCTAATTCATCGCGATTCTTGGATGTTTTTTCCACAGCATTTTGTGACACCTTTCTCGACCTCAAATCGTCTAAAACCGATGAAGTTATTTGAACTTGACTTTTAGATTTCTCTGACGTCTGATTACGTATTCGCTGCCCTTGTTTACGTTTTGGTAAAGACCTTCTGTTATTGCTGTTGAAGTCTGACACCATTTCAAAGATATTATCTAGTATTTTAGACATCGTCAGTACTGAATACGAGTTCAAAAGGCTTGCAGCGTCGCATGTACTGTGTATGCTATCAAATTATTTGTCTTATCCATTTAGCAAACTCCTTATTTTTCCTATTAATTCTTTGCACACAAATAGATTTATTTGGCTGCCAACTTGATCTTGTAATTTGATCACATGCAATATGTAAAATCATATCTAAGTATCTGACAAAGATTTATAAATATTTACGTTCACTTAGGGAGATGTTTTTACTGTGGAAACAATTTAAAAGCTTTGTTCATTAATGGTTTTGTTTGCACGACCTTCTTGCTTCGTTTTGTTGTCAAGACAGTTTCCCTGGCGAGTTCCTTCGATGCAAAAATGATCCCGAAAAGACTGAATTTGTGAAATCAGCGAATCAAACATTTTAGTGTATCGTTGTTGCGCAACCTTCGTGCGCTGTTTTGCGTGATTCAGTGACGTGCTGACCGTGGGGGAAAGGCACTGGGGCAGAGAGCCATGACCCGGTGATTATCTAGCAGAAAAAATGTCGTATTTCGAACTTCAGTTAAAACACATTTAAAATAATACAGTTAGAATTATTTCATCTCCCAATTCAAGGAAATGTTATTTTAGAGCTTCTTGATTGAAAAAATTTGCAGGGGAGCACTGTTGCGAATATCCTAAGGTGAATTCAAGGCAAATTACTAATTATTTTCCATTTTCCATGAATATCCAAGGTGAATTATATTGTTGTTTATTTAAAATGTCTATTTGGTATCATGCTGTTAACATCTTACATGGTCATATTTCTTCATTGTAAAATAACGACAAGAATTGAGGAGGTATTTTTGTAAACCATCCAGGGCTTTTAGTTGAAATCCGAAATCAATTGAAAATTATAAAGTTCATCGAAAGTCAACGTTACTTAAGTCGGTGAAGTAGTAGGGAGCTTTAGCAAAGACTACGAGTACGACTACGAGTACGATTTACGTCATTTTGGCACGAAAACATTGTTGCGACAACAAAAACACGTAGCCGTCATCAATCTGAGTACGATGTTTTGTAAAAAATTCGTAGTGCAACTACGATGTCTTTTTAAGCAAAGAAAGTAGGTATATTTCTTCATTCTGTAAGAAATTAGTTAACAGTACTATTTTCCAGCATCCCGGCTTTAATTTAGAACTTTTTTGAGCGCAAATGTACATTAGAAAGGAAAATATGACCTGCAAAACTTTCATGTATTTCGTACGCAAAGTGAAAGGTAAACAAACAATAAAATAGTACAAATATATCGTACATAAAACTTAAAATAGTGAAGATTTTCAGTATAAAGAGTCCTATATTCTCGCACAATCAGTATTACCGATTCATTGATATCATTATTGACAAATAGAGCCGTAGCTGCTTCGCAAACTTCGGTATTTTCACAATAAAAAGGCTCGTTCTGTTGTTTACAACTAAATCAAAATTTTGAAGAAGCGACAACGACAACAAACTTCCTCGTGCCATTCTCTTACACGGTCAAACTTCGTACTCGTTCTCGTAGTCACACTCTAGCTAAAGCTCCCTAGTGTTTCCAGTGATTAAAACGATAGTCAGAAGACAGCAGAATGCTATACGTGGTCGCTAGACTTCACAATAAACGTTGCACTTGTAAATGAAAGGACAGACCAAGAACGACAATTAAAAACTCGGTTGAGTACATGACAAACTTCTGTTTGTGAGAAGGCAACGGGAGAGGGGGGGGAATTTCTTCATATTAAAGTCAAACAACATAATCAATTGACTTTAAACTGACTTTTCAATATTAAAAAAAAATACTATTTAAGTAGAAAAAGCTTCACGTAACACAATAGACATGAAAGAAAACATTGATGAGGCAAATTACTAATTATTTTCCATTTTCCATGAACGACAAATGAAATTTAAGCCATGACGGGTCCAAATTTAACTGGATCGTAAGAAATCTGAAGATCCTCGTCGGTGAAATTCTTCAGGTACTCAATCAAAACATCTTGCCAGGCTTTCGCTTTCTCCGTCTCTTTTTTGTTCAAGTTATTTTTCACAACAAGCGAAAGTTTCAAAAAACTAGCGTCTGTGTACTGTTCACCTTCAAACCCACCAAGAACAAACGTAGGAAAAACTGGATCTCCATAGTCACTTCGGCAGGACAGACCAAGATGAATGTCTAATACTGAATATGGATCTCTAAAGTAAGAAATACAAAATTATAGTTATAGATAAAATTGTTGTAAAATAATAGCATTGTTTTTAATTTTCCAAGGAACAAATGATGCCATATCATACTTTTCTGTTGTAACTTGGTGCATCTTCTGTTTCCTAAGATATTCATGTTCTCTGTTTCCTAAGGTATTCATGTTCTCTGTTTCCTAAGATATTCATGTTATCTGTTTCCTAAGATATTCATGTTCACTGTTTCCTAAGATATTCATGTTTTCTGTTTCCAAAGATATTCATGTTCTCTGTTTCCTAAGATATTCATGTTCTCTGTTTCGTAAGATATTTATGTTCTCTGTTTCCTAAGATATTAATGTTCTCTGTTTCCTAAGATATTCATGTTCTCTGTTTCCTAAGATATTCATGTTCTCTGTTTCCTAAGATAATCATGTTCTCTGTTTCCTAAGATATTTATGTTCTCTGTTTCCAATGTTTAAATTAATTCGTGTACCTAGTTTTACATTTGAACATCTTTGGGCGTAGTAGAAATGGCTAAAAAATGCATGTGACACAAAACAAATTAATGCACATATCTACCTCGTACAAAAGTAAAGATGATCTCCCCAGGCAGCAGATGCTATCGGAGATCCTACGGTAGGGCATTCTTCGCCACCTAATGCCAAAATACATTTGTTCAAATTTTTCATTTCATTTTGCCAGTACTGCAAAACACTCATCACAATGCAAGAATTTGTGGATGACTTCATGCAGAAATCATCAAATCTAACATTTGTTGGCGATGTAGTTAGGCCAGTTATGTGCTGTTGAATCTTCAGAACCTTAAATATAATAAAAAATTCGACACATGAAAACTTGCTGTAGCATGTTTACATGTACAGCTGAATTCGTTACCGCAAACTATACATGCATGCACGAACTATAAACAAACCTTTCGTAGAATACTTAGGCGGAGTATTGTGCCTGTTACTGTGCACTTTGTTTCAAAGTAATTTCGATAGCAACTTCGTTTGTTAAACGGACTTTGATGTTTTAACGAAAATAGAATAAGAGCTCTCCTGCCTTTAAAGCCTATGGTAGGTGTAGGCGATAGAGGATATTTACATGACGACACACAATCTTCACAATTACACTTTGACATTTCACTTTTGGTATAAGGATCATAAAAACTTTCGTTACACATCTTGATCTTCACATTCATTGGTTGAATTCCTTTAACATGTGATGTTGGATATTGAATCAAGAATGATGAAACGCCATTCTTCTGTGGATCACCCATAAAATTTAAAAATTTTAGTGGATCACATTTATCAGCAGGCATTCCACATAAGAAGTTCATTATCTTATGATTATTGCTGGGAAATACGACGTCTTTGCATGAGTTATAAAGGCCTTCTCTGAAGCTCTTTTCGACATAATAATTAATGGAAGCGATCGCTTTGTTATTTTTAGTAAGACTGTGTGGAAGGAGGAACAAGGAGTTGTTTGGACTGCATGTCAAACGACAATATAACTCACGAAAATTTTTCCAACAAGCAGGACATCTTTTCATCAATGACTGAGCGGTTTTAATACCCGACTGAAGACTGACAACCTGATCGTACGAACAACAAACTTTGCTGTCGCGCTCAATGGTCAATTCAGGACAGAGTTCTTTAAGGATATCCCGGGATTTTTTGTTCTCAATAGACTTTGCCGGTCCATTATATAGGCAATTTATGTATTTGCCACGAGAATTTTTTCCGCACTGTCCATACCACATGCAATAACCTTCCTTATGGATATAGTTCACGGCCTAATAAGATAATCAAAGTAAAACTACATGACCAAATTATTTAAATCAATGATTATTAATACTACTCCTACCAGAATGACTTCAACGATGACCAAAAAATAAATTGCTGAAACGAACTTCATTGTAAATTTTGATAAAGCTAAAAATTTGTCTGCCCTTCCTATAAAGAGATCTTATATGTTTCGACGTCGCATAAATAACATATCGAATTCCTGAAACTAACACCAAAAACCGTCGTCATCTGTCGGGGTTTACGTAATCTTATGCAATTAGATATGTCTACTTTCGGGGTTTAAGGTGTAAGTGAATAACATGTTAAGGAAATAGTATTGAAACTAACACCAAAAACCGTCGTCATCTGTCGGGGTTTACGTAATGTTATGCAATTAGATATACCTTCATTGTAAATTTTGATAAAGCTAAAAATTTGTCTGCCCTTCCAATAAAGAGATCTTATATGTTTCGACGTCGCATAAATAACATATCGAATTCCTGAAACTAACACCAAAAACCGTCGTCATCTGTCGGGGTTTACGTAATCTTATGCAATTAGATATGTCTACTTTCGGGGTTTAAAGTGTAAGTGACTAACATGTTAAGGAAATAGTATGTGCGTAGTTTATTTTATTAATGTATCCGTTCCCACAGGGCTAAGTGCCAAGGAACAGTTATTGACGTTAGTTAAATTCCCTTATGTACCATATATAGCTTAAATAGAGGAACTACTCCGACCAATAATAATATTTGTTGTTTGCAATAAAGAGTATAAATACTGCTCTGTAAAATAATAAAAATCAGTTCGATCATTAAGTTCACTCGTGGTTGTTACTGAAGGTATAGAGTATATTACGAAAAGAGATATGGCGAGTAACTCGAACTCAACAAATAGCGTTCTAGCACATTGAACTTACTCTCGGAGCTCATACGAAAGACTTATATAACGCTAAAACGGAAACATATCGAATTCCCGAACCTAACGCCAAAAACCGTCGTCATCTGTCGGGGTTTACGTAATCTTATGTAATTAGATAAAGTTGACCCAAGATTTCTTAGATCGCTTTAATTAATGGCGTCAAAAACATTCTGATTAGAAAACCCAAGTTCAAATACAACAATTCCCCATGCAACAGTTGATAACAAACGATAATCCACCTAAAATCCTAGTTCATATTCCTTTTCTTGGCATTTGCATTGATTTTCTCTTAAAATCATGTTTTTTATTAATAAAATATCAATATTTCTTTACAATACCATCCTCCGCGAAGGATAGTGCCCCATAAATACAAAGAAAATCCAAGCATTTGCGTTGTAAGTTGTCTCAACCAATATGTGCCACGTACGAAACAGATTCGCCTAGGAATCGACTTTTGATTTCATATGTAAAACCACATGCAGCAGTTGGTAGTCAAACCATTTCACGATGGCCGTGTAAGACTATTCAGCAAGCAGGCGTTGAAAAGTCATACAAAGGACAATCTACTTGAGCAGCTGCAACGTCAGAAGCAGCATATTCGGGCTTACCATTAGAAACAGTACGAGAAGCAAGGACATTTGAGAAACATTATCATAAAGAATGAAACCAGGGACAGTTTGCTGAATCAGTACTTGCTTCATTTAAAAAGTAAACGAGTGAGATTCATGCATGTTATCTTGTGATAAAGAATATTAGTCTTGAAATATGCAGATTTCTTTATCTGATGAGTAAACAGATAGATTTCAGTAAATACCTTTATACATCTGCACCAGTATTGCGAGTAGCAGTCAGAGAATGTACGAAGGAGAAATAAAATTTCCCCGGAGGGTTCTTACATGAAGGCGAGATGTAGTTCTGAGAGGATCTTCGAAGACTGATAGGAGCAATACTGGTGCATGTACCTACAAAGGTGGTCATCTATACCACCGGTACCCCTACCTTCAAAGGTGGTCATCTATACCACCGGTACCCCTACCTACAAAGGTGGTCATTTATACCACCGGTACCCCTACCTTCAAATGTGGTCATGTATACCACCGGTACCCCTACCTACAAAGGTGGTCATCTATACCACCGGTACCCTACCTTCAAAGGTGGTCATCAATAACACCGTATCCCTACCTTCAAAGGTGGTCATCTATATCACCGGTAACCCTACCTACAAAGGTGGTCATGTGTACCACCGGTACCCCTACCTTCAAAGATGGTCATCTATACCACCTGTACCCCTACCTACAAAGGTGGTCATCAATAACACCGGTACCCCTACCTTCAAAGGTGGTCATCTATACCACCGGTAAACCTACCTACAAAGGTGGTCATCTATAACACCGGTACCACTACCTACAAAGGTGGTCATCTATACTACACCACCCTTCTACTGAAATCTTTTCCTCAGCTACTTCTCAATAAAAGGAATAACGTGCGCATGTCAGAAAATTTTATAGTGGGTTCCAGACCTCTGACGGCCGCGGATCAGCACCAGTATTGCTTCTACACTACTTGCCCTAGGTAAAATCTGCTTGCCTTCAGTAAGACTTAACTTGTGTGACTTTACCGGCTGTAGTTGTTTGTGAAGTGATTTGGTGAAAGAATGAAATAAATCAACTACGATCAAAAACTTCCATAGCTGTGACAATTGTTTTAAAACAAGTTCTAATTACTCAAAAATGATCGAATTATCAGGTATTTTGAAAGTTCGAGTGGTGCCTAGGAACAAAGTCATTGTGCATGAAATTAGGAATCTGAGTAGGATATTTCTAAACAAAGTACTCGCTTTCAACAACAGCACTGCTAAAGCTTTACTACCGTGAAATTGGCACCACATTGGGAACCACATTCATCACAACAATCATCACCACATTCACAAATTAAAGTTTACATCGCATTTCTTAAAACTTGCGCCTAAGTCCAGCATAGTCAGCAGTATCTTTCATCACAGTAGTTATCTTCGAGAGCGATTTTCCTCTTGTTACTATATCAATAAGAACAAAACTATGTTTTTTAGCATCGTGCAGTTTTGTTAGGTGGGAATCTATCTGTTGAATCTTTGGAACTTCTACGTACAATTTTTGCTCCATCCGCTCGTTTATTGCTCTACAATATGAGTGATTCAGGCGAAGATTGGGACCTTGAGATATCGTCTGGTATTTCAAAACCTGCGAAAACCAGAACAACGACACAAAACAATGGGTTTTCTGGTTCGGAAAGACGTTTAGGACGTGGAAGGGCTAGATATACTGGTTATGAATGTGCAAATGGCTCACACCATCCCGAAGAGAGAGCAAATCCTTGGAATACGAGGAAAGATTTCAATTCTGGTAACACTAAACAACGTTATACTAGTAATGGCTCTGTGGGGACCAAGAATGATAGTGATGGTGTTCTGAGGATCACTGTATCAAGTCGAGATGTTGGTAAAATTATAGGTAGGTCATCGGATTTTGATATCCCAGCTTTGCAGAAAGGAGATTATTCTATGTAGACTGATTTATCTAACATTGCAAAGTCTTAATATGAGCTATGTATTATTAAGGGGGGGTTATAATAAAGGCCAAACTATGAAACAGGGGGAGAGATCTTAATGTATTGAGCATAAGAAACATGTATTGGGAGATTTTGTTATGTGCTTATCGTAGTGCTCACAAAATAAAAAATATTCACAATTAAAACTCCAAGATGTGTTGTAGATGTTTTAACATGATTAGATTTTTTTAGTTTCTTTGCTTTGATATGAATGAAAAAGTCAACAGGTGTTGGCATGTGAATTTTCACTGCAAGGAAAAGGAGGGCTCCTGTAGCAAGCTCAACCTGAATATTTTCATTCCAACTTCTAAAGTTTCCAAAAGGGTCTGAACATTTTCATTCCAACTTCTAAAGTTTCCAAATGGGTCTGAATATTTTCATTCCAACTTCTAAAGTTTCCAAAAGGGTCTGAATATTTTCATTCCAACTTCTAAAGTTTCCAAAACAGTCTGAATATTTTCATTCCAACTTCTAAAGTTTCCAAAACAGTCTGAATATTTTCATTCCAACTTCTAAAGTTTCAAAACAGTCTGAATATTTTCATTTCAACTTCTAAAGTTTCCAAAAGGGTCTGAATATTTTCATTCCAACTTCTAAAGTTTCCAAATGGGTCTGAATATTTTAATTCCAACTTCTAAAGTTTCCAAAAGTGTCTGAATATTTTCATTCCAACTTCTAAAGTTTCCAAATGGGTCTGAATATTTTCATTCCAACTTCTAAAGTTTCCAAAAGGGTCTGAATATTTTCATTCCAACTTCTAAAGTTTCCAAAACAGTCTGAATATTTTCATTCCAACTTCTAAAGTTTCCAAAACAGTCTGAATATTTTCATTCCAACTTCTAAAGTTTCAAAACAGTCTGAATATTTTCATTTCAACTTCTAAAGTTTCCAAAAGGGTCTGAATATTTTCATTCCAACTTCTAAAGTTTCCAAATGGGTCTGAATATTTTAATTCCAACTTCTAAAGTTTCCAAAAGTGTCTGAATATTTTCATTCCAACTTCTAAAGTTTCCAAAAGGGTCTGAATATTTTCATTCCAACTTCTAAAGTTTCCAAAAGGATCTGAATATTTTCATTCCAACTTCTAAAGTTTCCAAAAGGATTTTCTAACACAACATCCTTGAATGAATTATTTCGATGAAGCACAATGCACAGGCTTAGCGCCGGCTAATGCAAACTCAGCTATGGACAAATTAGTTCACATGTTTTATTCTTGTTATTTTATTGTAGTTTGTTGCTTTTAGCTTTCTTATTTTATTAACTGCAATTTAAAGAGAAATTTCATTCCAATGTTGACAAACTGACAATGTTTTTGTATTTTTGATTTTCTGATGATGACTTTTGTTTAATGTTTTTTAGGAAGAGGAGGCCAAAGCATCAAGAATATTCAAAACAGTTCAGGTGCTCGAGTTTCGGTAGGTTCAGCATTGTATTGTTTCAAGTAGTTTTTATCTTGTAAATAAATGTATTTCTTTGGCTACATGGTCTGCGGTATTTCTGCAATGTCACTTACCCTGCAAAATATTAATGTACAATGCAAGTAAGGAAAAGGAATTGTATTTAATGGAGAACACTTTCAAAAATTATCTCATAATCATGGTATAAGAGTAAAAGAATTTAACGAAAAACACCAACTAATTGCCACCAAAACAAAACCCAAACAAGAGTACTCCAACCAAATCATCCAGAATCCTTCCCCAATTCAAATTTGACATGCTGAAATTAAAAATTCCAGATAGTTAAGGATGAGTCAGATGGTATTGACACACCTATTGAGATCAGTGGAAGGCCAGAAGCTCAAACAAAAGCAAAGAAGATGATCGATGAGATTGTTTCACCGCCTGAGTTAACCAGCAAAATGGAAGGTGAGCTGTCTTTAATTCTTTAATTTAACTCATACCATATTAAAATGAATGGTTTTAACCTGGGAGTGTTGTTACATGTTTGTAGATGTACACCATTCAGGTTAGTGAAGTTCTGACTCTCAGAAAGAATGTTAGTGTCCTTGTAGACCATTTAAATGAAATACATGGAACGCTACCTGTAATAAAAACTAAACAAAAAGAATGATAGCATAATGCTATAACCAACAACTACAATCAAAATTAGCTAAATGGAGTTGAAGGAAAAATAGAATAAATATATGAAAAATTTTATTTTTGATTCAAACTACGAGTCAGAAGGCAGTGTTCTTTTTAACTTTGCGCCATCCTTGTGTGCCTATTTTATTTTTAAAGTACTTAAGCAGAAGCATGTACAAATATTAATCATCTTGTCATTGTGTTTCTTCATTTGACTTTCGAAGATGTGAGTTTGAAAACGGACGCAGAGAATGTCAGACCTCGCATTGATTGGAACGAGCTCCGAGCTGCAAGGGAAGAATATCTTGCTACAAAATGGGAAGGTACGAATCTAACGGTTGTATTGGGTGGAGGCGTTTAACCTTGAGGGTTTGGGTTCTCTGGGGGACAGAGCTGTACTCGAAGTAACAGACTTAACTCAGCTTTTTGATCTTCAGTGCTCACCAAATTTATATCGTTTCTAAATGGAGTGAGAAACTTTTTTCACGTGAAGTGGAGAACTGAATAACTTTCACGTGACGTGGAGAACTGAATAACTTTCACGTGACGTGGAGAACTGAATAACTTTCACGTGACGTGGAGAACTGAGTAACTTTCACGTGACGTGGAGGACTGAGTAACTTTCACGTGACGTGGAGGGACTGAGTAACTTTCACTTGACGTGGAGGACTGAGTAACTTCTTTCTTTCACGTGACGTTTCGGGAACCCTGTTGAAACTATTAAACTGAATATAGTACCGCTCAGAAGTAGCTTAGCACTGCGTTTGCGTTTCATTTGCGTTTCGAACGCGGCCGGAACGCGGACACGTTTATGGACACGTTCAGGAAGCGTGCCCGATTGACCAAAGAAAACTCGGTATAACATGGAATTTTATGTTGAACTTTATATAGCGAGTATAAATGATCAATGATCGGATACGGTCAACAACACGTTTTGATACGCGTTCCATCTTGAGCCGAACGCAACTGGAGCGCATTTCGAACGAGTTCGGAACGCGTTTTCTTTAAATTTACTTCTGAGCAGTACTGTACATAAATAGAAAGCCACTTTTTGGTTGACACGCTTGTACTTGCATAAAGCCAAATTCAACCTACAAACACGCGTGTCCCTCATTTTTGCTTACTGTCGAAACGAAATTTCTTCTGGCCGTGCAAGGAAACGTTGGGACTAAATGTATTGCTGGCTTGAAGTTTTGGCGGGAAGTAGGTTTCCAGTTTAACTCATTTCAACATTTTAACTTATTAAATGGTTGATAATTGGGAGCTCGATGCATCATGGCTAATTTTATTCCTACGCGATCTTAGTAATGTTCATAAGAATTAATTTTTATGCATTGATTAGGTTTGCCAAAAATCACTAAAGTATTTTACAAAGAATGTGATTCAGTGAAAAGAAGGTCGAAGGAAGAAGTTGAGCAATTTAGGTAAGGTTGAATTGAATCATGTAGACATACTTACAACTTTTTACTAGATTTGATCTGATGAGCTTAGACTCTCCCCCCTGCTTCATATAGTTGCAAACCTTTGAAAGGTGGGCTGTTTATGCTCCTTCGACCGAATCTGGTAATAAAATTACATGTGTGAACAAACTGCTTGGAAGTCGTGCTTTCTGCTTTAATGAAGATAGTTTGATGTCTCGTGTATGATGAAGATCATTTGATTTCTTGTTTAGGAAGGAAAATAATGGTATTTCTGCTCAAAATGTCGGCGAGAAAGTTCAAACAAGAGTGATTCCGAAACCTGTGCAGACATTTTCAGAAGCATTCAAAAATTATCGTGAGTGCTTCATAAAAAAAACAAACACTGCAAAATTTTTTCTTGATGACGCGGTTCCATCGATTATTTTATTTTTGCAGCTGACATTCTCAAAGAGTTAGAGCGAAATGGCTTTCAAAAACCAACCCCCATTCAGGTTTGTGAAACGCTTTTTGTAGTGTTTTACATGAAGTATAATGACGATATCTTTCATTATTTACGTTAATAGTGTCAATCTTGGCCCATACTTTTGTCTGGTTTGAATCTCATCGGTATAGCACAGGTATATTTCTTTACTTACGTAACATTGGCACTACATATCCTTCCATTCTTGTTCTCTATCCCTACCTATCCTTCCATTCTTGTTATCTATCCCTACATGTCCTTCCATTGTCGTTCTCTATCACTACTTATCCTTCCATAGTCGTTCTCTATCACTACATATCCTTCGATTGTCGTTCTTTATCACTACATATCCTTCCATTCTTGTTCTCTATCACTACATATCCTTCCATTCTTGTTCTCTATCCCTACCTATCCTTCCATTCTTGTTATCTATCCCTACATATCCTTCCATTGTCGTTCTCTATCACTACATATCCTTCTATTGTCATTCTCTATCTCTACATATCCTTCCATTGTGGTTCTCTATCACTACATGTCCTTCCATTCTTGTTATCTATTCCTACATATCCTTCCATTGTCGTCTCTATCCCTACATATCCTTCCATTGTCGTTCTCTATCACTACATATCCTTCCGTTCTTGTTATTTATCCCTACATATCCTTCCATTGTCGTTCTCTATCACTACATATCCTTCCATTGTCGTTCTCTATCATTATATATCATTAAATGCCGTTCACTAATCGTCCTTTATTTTTGTCATTACATGACGTATTCCTCTCGTTTACACCAGACTGGTACGGGGAAAACTTTAGCATTCTTATTGCCTGCTTTGGTTCACGTTGATGGTCAAAGAAAGTACGATATTTTTATTTTACATTTATACCATGCCTGAATACATCACGAAAACAGAACGTTGCTATTTATGATATGATTGATATCAGATATGAAAAAACATTACCGTTATTTTAAGTTCAAAATGATTTCCTTTTTTCTTAAACTAGTAACGAACCACCTCCAAAAGGTCCAAACGTTCTTGTACTGTCACCGACACGAGAGCTTGCTCTGCAACTCGAGGCAGAAGTGAACAAGATGCATTATAAAGGGATTCAAAGGTACATTACAAACATTCAAGGTGTTAAAACTACCAAGAAAGAAAATAGTTGTACTCCAGAAGTGTTGTCATGTTGTACATATATCATAAAGTCGACAAGAGCTGTGCGTTTCGAGAAATTTCAACTTCGATTTTTTTTTGGGAGGGGGAGAAAAATGTCGGCTCGGTTGGATTTTGGGGGTTTTTTAATAAAGAACTCTACAAATGCATGTACTTACTTGATTATGAATATGACCGGGAGATTCCAGTTTGTTTATCATACACGCAGTCGTCACAATGAATATAATTCTCAAAAGTCAATTAACAAGTATTTATATGGTTTTAGTTAGAAAATCATCAGTAAAAATCTCGAAAAAACGATTTCAAGTGCTAAACGTGAAATTATATACGACAACATTAAACCGAAACGATCTGTTCTCTGACGTTTTGTTTAACGTTTTCGGCGCAAAGAAAAGAACGTAAAGAATCGATTTTTATTTTTAACGGCATAGCAGTTCTTGCGTTTATGCTTTACAAAATGCGCTTACAATCTCTCAATCATTTGATTCATTGATTAAATTTATTATTGCTGTGTATTATTGTCTTTGCTTTCATCTCTGTCTCACGTTGTTTGCTACAGCGTTTGTGTCTACGGTGGCTCGGACAGGAAAGCTCAAATCAGAACAGTAAAAAGTGGTGTTCAAATTGTTATTGGTACGTATAGGTACTTATAGGTACATCTAAGTACATATAGGTACATTTGGATACATATGGGTGGTTCTAGGTACATAAACATAGCTACATATGGGTACATCTAGGTACATAAGGGTACATCTAGGGACACCTTGGCGTATGTATTTTCTGGTGCTTTTTTAACTTTGCAAAATTGCGTTTGAAATAGGGACTCCGGGACGACTGAACGATCTCATTATGAACGAAATATTGGAAGTGAAATCCGTTACTTATCTGGTATGAGATTATTAAAAATATTTTTTACACGAGCTGTGCTTTTGCGGTAAAGATTATTTTTGTGTGGGCGTGGGGGGGTTACCATTTCTTTTAGCTGTTGGTAATTGCAAAGAGGCTTCAATCCACCAGTTGAAAGTTATTTCCAACGCCCCCCCCCTTATAAATTTTCCATATCCATAAGAGCATATCATAACCATACGTTCGCCTGTTTTTTAAACTCAGCTACTACGTTTTCACGAGTTTGACACGTGACAGAAATTGTTCCCAGTTAGCATGGCGCGCATGTTATCGTGAATGTTTTCAGTATGTTTTTATTTTATTTCTTCAGGTCCTTGACGAAGCTGACAGAATGTTGGACATGGGTTTTGAACCTGAGATACGAAAAATCCTCATCGATATTCGACCAGATCGTCAAACCGTTATGACCAGGTTTAGTTTGAAGTTTATCTCTCTTCTATCATACTGAAGTTTCTTGCGATCTTCCTCCTCATTAGAGAAATTTAGCAAATACCACGTGCCGTCTATAGTCCTACCACGTGTACGTAAATAGTCCTACATCACGTGGCTCACACGTGATGCAGGGCAATACGTCCTGTTTGTTGAAATTTGTTATTAAATGTTTTTTGACATCCTCTAATTGTGATCCCTCGCTTTGTGTTAAAGTCTCTGTCCTCCGTCCCGCTTTATTTTGAATTCACTACATTTTTGTGTCTACTACGACCTTTGAATACGTATATTTTGCTAATTTTTTGTCTTCTTTATGTTGAGTTAAGATACGCTGGTGATTTGAATGCCTAATGTAGTTTTTAGAAGAATATTTCATGCTTGGCATCCTTGAACAACAATGTCATCATTTTTATACTTGAAGTGCAACATGGCCGTCATCCGTTCGACGTTTAGCCCAACAATATGTTGACAATCCTGTTCAAGTAAACGTCGGTTCTCTTGATCTAGCGGTAAGTAATACATTTTTTAACTGGCAATTTAAATTTCGTGGCGCCGTTTATACATTGTGTATCACGGAAGTGAATGGAACCTTGATAGGCTCTCGTGTAGTTGATATTGTATGTATGGCTTATTTTTTATATTGCAAAAGAAATGAGCTTTTTAGCTTTCAAACGATGTGTTTTTGATTTCGTAGTAATCAGAAATGATCAAGTACGCTTAAAATAATAATTGCAAGTCGTAATTGCATTTTTCCATCATTTGGGAATTGAATACTAACGCAGAGCAAAGTGGCATAGCGGGTTTTTCAGTGTGTTTTACGTACGTAAACGAACAATGTTCAATAATTGTATTCGTTTCCAAACGATGGAAAAATTCAATTTCGACTTACAATTTTTATTTGAAGAGTTCTAAATCATTTTTGATCATTATGAAATGAAAAACACATCATTTGAAAGCTGAAGAGCTCATCTTTTTTGCGATGTATTAATATGAACGCAGAACACAATATTTAATGTACGATTGTCTGTTAAAGTTCGAATCGCTTTTTAAATACACTGTAGCTACATGACCTCGTTTCTATTTTTCTGTATTCATTTAGGCTTGTCATACTGTCACACAAATCATCGAAATAATGGATGGACAGGAGAAAAAAGAGAGGGTGAGCTAAGAAAGGTCTTTCTATAAGTTCTCCACCATGAAACAATGTCTTGTAAAACACTACGTCGTGGAAGTTACTGTGATGACATCATTCCGGACCAAAGATTATATTTTTGGTGGATTAATGAAAACCTTTTTTCTCTGAATTTTTTTGCTTCTTTAATGAAACTTGATGTCTGAAAACACGTTCTATGTCCTCAAACAATTTCTATGATGAATTTCAAAAAGAAGCCATGCTTTCAGCCAACGTTAATTGAAATAGTTTTTAATTCATCTTTGCATGAATATTTCGTAAAAGTTTCTCTGTCGTTTGAATTGATGAAGTAAGCGATCCAATTATCATCCTTGAAATTTTTAGACTTTAGAGTTCATAAGTACCATGGGACCAGAGGATAAAGTTCTAGTTTTCGTTGGTCGAAAGTCTACGTAAGTTTCAAAATAGTTTTGAAAACCTTTTGTTGAAAAAACTGTCTCCCGTAACGTTGAATCAAAGAAGACAATGACGATTTTGTTTTTGATATTGTCATTAAAAAAATGAGTCCTTACGTAATGCTTTGCGCGCTAAGCCTGCCTTTTTGGTTAAGTCTACTACTTTTACTACCAAGCTTGTTCTTTTGACTCCAGGTTAAGTCTACTACTTTACTTCCAAGCTTGTTCTTTCAACTCCAGGTTAAGTCTACTACTTTACTTCCAAGCTTGTTCTTTCAACTCCAGGTTAAGTCTACTACTTTACTTCCAAGTTTGTTCTTTCAACTCCAGGTTAAGCATACTACTTTTACTACCAAGCTTGTTCTTTTGACTCCAGGTTAAGTCTACTACTTTACTTCCAAGCTTGTTCTTTCAACTCCAGGTTAAGTCTACTACTTTACTTCCAAGCTTGTTCTTTCAACTCCAGGTTAAGTCTACTACTTTACTTCCAAGCTTGTTCTTTCAACTCCAGGTTAAGTCTACTACTTTACTTCCAAGCTTGTTCTTTCAACTCCAGGTTAAGCATACTACTTTTACTACCAAGCTTGTTCTTTCGACTCCAGGTTAAGTCTACTACTTTACTTCCAAGCTTGTTCTTTCAACTCCAGGTTAAGTCTACTACTTTACTTCCAAGCTTGTTCTTTCAACTCCAGGTTAAGTCTACTACTTTACTTCCAAGCTTGTTCTTTCAACTCCAGGTTAAGTCTACTACTTTACTTCCAAGCTTGTTCTTTCAACTCCAGGTTAAGTCTACTACTTTTACTACCAAGCTTGTTCTTTCAACTCCAGGTTAAGTCTACTACTTTTAATACCAAGCTTGTTCTTTCAACTCCAGGTTAAGTCTACTACTTTACTTCCAAGCTTGTTCTTTCAACTCCAGGTTAAGTCTACTACTTTTACTACCAAGCTTGTTCTTTCAACTCCAGGTTAAGTCTACTACTTTACTTCCAAGCTTGTTCTTTCAACTCCAGGTTAAGTCTACTACTTTTACTACCAAGCTTGTTCTTTCAACTCCAGGTTAAGTCTACTACTTTACTTCCAAGCTTGTTCTTTCAACTCCAGGTTAAGTCTACTACTTTACTTCCAAGCTTGTTCTTTCAACTCCAGGTTAAGTCTACTACTTTACTTCCAAGCTTGTTCTTTCAACTCCAGGTTAAGTCTACTACTTTTACTACCAAGCTTGTTCTTTCAACTCCAGGTTAAGTCTACTACTTTTACTACCAAGCTTGTTCTTTCAACTCCAGGTTAAGTCTACTACTTTACTTCCAAGCTTGTTCTTTCAACTCCAGGTTAAGTCTACTACTTTTACTACCAAGCTTGTTCTTTCAACTCCAGGTTAAGTCTACTACTTTACTTCCAAGCTTGTTCTTTCAACTCCAGGTTAAGTCTACTACTTTACTACCAAGCTTGTTCTTTCAACTCCAGGTTAAGCCTACTACTTTTACTACCAAGCTTGTTCTTTCAACTCCAGGTTAAGTCTACTACTTTACTTCCAAGCTTGTTCTTTCAACTCCAGGTTAAGTCTACTACTTTACTACCAAGCTTGTTCTTTCAACTCCAGGTTAAGTCTACTACTTTACTTCCAAGCTTGTTCTTTCAACTCCAGGTTAAGTCTACTACTTTACTTCCAAGCTTGTTCTTTCAACTCCAGGTTAAGTCTACTACTTTTACTACCAAGCTTGTTCTTTCAACTCCAGGTTAAGTCTACTACTTTACTTCCAAGCTTGTTCTTTCAACTCCAGGTTAAGTCTACTACTTTTACTACCAAGCTTGTTCTTTCGACTCCTGGTTAAGCCTAGTACTTTACTACGAAGTATGTTCTTTCAACTCCAGGTTAAGCATACTACTTTTACTTCCAATCTTGTTCTTTCGACTCCAGGTTAAGCATACTACTTTACTACCAAGTATGTTCTTTCAACTCCAGGTTAAAAGAAGGTTAAGCATACTACTTTTACTTCCAATCTGGTTCTTTCCACTCCAGGTTAAGCTTACTACTTTTCATCCAAGCTTGTTCGTTCGACTCCAAAGAGTGGTAGAACAAGAAAGGAAGAAGAAATAACGACAGTTAATTAAACAGGGTATTTCAAAGTTTTTAGTCGAAAAATCAATCTTTGAACTCTGTTCATATGCCGGAAGTTTCATACTGGAAATAAACCTAAGCGCGCAAAGCATTCTGTGAGACTTATTGTTGAAGATACAATTTTTCACATCGGTGTTTTAGAGCTGATGATGTCGCCAGTGATTTTATACTGAGAGATGTTTCAGCTGGAGTACAGAGTATACATGGTGATAGGTATGGTTTATGTAGGATATAGATCCATTGAAACTATAAGACTCGGGGATACAAATGGATAGTGAAAAGTGATTACTTAGTGGTTTTTTAAACTCTTTTAATTCATTCATTTTTTGTGAAACAAGGACTCTGTTGTGGTTACATACTTGTAAAATACACTCTGAATAGCGTATTCGGCATGACGAATGAAAATTGAGTAGTTCTTAAAAGAACTGTTGAAAACTAAAACCAAAATAAAAATGGCTACTTATAGCTATTTATATTTAAAACAAATTCTTTTGATATTCAAGATATTACAAGAGTTTGAAACAAAAGATGGTGTAATATTTCGTCTTTATTCCAAAGACATCATCAGACTTATAGTTCAAAAGTGTAAGTCTGATGATGTCTTTGGAATAAAGACGAAATATTACACCATCGTTTGTTTTAAACTCTTGTAATATCTTGAATATCAAGAAAACGAGATGTCCCTCTTCGGAATTTGTTTTAATTTGTATTATTTGAAATTGTCTGCTTGTCCTGGTTATAGCTATTTGTAGATATGTTTATTTTGTTTTCAACAGTTCTTTAAGAACTACTCAATTTTCATTCACCATGACAAATAAGCTGTTCACAGCAATATTTGAATATTCTTTGTCGCCACAATGACTCTCCTTTTTTTTTACAGTAAGCATTTACAGGATAATGCAATTGGGACACAGTAAAGAAGGTTGTTTACACATAGACATCGCTAAAGATGTTCATTTCTCTGTCATTTCCAGAGAACAATACGATAGAGAGCAAGCTTTAGATGATTTTAAGACCGGCGAAGCTCGGGTCCTCATCGCTACTGACGTCGCTTCCCGAGGACTTGACATTAAAGGAGTGACGTAAGTATGAATGACGTAACGCCTGGAATGCCAACTTACACATAACTTTCTTTGGTGTAACCCTATTTCAATGGCGAATCTTCAATTGTGAATTTTAAGTTTTTTACAATTAAGGCATGTGATCAACTACGATTTTCCACGTGCCATCGAAGACTACGTTCACAGGATTGGTCGAACGGGAAGAGCGGGGTGAGTAGATTTGTGCTGTTGGAGGTTTGGGATTGAGAAAATAATAACCCGGATAATAGAAGCGTGTGGTGTGAAAAGGACAATTTTAGAATTTCTTAAGCATTTTTTGTTTGTTTGGAAAATTCACAAAAAGTTTTCGACTGTCCAGGTTTTTCAAACGCGCTCTAGCAATATGAAAAATGTCTTGGATTTCCTGAAATTTTACATTTTTTTTTAAACGACGTTTGATTTCTTTTCCAGGTCAAAAGGATCATCATTGAGTTTTATTACGCGCGAAGACTGGAAACAAGCTCAAAATCTGATTGACATCCTCGAGGAGGCTAATCAGGTAAACATAAAGTAAATGGTTTGAACTCGGGGGTATCGTTACATATTTGTAAATGTAGATCGTCCTGGTTGGTATAGTCAAAATGACTCTGAAGATGACTACTGCTAAGGTTGTCGAAACGTCAGTCAACAACAACAAAAACAGTCCTTCTCAGGACTATACTAACCTGGACGATCTACATTTACAAACAGGTAAACATACATTGAAAAATTGTTTATTTTTAAATTTGTCTCTTTGTACATTTCGTCAAGCTATCTAGACATTCCAAGGATGAAAATCATTTCATATTTATCATAAGTAAACGCATGTTTTCAGGGATATTAGTGATTAAATGTCCCGCAAACCAAGGAAGGTTTAGTAAAAATCCTTGGGTGCAAACCGAGGGAGGTTTAGTAAAAATCCTAGGGTGCAAACCGAGGGAGGTTAGGTAAAAATCCCTGAGCGCAAACTGAGGGAGGCTTAGTAAAAATCCTTGGGCGCAAACCGAGGAAGGTTTAGTAAAAATCCTAGCGTGCAAACCGAGGGAGGCTTAGTAAAAATCTTTGGGTGCAAACCGAGGGAGGTTTAGTAAAAATCCTTGGCGCAAATCGAGGAAGGTTTAGTAAAAATCCTTAGGCGCAAACCGAGGAAGGTTTAGTAAAATCCTTGGTGCAAACCGAGGAGGTTTAGTAAAATCCTAGGGTGCAAACCGGGGAGGTTTAGTAAAAATCCTTGGGCGCAAACCGAGGGAGGTTTAGTAAGAATCTTTGGGCGCAAACAGAGGAAGGTTTAGTAAAAAACCGAGGGAGGTTAAGTAAAAATCTTTTGGTGCAAACCGAGGGAGGTTTAGTAAAAATCCTTGGGCGCAAATCGAGGAAGGTTTAGTAAAAATCCTTAGGCGCAAACCGAGGAAGGTTTAGTAAAAATCCTTGGGCGCAATCCGGGGGACTTTTACTAAACCTCACGAGGCTTAAGTAATAACATGGTTGCAGAGGAAATAGTCGTTGCATTAGACTCTTCCGTTTGACAACAATTTTATCAAAGTTCAATTTCAATGACAACCATTGGTGGTGTGCAGAGTGTGCATTGTTCATGGTCAGCGGTGTAATAAAGGAATCATAAAGTTATTTTATTTAAATTCTGTCGTTGAGTTGGTTCAGTGAACCTGTGTATGAATTTGCTTTTGCAAATATATGTAACTAAACTATTGTCGAAGTTGGTCGATCAAAGGTTTTCACAAGTTAGTAACAAGGAAATTTGCGGACGCGAAAGAAAGACGATTTCTGTTATCACAAAACGACAGAACTGAGCTAAGTCTTTGTAATAACGAGTTTAGGGATTGTGTCTTGAGTATTGATCATGTTCCTGCTGTCGAACAAGAGGATTATTGACTAGTTAAACTTACCCTCGAAGTATTGTGGTTTTAATCGACTTGTCGAAGAAACCATGCGATTCTTTTCCATTCACCACAATTACAATTAATTCAACCGTGGAAAAGTAGATGCAAGTCGACACAATTTCTTCTGGCAATGAGAATAAAATTTGGAAACGAGGCGTTAAAAGTAATATTGACGGCGGATATTTAGTCTAAACGTCCCTTAATGAATATATTGAAGGAAATTTAAGACTAAATATCCCTCATCAATATAATTGATGGAAATACGTCAGTAAACGTTCCTGTGATTGCAAAAAATCCCGAAGCAACAATGATATTACTTAAGTAATGAAAGTAGATTTTATCCTTAAAGCAACATTCAAGTAAAGTAATTTCGCCGATTTTTTTTTGGTCGACTGGAATTTTTTTGTTGCACCATGATATTTTCAATATTTGCAGGTTGTTCCCGAGGAGTTGCGCAGTATGGCTGAGAGATATGCCGCTTGGTGCGAAAGGAATGCCGGACGTGATGATCGACGGAACGGTGGTGAGTAGTCATATTGTTATGTCTAGATGAGTTTTAGCATTTAGTCACGTGAGTAGGGAGGGTTTACTAGTATTTAAAATGATAGCGTTGCATCTTACTGTCACATACGGGAAGTTGAGTGTAATGCAATCCTGGCTTATCCCTCGCAGAACTTAACTGTCTCCTTCCGATCAAGCGCTTGTCTCCTTTCAACTTGGCTTATCTTCTGCAGACCTGCCTTAGCTTCTGCAGGCCTGGCATATCCCCTGCTGACCTGGCCAAACCCACGTAGACCTGGTTTATCCTTAGCAAACCCGACTTGTCCCCAGACTTGTCGTATCCCTTTCACACTTGGCACATCCACCCGCAGACTTGGTTTATCCCCAGCAGACCCGACTTGTCCCCGGACTTGTCGTATCCCTTTCACACTTGGCACATCCACCCGCAGACTTGGTTTATCCCCAGCAGACCCGACTTGCCCCCAGGCTTGTCGTATCCCTTTCACACTTGGCACATCCACCCGCAGACTTGGTTTATCCCCAGCAGACCCGACTTGCCCCCAGACTTGTCGTATCCCTTTCACACTTGGCACATCCGCCCGCTGACTTGGTTTATCCCCAGCAGACCCGACTTAGCCCCAGACTTGTCATATCACTTTCACACTTGGTACATCTCCTGCAGACCTGGTTTATCGTTATAGCCTTGTCTATTTCGATATTGTCTTGAATTGATTTAATTGATTGAGCTCAGATCAGTTTGCGCGGGCTAATGCGAACTCAGCCATTGACCAATCAGCGCTCGCCTTTTTATTTTTATTATTTTATAAACCTTAGTACAACTTGTTTTAAGCTGTAAAGTTTCCCCCCTTGAATAGGTGGCGAGTTTAAACGTGGTCAGTCTGGTCATTTCTCTGGGGAATTCGCCCAAGATAGGGGATCACGTGGTTTTCGAAGGGTTGTCGAGGACGTGGTGGTCGTGGGGATCACGTCGTGGACGCAATGGTAATATGGATATGTGGTGATTCGTTTTTATGTGTGACAAAAGGGTTTTGCAGGTTTCCACGTTATGTTTGTTGGTTGTTTTATCAGTTTTTGATATCTGCATAAGTTTGAAGCAAGCTTAAGTTGAAACTGACCACTATTGCCAGCGCCGCCGGCCGATATGAGTCTCTTTGTTGACATGTCGATATGATTTTTTCATAAACATATTACTGACGCGTGAAATGCTCATATGAATTATAAAACATCGTTGAAACAAAGCTTTAAAATACTAAACTTTAATACATAAAATTGTGTCAAAGATTTAAACACCAGAACATATTTTGCATATAATGTGTACTCTACAAAAAAAAACGCAACAAAAATCTCAACCGTCTAACAAATTAACCATGACGTCAAGTTACGTCATTGTTATGACGTCAAAACATAGACGTCTTGATCAACTTGAAAGACTCGTTGCGATTGTTTTGAAAGTTTCATACGAAGTCGAGAAAGACCACCATGAAAATATATTTTGGATTGAACAATATTTCAGGAGTAAAAATGTATTTAGTTTGTGGCGCTTCTTGGCTTCCGTAGTTTCAATTTGAAATGCCTAATATCAATGTCGTATTTACAATTCACAACTGATCATTGAACTTAATATAACTGGACGGCTACTTCCCGCCAAAATTTGAATCCAGCCATTCAACTAGTCCCAATCTTTCTTGGCACGGCCTTCAATTAGACGACAGTAAGCTAAAATGCGTGACTTTACCCTCAGACACGGCATGCGTATTTCAAAGTAACCATTCAGTTATATATATGGTTCAATGGCTCTCTATTATATCACTATTCATGATTTGCTGTATAAACTATTCTATTACCGTCTGGTGGATACGTACTTTGCCCATGATAAGGCCAGTGCGCATCCCGCCAGCCTGCATTGCAGGTGTTTTCACGTGTTTGCCTTTCTCTGAAGCCAATCAAATATTCATGTGTTTTTTTGTGTTCATAATAATTCATGAAAGCTCCTGGAGTCTTTGAGTGGTGGCCATCTTGGCTTTCGTCTTCCTTGTTTGACCTGTTATTTTGTTCGATTCCAGTCCCCTCGATACGCTCAACGTGGTCTCGTCCCGGTGGTGTGAAAGTAGTAACAATATTACCGCTGACTGAACATATAACAGCCGGTACTTGGTGTAAGTTGGAGTCTCTGGGACCCCTTACATATACATTAGCAGAGTTTGGTTCTTCCATAGTAGCTAACCTTGTTTGATCCCCTTCTTTCCTAAGATAGGATCCCTGATTGCTCGTCTGATCCCTTGGTATCTTTGAATAAGATCGCCTGTCGATAGTCTGATCCTCTTCCATCCCTGCATAGAGCCGCCTATCGCTAGTCTGATCCTCTTCCATCCCTGCATAGAGCCGCCCATCGCTAGTGTGAACCTCTTCCATTCCTGAATAGCTTCGAGGTTTACCGGATCTTTCTTCCTGGATGTGTTTCATGTTGTGATCCTTCAGTGATCCCTCGGAATCTATACGTTCCCCGCAAAGACTGCATTTAAAAAGGATCACTTGCTTCCAATGAAGTCTCATATGACGTTGGAGGATTTCGAACGTCTCGAAGTTTTTCTCGCACACCTCGCAGTTGTAGGCGATTTCAGTGAACATTTTGCAAACGTGCTGAACAAGAGCGTGTTCGTTGGTGAATTCTGAACGACAATTTAAACAGGTGTATTTTTGTCGTACGATGGCCTCGGAAATCATCATTTTCGCATCCTTCGCTTCAAATTGATCATTTTTATGTTCAACCGTTAACTCGTTTTTCTTTGAATAAAATCATCGTAACATTTCACCGGGCTCTTTAAGGAGTTCGTGAAATGCCGTCTTTCGGGTGTTTTTCGGATTGCGCCCGCCATCATCCGTATGTCGTCGGGATGTCTTCGTAACCCGTGGAAAGTTCGATTAAGCACATCAACCGTATTTTGTTTTTGTGGTGGATTCGTTGTATTCGATCGATAATTGAAAGGGTTAACTTCACCAACTTTTTCATCGTTAACTAACTCGTTAGCACGGATGTTTTCCTGTACGTTAGGTGGATTTTCCATGAACCTCTCTCGACTTTTGCCGGGATCGACGACATTGCTGTTAGTCATAAAATCCTGTTGCGTTGTTCTTGCGGTGTTTTGAATAACAGTTGCGACTTCTCGTCCGGTTTTTGCTTCATTACGAATGCTGTAAATCTGAGGAGGAATCGGGCCATTAGTTACATCATAGTAATTTGGACGTGAAGTCGTAAACTGTCGTAGAGCATTCGGGCTCGTTTGAGCAGGATTCGGCATAATTTTTGATGGTGCCGTATTGGAACGGGGTGATGTCGAGAATGACCGTAAAGGGATCGGAGATTCCCGTCGAGAGATGGAGAATGTTTGGGAGCGGGATAAAGCATCTTTTTGCAGCATGTTAGAAGATTGTTTGGGTGGTGATGTTGACGTAGGTCGTGATGTCGTGTGCTGTCGTATTGTACTCGGTGTGTAATCGTGTCTTCTTTCGGGCTCCATGCTCGAGGCGGGCATGGGAAAATAATAGTGTTGACGTTGAGGCCATACGGGTGACGGATGTACTATGATGGATTGAGGTGAATGACTGGATATCATAGGTTCTTGGCCTTCCCATGAGTCACCAGTAGCGGTATTGGACGGACTTTCTTCATGATGTTCTTGATCCGGCGTGAACTCACCATTATTGCAGGTATCGTTGCCAGATTGAGGCGCGTCACTGTGTGTTTTGACGTGCTCCACAAGCTGATTGAGAAGGGAAAATTTCTGACCACACGTTCGACATTTATGAGTCTTCTTCAGTCGATGTGTCGTCAAGTGTTTATCAAGCTTTTCAAGGTTTTCAAATTCCATTTTACAAAATTCACATCGCAGTTGCGAGTCCGTAAAGAGTTCAGTATGATGTTGGTAGCAATGGCGACGTAGGTTTTCCGCTTCTGTGAACCGTTTCGGACAAATTTGACATCGATATCTATAAGCTGTGAAACCATAACAAAGAAAGTTAAATTGCTGCATATTCATGCCAGGAAAGTCGTGTTTGCGGTTTCTCTGAAATTGTAGTTTTTAAGACTTACGGCCCGGGAAAATAACCGCAACTATACCACCTTCTTTAAATTGTGAGTGGCAGGAAAATAACCGCAACTATACCACCTTCTTTAAATTGTGAGTGGCAAGAAAATAACCGCAACTATACCACCTTCTTTAAATTGTGAGTGGCAAGAAAATAACCGCAACTATACCACCTTCTTTAAATTGTGAGTGGCAAGAAAATAACCGCAACTATACCACCTTCTTTAAATTGTGAGTGGCAAGAAAGATGAATGGCTAAACTAATTTTCATTCGTACAAAGAATCTTTACGTTCACTCTTTAATACACTTTTCATCAAAACGAGAATCATCAAATTCTTACTTTGGATTTCTAAATGGATCTCAATTTGAACATTTGAACACTGCAACTAAATCACGTGATTATTTTGTCAAGTTTTAGATCACGTGGTTATTTCCTCGAGCTCCTAAATCACGTGGTGTTTACCTCATGCTCCTAGATTGTTTACTACCTCGTGCTCCCAGATCACGAGGTTATTACCTCGTGGTCTTTGATCACATGATTACTGACACAAGCGATAATCAAAAATCAGATTTCTATTTTTGCGCCCATTATTTTCTTGCGAGTTTGAAAGGAATAGGGTCAACAAAACATTGCCGCCAAAATTACAATAACAAGCTTCAACACTTACGTTTATTTTGACAGACGTGCGTCATGTGACCGTCGGCGGTCGCAAACAGACTTCGGCATTTTTCACATTTCATCAGCGTCACCTCTCCCTTGCTGTGTAGCATGGCATGACGCTTCAGGGCATCGCATCGCTTAAAGTCCAGCGAGCATTTTTCACAGCGGTATCGTGTCGTGCCTGTGTGCAGGTTTTCGTGCTTTCGATGATCGCTGGATTGCTTGAAGGCCTTTGGACAGAACGAACATTTGAAAGGCCGCTCTCCTAAACACAATAAAACACTGAGTTGTGAACTGCGTGCGAGGAAAAGGTCGCGTTTCAGGCGCTGAATAAGTATTTGCGATTGATAAAACTGTCCTTGCCATTCTGTCCGTTTTAGTCAGGAAGTCTGTTTTAATTTCAATAAGATTGAATTTTTCAAGTCTCCGAAACCGTTCAGTTGTGAAAACTCATTTAAAGTAAAACAGTTTATCAACAAACCACAATAATAGACATGTCATTTACAGTAGTCCCCAGTCCCCCAACACACATCCAAGTAATTACATGGAAATTTATTATGTTACCCGTATGTATCCTCTCGTGGTCTCTCAAGTGACTGCGATGACGGAAGGCGCGACCGCAGTAATTACAAGTGAATCGAAATCTTTTGCTTCCTTGATGTAAGACCATGTGTTGCCGTAGCAACGACTGACGAGGAAAACCTTTAAAGCAAACGGAACAACGGGCTATCTTGCCACATTTGTGCGTCATGAACTCCTCCATGTTACTTAAAACTCTCTCGCAATTTGAGCACTTTATTTTGTTTTCGCTATCTATAAATAGACATAACTTCGGTTGCATCATGTTTTGTTGTGATGTACTTAAATATAGTAACAAGATAATCATTGTCTCCAATGTTCTACCAACTAAACTACAAGATCATCTGTGAAGTATGATGATATTTTAAAACACAGTTCTAGTTTATTTCATATCTTAATATCATAGATAATAACATCACGTTGTTGTGATGTACTCAGGTATAGTAACAAGATAATCATTGTCTTCAATGTTCTACCAACCAAACTACAAGATCATCTGTGGACTATGATGATATTTTAAAACACAGTTCTAGTTTCTTTCATATCTTAATATCATAGATAATAACATCACGTTGTTGTGATGTACTCAAGTATAGTAACAAGATAATCATTGTCTACAATGTTCTACCAACTAAACTACAAGATCAACTGTGAACTATGATCAAACAAATCTACTCTATAAAGCTTTGAAAATTCACTTTACCTTTGACTCTGATTGGTTCTCGTATGATTTTGTCACTGCTTGGTTTACTCTCCATTGCTTTACCCGGACCAGCATGTGACGTCACGTTACTATGGGCAACATCTTGGTCATTCTGTTCCATGTTTTTGTTGATTACGTCATTTACAACGTCAGTTCTTTCTGTTGCCAGATTGTCTACAGCCAAACGCTCTTCGGTTTCCGGCTCATCGAAATGGGAATTCATATCGCTATGCCTTATGTTAGCACTTTCTGTCGTCAATACTTCGGTAAAGTTCGCGTGCTCTCCGGAAAGGTTTGTCTCGTGCTGTTTTTGAAAAGTGCAGGCATTCATTGGAAATATTGTTGAGTTCACTTCGTAAGTCGTGTTGCTCACTTGTTGTTGTCTTATGTCGTTTTTCGTCATTTTGCTGTTCCGACAGCTGACGATCATCATACGGAAACTGTCGCTCAATTACGGACAGTTGACGATAGCACACGGGATGGCTATCGGAATTCGGAGAAAGACGTTCTGATTTTATAATTTTGTTTGGAGAGACCATGGAAGGGAAGCCATTGTTTGTGTCGCGAGTGTCCTTCATCTTGCGTTTATTTTCTGGGGAATTCAATGAAAATGTTTGTGAAATCGTGGAAATGTTATTCATTTTCTCGCATGATTCATTCAGGTCTGGCGAACTCTCCGATACGGTTTTTGTACTCGGGTCTAAGCCTACTCGCGGTTCCTTTTCCGCTGGCATGCTTTTCTCAAAATTTGCAAGCGCACATCGCTCTCTTGATAATTATTTTCAGATTGTGATGTCCAGGGTGCCGTTCGGATTACCATCGGATACATTCGTAGTGTTTTCGGTTTGTACGACATAGGACGGTTCTGGGCCACTTTTAGAACTTGTTTGTTTTTTAAAATGAGTTTTTCTATGTTTCTTCATGTCGCTCGATTGTTTGAAACCACGGCCGCATACATCACATTTGAATGGTCGTTCACCTAAAATATTTTCATAATTCATTTTAGCTTAAAGAAGCAGTTTAGTTCCCAAATGATTACGTCAAGCAATTGTTTTTAAAGAAAATTAGAGCGGAGTTGGGTTAAAGGCGAAATATTTTTCAGTTAGTGATTCGCAATAACCTTGAACGACTGATTTTCAATAATGGGCTATTCCATATGAAAGAATGTTATACGCAGTGCGGTGTTTGAAATTAAATGAAGATATGATCTTCGCATTTTGCTGGGCAATTTTGCTGGCAACTTTGCTGGATCATATCTTCATTTAATGGACTGTTTCCACAATCCCTACACTCATTACCGCTGATAAAGTTACAAAAAACATGCTTCAATTTGTAAGATAAATACTTCTAAATATTAAATTGTATATAAAATCGAAAATATGACCGATAACGTTCGTACATGTTTTGTCGCTCTTAGAAAGCATCGTTACTTTTGGGAGTTTTGCTTTAGTTATGGTTTTTCCGACAGTAATATTGACCTACATATAACTGGACGGCTACATTCCGCTTAAATTTGAAGCCAGCAATTAAACTAGTTCTGGTTTTATCCACGCCAAAGAAAGTTCATTTACCAGCGTGTGGGATTTGGCTCCCAGACACGCGTAAAAGACACTCAAGAAACTCAAGTACAGGCATGTCAATATAAGGTAGCATTCCAGTTATATATTTAGTTCAATGGACTGTAATTTACCCAGGACCCGGTTCGTTGCTAAGTTGCCACACGGAAACCATTGTTCCGCGTTGGTTATGAACACCGGAATCTTCCTAGTAATGTGACAGAATGATCTTTTTTGTGATTGACTGAAAGAGTCTACACTGAGCTTAAAAAGATGTGAGAAATTACATCTTGAAGCATCAACAATAACATAGCCAGCCCAGAACCCTGTATTTAGAAGAGTTAGGGCACGTTAGGGTACTCGGCATTTCGCATTATGATCAAGTTGATTGGGTAAATATGATCAAATGGGCATCTAGCCGCCATTTTTGTTAAGCCGCCATGCTAACCATTTTTTACGAAGGAGATAAATTATAAAAAATTGTGTCTAGTGATTTTATGTTGCGTTTTAATTGTGCGAATGAAAGCGATTAAGAATAGAAATCTGCGCGCTCCCTTGTGACAAAAAACAGTATTTAAAGCGCATAAATTACATCCACTGCATTAAATAAATGCTTTTCTATTGTTTTGACATCTATAAACAACTGAATTCCAAAGGTAGCGATCGCTGTCAATTCATGAATAAGAAAACACAACAGAAAATTTCTCTTTTTTCCATGTAATGCTCTTAATTTGCTTGCTTTTGGAACAAAAATGGCGGACACTATGCAATTTTACTTCCGGTGTCCCAACTCTTACATATGTAAGGCTCTGAGCAAGCCAACGCGCGTTTGTCGTGTTCATATGCGATGTAACTACTTTGATGTTTATTTTCAAAAGATTTCTTAAAAAAGGTAATGACTGCTAATGATCTGAAATTTAAACAGCATGAACACCATTGAAGGCTGCATTCGCTACAGGGTATTAGTTCGTTGTCCGTAAAAAAGAAAAAAATTGTTTTCTTAAAAACTAATTGAATGTGCGAATGATTAATCAATGAAAATTTTTTCGCGACTCCTGTGTTTTTAATTAACACCTTCCACTCAAAGATTTCATTAACAACTCAACTCGAACACAGTCTCAGCGGATAGGATTAGAGGTAACATTCACAGGATTGGGATTAAGATGGAAGATAAATCTCTGGAAATTGAGCTTACTTACCAGTATGCGTTCTCAAATGGTCGCGTAAATGCGAAGAAACTCGAAAATATTTCTTGCAATATTTGCACTCATATGGCCGCTGACCAGTGTGTACTCGAAGATGCACGTCACGACTGCTTCTATGCGTGAATTTCTTTTCACAAACGGAGCAATCGTACATTTTCCTATCACCTGTATGCTCCTTTCTTATGTGTCTCAAGCGTAATCTTATCCGGAAATCTCTCTGCAAAACACGCAGGTCATGGCCTTGTCCTCTTTGGTGTTATCGAAAACATCTGCGAAAAGACGGCGTTTGTAATTTCAAAACGAGTTGAAAAAAAAAAGATGGTACCCTGACAGTATACACGGGAAGACCTACTTAAGATATGGTTGTGTCAATATCAGTGACATAGCAAGCTCATATATTTGATCGCGCAATGCTAATTTCAGCTGATTAAATTTTCATTTCACAGTAAATAAACTTCTAAATATTGCATAGTAAGATCAAACTTCCTGTCTTGTACACCGCTGATCAATATTTTTGTTTACTTTACTGTAAATAGTTGGCATTGTCACAGTAAAGGAATATACATCAGTAGGGCCACTTCGCTGTGCAATTGGCTGCTGTATATATAATTAGTTTACTGGCTGCCCTTTGCCATATCGTCAATCCTATTGGTCACACAATGGCTGCCAATATGGTAATCACATGCGAAATAAGATATGCGTGGCACGAAAAATTCAATGGAATGGCCCTACTGTGTGTTCTCTATACTGTGGTTTTGTTGCGTCGATATTTCTTATATTTTGTAGACGTCCTTCGTGGAGATCAGCTTATGTTATTAACGTGTCTAAATTATGTTTTTTTTCATAAATTCGTGCGTCTATCTTTCTATCAAAGCGCATTTTGGCCTTCAAATCCGATTACATAAAACCCTCAAGTATCACAAGCGCTTAGCACACCCATTGTCTCATATCAAACGGCAATAAACTTTACATTTTGTCAAAAAAATTGATTTCACTTCATTTCTCGTCAATTCTTGTAATTATCGCACGCATAAAACCATTTTATAATAATCACAATCTAATCTTGCGAACCCGGCTGAAACACAAAAGTTGATACCTTTCGTTTCGTTTGTAGACTTCTCAACTGATTCAGCTAAGAATTCTGGACTTAAGTTCTCAACTGGACTGCGAGTTGGAGAATTTGGTTCTGGGTCACGTGATTTGAGCTCATCATCCGTGGTGTCAAATTGTTGCCCTTGTTTGCAATTCCCCTCGCTCGCGGGGATATCATTTCGTAATTCGTCACCAGTCTCTTTGTAACCGTTCACGATACCTTCCTTAAATCTTTGCAAGATGGTCGTCATAATTCTGAGGAAAAAGTGATTGAGGCGTGCATTAGTACAAGTGCATTAGAACCAAAGCATAAGAAATTTCAGTTTTTGTGTATAGCATTTAAGAAATACACATTATTTACATGGCTATGGTTAGATATACTATGACATTGCTACCAATAATCATATCCACTTGCGCAAAGGACTGGGAACTATTCCCCCCCGGGCATCCGTTGTCATGTTCAGCTTTACACCTCACGCTCTAGGATGCGCAACAACATCTGTTTGGCATTGCTACAAGTTACAAAGGACTAATGTTTACCGAACAAACCACTAGTTATTTGAAAGTGAATATTTCACAAACACATGTCAAACGTTAATAAAACGTATAGTTACGCAAAACATAAGTCGGCGTCTAGTATCATGGTATAGCCGTTTGCGTTTGAGTTTAATCTTCACCAATAATTCAAAGGAACGAGTTTAACCCTAACCCGTACTTCGTCTAGATCATCTGGCGAATTTTTAAAAGCTGTATTACAGCGATCTTTGAAGGCAACCGCTTCGTAAATTTTTAAACGAATTTTGACGATGATGAAATAACGTCATAAGAGTGTGAATAATCACACAGGGATGACTAACTGCACGCTTCTCTCTCAGCAATATGAACTATTCACTTGAGAGACGATAGTAGAAATACATTTCGATTTTCCAGTAAATTTCTTGAGAAATACCGTCAATAAATGTTCGAACTAACCGTCGTCGGCACGCAATAACATCAGTTACTCCTAAATCTACCAATAAACTATGATCATATCGTCTGGTTTTAAAATAAAACGTTCAACGCTCTACACCGAACTCAGTCTGAATAACAAAATGCATATGATTGGAATTTCGCTAAAACGCGTAGAAATTGCTTATAAAATCGATTCACAACGATTAGTTTCTTGATATTTAACTCAAACAGAAATTATTTATGTCATTACGAACAAGAGAGTACGTGCTTTCTCGTGTACAAATCCTAGCGTGTCTTCCAATTTAAATACGAGTAAAAGCCTATCCTCAATAAAGTGACTAAGTATTTCCAGATGATTAGAACTACGACCTTTAAAGGACGTAATGGCTAAATATTCATGAGAAAAACGTCGAACTTAATCGCCATCCTTCATGACAAACCTTTACAGTGGGTGCTCTTTTCTAGCTACTGCTGCGTTATAAGATCATTGTTGCAAATTTGTTCTCCGTGTCAAATCGGCTGTTTGACAGCAAAACCGATCGACGAATGTTAAACTTTGATATCATACCTGATGGCTGGTCGTAATGGTTTCACTTTTTCTTAATCATTGCGGTTCTCGGGAGCTTCTTGTCCGCGAAGCTTTGCTATGAGATCCATACAGTTTTGCTTTGTGACTTTGACATGGCGTGGGCTGTTCGTCACGGCATTTTGCTTGTAAACACGTGACGTCAAATTTAAACGTGAAATGATTCTTGTGATGAAAGGTGAAATAAAATTAGCATTTGCTTGATTGATGGCAAGCTTCCGGAATCCGGATGTCTCGACGGGGTGTACAATGCGTTTTACGCTCGCGTAAGAAAAGGAGATAAGATTCTTTGTTGTCTTGCGTATTGACTCCGTGTGCAATAAGGAATGTCAATTTAAGAGGGTGAGCCGGCGTTCTAAAACTCCTTTCCATATTGAAATACGTGAAAAGAAAGCAAATGGCAAAAAACAGATGTAATTACGACACAGCAGCTTCAGTGTTTGGTATTCGTATAATGTTGCACTTTAAATAGTAGAATACAAATTAAAGTTACACTCCCCCCTGGCCCCTTCTATACAAGGAGAAATGTTTTGTTTATTAGCAACAAGTCGAATGTTGCGGGTTAATCTGGATAAATAGTCTCGCATTTCGTAAATTTTCATACGTCGTTATTCATGTTATGTTCTCAGAAGTTTCCCAAGTTTCAACGATCGTTTTTAAATACGTCAGACCCGAATTGCGATGATGACGATATAGATCTTTCGTTACATTTCTTCGTCCTTCTGGAACAAACGGTCTTTCAGCAATGTTTGATGGACCGTATCGTTTGCTCTCCGCACGCAACATGTATCTTGTTAAACATCACGCTGTTCCTGCCGAGTTAACATTTCTTGTAATGCAATATTGCATATTTTTATTCGTACATTATCAACGTGTTTTCGTTCAAAGTTTTTCTGGATGTTTATGTTGCTTCGGCATACATCAAAACATCATCATCTTATTTGCATGACATTAGTTGTTCAAAGTGCATTCTTCAGTCATGTTGTTCAAAATACGTCACGCGAAATTCTTATTCTTCTTAATTAAACAACTCATGAAACTAAATAGACTTTCTTTTTAGCATCAAGGTTTGTACGCTCGCTTCTTGAACGTAGGTTGTGATGAGTTTATGATAAGAGAATTTAGGGTGAGTAGTTGGCTAATGTAAAGCCCGATTTTAAGTAATTTAGGACCGCTCCAAACGTCGAACTTTACATGAGCCGAATGCATCTAAAACAAAAGATAATGAGGAAGTTGATCTCATTTTCTCATCTCATTAATGCGTTCGGCGCATGTAAAGTTCGACCTTTGAAACTTAAATACCTTATATATTAAAATCGTGTTAATAAATGTAGATCGTCCAAGTTAGTCGAGTCCTGAGAAGGACTGTTTTGTTGATGTTGACTGACGTTTCGACAACCTTAGCGGTAGTCATCTGCAGAGTCAGTTTCTGCCGGATTTGTAACGATTCTCCCGGTAAAACGGTGTAACGATACTCCCGCTAAAACTATTTACTTTATTAAAATCATGTTGATTGTCGTTAATTGTGACTTTTTTCACTGAAGTAATTTTCTCGATGTTGAGCAGGATGTATGATACAGCCATAAATATTAGTGTGTTTTTCCATGGTTTTTCCACGCTAGCTTTTTGTCCTTGTAAAGAGAAATAGTTCCTTGAAAGTTATAACTGATGAAAATATGTGTTTTGTAGAAAGAAGAATCGAAGTGTATATTCTATTTCTATCACATAACTTTAGTACAACGCTTTAATCATTTTATTTTATCAAAAAAATTTTCTGATTTTCTCTTAAATAAAGAGATTCCTAGCATAAAAAATATTAGAAATCGTTAATCATTCACATAGCATGCTTGAAAGTAGAAAAATTCGGAAGACTGACTGCGAATGAGCTGCTAGTTAATGGTGTGACGTTTTCGTGATTATTATGCTACTTAAGCCAACAAACTCGATGGGGCTTAAAATGCTTCTAAACGAACTTCATACAGACGAACTTGGCAATTTCGTTCACATTCGTATTTATACTCACAGACGGGTGATGCTTCAAAAACCCATGCAAATTCGTCTATACAGACAAACTATTCAGACAATTCATCTTAACGGATGATTCGTCAGTGTGTCCGTATTTACACACAGACGAACTTGAAGACGAGCAATGTTTTGCTTTCCCGAGTTCGTCCGGACTTATGATCCGTCAGCCGTCTCAAGTATGAATCGGATATTTAAAAGCAATGTTGTATTCGTTTGTCCCTGCCTTTAGGAGCGCGTTTTCAAAAGGTGCTCATGCAAAAGCGAACATTGTCATGTACAGCATCGCCACACAAAAATCGGATATTTAAAAGCAATGTTGTATTCGTTTGTCCCTGCCTTTAGGAGCGCGTTTTCAAAAGGTGCTCATGCAAAAGCGAACATTGTCATCTACAGCATCGCCACACAAACACATTTTATTCTCTGCAGATACACATGTATTTCATTGTTACCTAGATACACAAATGTTTAAAAAACAGCTATCCGATACTCGGTGAGTTCCGTATTGTGCAAAGGCACCCCGTCGAAACTAGGTTCTCAGAGAATTCAATATTGCGCGTACTGATCAAGACAATTCATGGCAAAGTAAACGCATCGTGGGAGGTTAGTACTTGGCTATTTTTTCAACTGTAAAAACTTGATAATGGATGTTTACTGCGCGTATCAATGGTGTCGATGACCAATATATTGACTTGAATGAAGTCATCCATTAACGAAACTATTTGCATGGAGGAAAACAGTTTAATATATTTCTGGCGACAGCTGTATTTCGAATAAAAGTCTTCTCCATTTAGTTGTTATTGTTACGTAAGAATTCGATGATCGACCGATATGTATGTTCATGAAAAAAGCACTGATTTTATCATAAATTACACTGCACATCGATCAAGGCGTCAAATTTGTCGACAGCACAATATTTGTTTATATTTTACTTCGATTTACTGCTGAAACCAAGACCCCGACTGGAAACCAAGGACCCGAGCCCGCACCTATGTATTGGGTGAAGCCAGCGGAACATGCCAGCCGTATTAAGACATAGCTGTTCAATGGAAGATGAACAGAGAAGAGAGAATGATTTTAATTGCGAAGAAATTGCCACTTGTCAATAACCTTTCACAACATCAGCTTCAGTCTGGAGTTAATGTTTCACTGCCAGGTGTTACTTTCTGCGACTAATTGCTCATGAATATTAAAAACGCTAAATTTGCCCAACAAACATCATTTGTCTCCAACTCCTTAATGAGAGATAGCGTTCGGCTCTATAAACAGTTGTAGGTTGGATTTGCTAACTTTGTTACGCCCAACAAACGTTTGTGGCAATCGTAATATAGATTATCCCTTGTTATTACGAAGATAGCCGAACGAAAGAAAATCTAAATCGTGCATCGTTTTTTCCCGCTTAAACACGTACGGAAAATCATGACAAATACTTTGCAATGAGCGGTTGCATAAATTTAGAATTCTGTTTGCTTATTTCAGGTCACAAGACATAATGCGTCTTTTCAATGATGAGCAATTGATTGGAATTTGAGAGACGCCGATGTCGAAAATGAACTGGAATGACGATCGTTTTTGAATTACAGAATCGAAGTTATAAAGTGGGAGCGTTTTAATAGAAGCCTCGACAGAAATTTGTATGGAAAACGGCAAGGGTTTTCAATAGCTTCAGTCGTTTCAAAAGATGTGAATTCGGTGTTGCGTTGGTCGATGTTGCTGAAAATGAATTCAACAGGAAATGTACGATTGAAGTTGCCACCAATTCAAGGAAACTTTATTGGAAGCAACGAGGAAAACAATAACAAATCTTCGCTTGGCACGTTAACTGTTAAAAAAACGACAGGTAATTTTGACGATTTGGCAGAACTTCAAACCAGAGAGGATTTGAAAATATACCACGAGAATTTCTCGCTTTCACATATATATCCTGTGCTACCTCCTATCGGTGGAAAGACAAACTATTCCAAAGCTATACATCAACCTGGTGCGGACTCGACTATCGTACCCAGGGCGCCTAGCCGTTCAATAACCATTAAGAAAAATAAAAATCGTCGTCCTAGAGTAAAAAAACCGTCGTTTCCAGGCGAAATTGACCCGAAAGTATCGTCGGATTTATATGAACCTATTGATGCAAGAGCGAATAAAATTCTCAAAGAAGACACGTCAAGTGATGGCCTCGATGGAAATGCAAACGATTTTATCGTAACTATTCCGGAAAAGGCTCCATCGGATCTCTCATCCACTAACACTGTGTATTCAAAAGTTCTAACTGAAGATGCTTCAGAAAACGGGAATGAGATTAGCAATGAAACTTTAATGCCCGAAGCAATATTGACAGATTTAAGTGAAGCGGCAATTTCAGGTGCAAATGAAGACAATATTGGCATTAATGGTTTAGCGTCTTCAAGAAATAATTCAATTCCTGAAGAACTGATTGCTTATGCTGATGTATATCCTCCATCTCCTCCGTCCAACGAAAGAAGAGCCAAGATAATGGTACAAAGGATACGACAAGAGCTCTCCAAAGAAAATGCTCACAGATTAACATATTTTGAAGAAATGGGTTCGCGCAGACGAAATGCCACCTGTCCTGAGCTGGATGATGTTTTGTGTAATGCAGTTGAAATTTTAAAGGATATATTTTTAAAAAAAACAATGGAAGAACTGTGTATGATGTGGTAGAAACTAGAAAGACGGCCCAAACAAACGTAAACGATTTACTTCGAAAAGTCAGCTTCTATCATCGAGTCATCTTTAATGGAAATGCGGTATTCTTGTAAGCGAACATAATGTTTTATTGAAAATTTAACGCCCATGGAGCAGGTTCGAGGCTGTATCTCGGCGATTAAAATGTGTGGAAGCGGAGGAGGGGAGGGAGGGAGGGAGTGAGGGAGTGTGGGTTAAGGAGGGCAGGGAAAGGTTGTTTATGCTAAGACAAAAATATTGTAATTAGACATTAACATGCAAATTCCATCCATCCGTAAGATTGGAATTGAAGAACAATAGCTTCATTTGCCAGTTTATCATTGACAATGAATTGAGCTCTTGACATGTTTTTATTTGTTGTTTTTTAAATAATCACAAAAGTAGCCAGCAACATTACGAAGAAAAATAGTTTTCGAAGTCATTATGAACTCTTGAAATGGCGATGAGAATCTTCAAAACTTGCAGTTGGGAATCTCAACTTGGGATTTTTTTGTGAAAATCGAAAAACAATTTTAGTGTACTCTTCCATTTGCGCAAAAACTTTTCAGAAAAAAAACAAATTTTCTCCAAGTGCTGATTAGCAGCCTGAAATGTGTGTAGTCGAATTTGACAAGTCTGATAAGGCTAATTGATAAACATTGAATATAAATATGAATATGAAAGAATGTTTTATGCAGTGCGGTGTTTGAAATTGAATGAAGATATGATCTTCGCACTTTGCTGGACAATTTAAGCAATTGTCTTAAGAACTGGCTCAATTGTGCACCGGCACCGCAGAGGTCATGGGTTCGAATCCTGTTGAGTCACCTGAATTTTTCAGGTTCTTGAGACAATTGCTTAAATTGTCCAGCGAAGATCATATCTTCATTCATAAATATGAATATATGTAAAGATAATTTTCGTTATGATTTACAAATAAAAGAACGCTTTTTCAGCTGTGATTTGCAAAATTTAAACTATAGCGAAAGAAACATTGTTATGCGCTCATGAATGACACGTGGCTTTGACGTGATAGAACAAGCGCCTTCGGGGCTAACTAGCCTGCCGCTACAAATGTAGCTCTCGGTAGCTCCAAGTCAAATCTCTTATATATTGCATATATGGACGACATATTGCCTCCACGACGGCAGTTTGATGATGGCACCGTGTTTCGACTTTATTTAAAGGCCCTAATCTTACTCGAAGCCACGTGTTTTTTATGTGCGTATAACCTTGTCAGCATTTATATCATTTTTATTTTGATTCTTTGATGATTGTTTTGAAAAGCAAGCAACATGAAGTATTGCAGTAGAGCTTTTTATGACCACTGTTTCGAGTTTTGTTTGTACCGAAGTTACTCGTCACGTGACCCGCATCTCCTTCGCTCCCTACTATTTCCTTTTGATAGAGTTTTTGTATTACTTCAGTTGGGAGTGGGACTCAAAAACTGTGCATTTTTCTACAACAAGACGCTGCTATTTTGTCCATTGGTTGTCAAGAAATGTTTCTGAGATGAATATTGTAGTGAAATGGGGCTTATTCGTGGGATTTCGATGTTTTTCTCATTTTGTGCGGACGTCTGAACATTGATTGTTATTGGAATTTTGACGCTCAACTCATTTGTATACAATAAAATATAAGACGGCATTCGTCATGACTAACTTGGAGAAACGACGAAATGAGCTTGAAAAGATAGTAGGAAACTCCAAGCATCCTTTACATATCGATGGCTTGCTTGTAAGTCGCCGTGAAAGCTCTCAAGGACTCCTCCGAAGTACCATCTAGAGACCAAATGTTTTCAACAATGTATTTAATACCTTTAAATGTGGTTTTTAGGATAGTATTCAAGCATTGGTGAGCGATTGTGACTCCCAGCTATGAGGAAAATCAAGAACTTGGATAGCTTTCTATCGAGATGTATGAATTTAATATTATTTAGCTTCATCTTCGCTTCGACACTCCTGTAAACACGAAATAGTATTCGAAGAATATGGGCAGTTCAGTCATGAAATGTCATTGATTTTTTGGGCTTTTTCTAGATGAGAAGCCATCAAGATTTATACGGGATCACCGAATGCAACATACAGATTTTGATGTGATAAAAGTTATCGGTAGAGGAGCTTTTGGTGAAGTACAGTTGGTAAATAAATTGCCTAGTTTATGGTCGATTACCTCATCCCAAAACCGCAGCAAATTCAATTTGTTGTACTTGAAATTAGTTTATGTCATTATCTAATATTGATTCTGCTAAATAAATACGTGGAAACAAGACTTAACGTGATAAAATAGTCTGTCATCTTCGTGTTTATGTCTTGTTGTCTTTGCCAGGTTCGTCACAAAGATACAAAGAAAGTTTATGCAATGAAACTGTTGAACAAATTCGAAATGGTAAGTGTTTTTATGTTTGGGAAATTTCTCTTTCCATGTCGTTTCAAAGTGGCTTATTATGAGTTTCTTGATCATGTGAATTTTTCAATAAAATATGTCGCAGTTCTTTGTTTTCTGTCTGAGAAAGTTGTGTCAGCATTTCTAAAGCGAAAGAATTTCTTTCTGTTTTATGACTTTCTCTTTCTGTAAGCGTGGGTGTTGAAAAAAAAAGATCTAGATGTTTCAAAACATCACAAAACTAATGAAGTTTTTTTCAACTCGCTCAAGAAATGATTTGTTCAAAACCACCAGTTGCTCCAGTATAAAAGTGTATTGCTGTGTAGACCTCCAAATTCCTTAGGATTGCACTATTAACTTGATTTGCTTTTCTGTACTGGTAGTTGACACCCTTCAAACTCTACATTTTAAATGAAATATAGACTTTCCATTGTACTGCAAATTTCTGCCATTTTGTTAACTATGCCACTAATTTCTTCCATCTGATTGGCTATGCTACTTACTGTCAGTTGAGCAATATATATCGAGCAATAATGAAGCAGTGAACTATGTTCTAATTATGGATGGCTACTTTTTTTAAATATACCGAAGGAATCTTTAATTCTAACCATGCGGATGGTAGATACATATATAGCAGTGAATTTTCTTTTATTTACATTGATCAAAATCTAGATAAAGCGATCAGACTCGGCATTCTTTTGGGAAGAACGAGACATCATGGCACATTGTGACAGTGCATGGGTTGTAAAGGTTCGTGTTGAATGTATTTGTTCAGCTGTTTTAGGTAAATTGATGACTCACAAACAACATCGTCGTGTTTTATTTTCCCTTTCTTGCCCTTTTAAAATAATATGACGTCTCACAAACTGCTTGAAACTGCTAAAGCATCACCAACAAGCTTGACAATTGTGCTTTCCAATTATCATACTTCAAATATTTTCTCTCTAAGGAGGGTTTAGATACCTTAGTGGGTGGTCTTAATCAAACTACCTTTTACAATAACAAATAACTGCTGGAAAATTAACATTGCACTTAGACATTATTTTGCAGTGGCAGGGGGTGGGTGTGAGTGGGGTGGGGGAAGCAACACTATAATCATGGACACTGCTATTACCTATTTAAAACTGAATAGAATTGGTGTTGAGGCCTTGCATTAAAGGGCAAGCAATCCATCAAACATTCCAGTTTATGATTTTGTTCAAAATGAAGTGAAATTGTAAGAAATTATAAAGGAGCAAAATATCAAAGACACTGATACTACTATAGACCTGATACACCTCTTGCAATAACTACTATAGACCTGATACACCTCTTGCAATAACTACTATAGACTTGATACACCTCTTGCAATAACTACTGTAGACCTGATACACCTCTTGCAATAACTACTGTAGACCTGATACAACTCTTGCAATAACTACTGTAGACCTGATACACCTCTTGCAATAACTACTGTAGACCTGATACACCTCTTGCAATAACTACCATAGACCTGATACACCTCTTGCAATAACTACTGTAGACCTGATACACCTCTTGCAATAACTACCATAGACCTGATACACCTCTTGCAATAACTACTGTAGACCTGATACACCTCTTGCAATAACTACCATAGACCTGATACACCTCTTGCAATAACTACTATAGACCTGATACACCTCTTGCAATACCTACTGTAGACCTGATACACCTCTTGCAATAACTAGTTTAAGTAAAGTAAAGTTTGGATAGCAGCTGAACAATGAGGGAGTCTATTCCCATTTTGTTTTAGTGCTAGACAAGGGAGATCTATGCTGAGGTGGAGGGCCACACCTTCTCTTAGCTCTCTGTTACTTTGCCATGCAGACCAGATTACCCGATTTGCGATATTCATACACTGAGTTGGCAAGGGTGGGTATCAAATCTGGGACCTTGCAATCACCAGGCAAACGCCTGATTCACCTCTTGCAATAACCACCCCTTTTACTAATACTTTGCGATCGATTGATTTGACAGATTAGTAACAGCAACACTATGAGAAGTTTCTGGCTGTTCTTCTGAATGCTTAGATTGAACCTTCTATGAAGTTGCCTTTTATATTATTGCAAATATTAGCTGAATGAATGAACTGTTAAACACTTAATGTTGGTGAATTAGTTGTGTGGCAAAAAAATCACACCATTTTCATGACATATTTGTGGATGGTTAAAGTGCCTTTCTATGGTGTACGCACCACACATTTACATCCGCAATCGGTTACTCTTGTGTTAACATTCTCATAGCCTGGTGTTTATTCCCATTTGGGTAAAAATATTTAAAGATGTCAAACCAAGAAGTATTCTCATTTTATGATGTTTTTCCACAGCTTCATTTTGCATTCCAAGATGCAAAGTATTTATACATGGTCATGGATTACTGTGCAGGTGAGAAAAATTAACACCAAGATGGTATGATGTGATAATATTTTGTTGGTACACATGTTATGGTGGTGACCAATCATTATGTAGGTGGTGATCTGGTGAATCTTATGAGTAACTATGACGTACCAGAAAAATGGGCGAGGTTCTACACTGCTGAGGTTGTTCTGGCTTTGGATGCTATTCATTCTATGGGTTTTATTCATCGGTAAGAACATTAAATCTTTCCTACATGACCTTCTGTAGATATTTGATTAACACCTTTAGATATTCATACTTTAATCCTCTCCACACACATGGTGAACATTTACATTACCTCCTTCCTCCACCACATACATCAGTGTCCCATCCTTCACATACATATACATACTTTACCCCTCTCCACACATAGTCAACATTACCTCCTTCCTCCACCACATACATCAGTGTCCCATCTTTCACATACATATCCATACTTTACCCCTCCCCACAAATAGTCAACATTACCTCCTTCCTCCACCACATACATCAGTGTCCCATCTTTCACATACATATCCATACTTTACCCCTCCCCACACATAGTCAACATTACCTCCTTCCTCCACCACATACATCAGTGTCCTATCCTTCACATACATTTCAATTCTTAACCCCTACCCAGACATTGTCAACATTACCTCCTTCCTCCACCACATACATCAGTGTCCCATCCTTCACATACATATCAAATCTTAACCCCTACCCAGGCATTGTCAACATTACCTCCTTCCTCCACCACATACATCAGTGTCCCATCCTTCACATACATATCAATTCTTAACCCCTCCCCGTACATAGTCAAAGGTACATCAATGTTGATAGGTACATACCAACTTAAACTTTATATATCTTTTTAGGGATGTTAAACCAGACAACATGCTTCTTGACATCACTGGCCATGTGAAACTTGCCGATTTTGGGACATGTATGAAGATGGATAAAGTAAGATGATAAGATGATTATATATATTTAAAGCACTTTGATAGAAATGGGTGTAGCACAGTGAACTATAATATCAACTGGAATGCTAACTCCAATACTTGGGCTAGAGGCCGTTTTGAAGCCAGCTATGTTGCCTTTTTATCTGCATTTTTATGCATATTACGTAATCATGTGAGGTAAAATTTATCATGGCCATTTTTCCTTCTGTATTTTATGTATATTATTGTTGTTAATTTGTTAAAATACTATCATGGAACTTCTAAAAACGTAGAAAAACTAGCATCAGTATTAACTTCAGAGATGGCTACGCAGTTAGCATTCCAGTTAATACTACAGTTCACTGGTGTAGTATGTTTAGGCTTTACATATTTATGTACTATATTTATATCCTTTATCTATTATTCTTTGCTAAAATCTTTTAAACACAATAAATACATATTAGAGTTACTGCACCCCCCCTCCCTCCCAAACCTTCCTCATATTGTTGGATCCTGTCAGTTAGAGTTTTTTCTATTGTGTAAAGTATGCAGGTAGTTTCTCAATACCTCCCCCCCTGTTTTTATACCTCCTCTGATATCATGAAATATTTTCAACAGTCCCCCCTGTTTGTAATAATGTAATATTTTGCAATGCACCCCTGTTGTATATCCCCCTGACATGATGTAATATTTTTTGATAACGCCCTGTTGCACACCCCTCTGATATGATTAAATATATATAGGATGGTATGGTGAGGTCAGACACAGCTGTTGGAACTCCAGATTATATTTCACCAGAGGTATATGTGAGATTGATACTTGCTTATGATGGCATCTGTGAATGCCTGGGTATCGTGTTGCTTGCTTTTGTTGTTGTTTGTCACTTGTGTTTATTTTGTGAAATACAATTTATGTACCTAGGTGTTGAAATCTCAAGGTGGTGAAGGGTATTATGGTCGAGAATGTGATTGGTGGTCTGTTGGTGTTTTTCTTTATGAAATGCTTGTTGGTAAGTTTTATTGCTGTTTTCATCACTACTGAGTAATCTGATGTTAAAACTCGAGTTCTTATATACTCCAGTCTTGTGTCTTCATCAGGAGTTATCTGATGTTAAAATTTGAGTCCTTATATACTCCAGTCTAGAGTCTTCATAAGGAGTGATCTGATGTTGAAACTTGAGTCTTTTTATACTCGCAGAATCGTTGTCATATTGCTATAAATTCTCCATATTTTTAAGGTGATACGCCGTTTTATGCAGACTCTTTAGTGGGCACCTACAGTAAGCCATTTTGAGTATTTATTTTACAACAAAGTATTTATTCAATCTACGGTAATATATGCGTAGTATCGTTTTCAATTATTTATTATCTTAGGTAAAATCATGGATCATAAGAACTCTCTTCAGTTTCCCGACGACATCGAGATATCTTCAAGTGCCAAGAGCTTAATACAAGCTTTCCTATGTGATAGGTTTGTCTTCTCGTGCGCAATTTCTCTAGGAAAGAAAACGCTTCGAAACTCTTCATTATTTTTTTTAAGAACTGTGCGTATAGGTCAGAAAGGTGTCGATGAAATAAAGAAACAGAAATTCTTCAAAAATGATCAATGGACGTGGGAGAATATCAGAGAAAGTAAGATTTGCTGTGCTTTCAGATATGTTGTTTACCATCCTCTTTACCGTACACATGTTTTACTGTGTTATGAAACGTGTTATTGTGTTATGGAACGTGTTACTGTGTTAGGGAACGTGTTACTGTGTTATGGAACGTGTTACTGTGTTATGGAACGTGTTACTGAGTTATGGAACGTGTTACTGTGTTATGGAACGTGTTACGGTGTTATTGAACGTGTTATTGTGTTTTGAAGCGTTCTACCTTTGTTAAGGAACGTATTAAAGGGCATATGGCTTTAAAATTTTACAACTTAAATTATAGTTTCATTTAACAGAACTTTGAAAATAACAGTGTATTTTCTAAAACAGTTTGCGCATATCTCTTTTCATTCTCGAAGTATTGAAGTTTTTGTAATGTCCGATCTACACAACTTTCTACGTCATTTTTTTTGCATAATGAAATTTGAAATAGCAGATATATTTGCCGATATGTTACCTCAACCGAGCAGGGTTCCCTTCTTTGTGAAGAGTTAATGGTATAAACAATTTCATGATCATTTCAACCAAAAGTTGACTTGAAGCTAAAAGATGTTTGAAACTTCGCCGCGATTCATTATGCAAAATGACGTAGAAAGTTGTGTAGATCCCGACATTACACAAACTTCAATATTTCGAGAATGAAAAGAGATATGCGCAAACTGTTTTAGAAAGTGCACTGTTAAATTAAAGTATAATGTAAGTAGTAATTGTATAATTTAATGTGTAATGTAACGTTCTGCCTTTTATATTAAACGTGTCGTGTAATGTAGCGTTCTGCCTTTGATATCAAACGTAACGTGTAATGAAGTGTTCTACCTTTGTTGGGAAGCATTCTTTGCTGTGAAACGTGTTACTCTGATTTGGAGCGTGTTACTGTGCTACGAAGCGTTCTAAATTTGTTATAAAGCGTTTTGTCGCTTTTGGTGTTTAGATTTTTGATACATCTGAAGTGAAGTTAAAGTTTTTCGTGTGTGAAACACCTCACAAAATGGCTGCAAAGATGATGTTTAATTCATTTTTTTCGTCTTTAGTGGTGGCGCCTGTTGTACCGGAACTAGAGTCCGACATTGATACGACAAACTTCGATGACATTGCAGATCCTGAGGGGGGCGAAGAGACGTTTGGGATCACAAAGGTACGTTACGTTTTACCATGAAATTCATCAAAGAACTTCTTGACCATCCTGAAGGCGCATTTTTCGCCCTATTGGGATTATTGTACCTATCCCATTAGTGTCGCCCAGTGTCCCCCTCTATACCTGTATGTATTACTGAAGGTACATACTTTTACCATGTATGTCAATGACTATCCTTATTGTGATGGCCAATTGATAATGGAGAAATAAAAGATGTTGACTATGTTTAAACAAGCTTATGCAAACGTTGGAGACTTTGAGAGAACTTAAGAGCTGATCAGTGTAAGTACAAGACCGAAGGTTGAAAGTTCTCCCAAAGGTCTCCGAGGTTTGCAAAAGGCTGTGTAAACACAGTAAACATTTTTTATTTCTTATATAACTGAGAAACTCTCGTCTATTCATGCTTGTGCATTTTGATTGCGACTAATGTATATTCCTAAGTATAAACATGTGTGTTATGTTTCATTTGATATATTTTATAACACATTATCTCAATACACTTTTCTGTACAGTTTTTCTAGTACATGTTTAATAGATCGTCCAGTTGTTGTTGTTGACTGACGTTTTGACTACCGCTAAGGTTGTCAAAACGTCAGTCAACAACAACAAAAACAGGCCTTCTCAGGACTATACCAACCTGGACGATCTACATTTACAAACATGTAACGATACTCCCGGGTTCAAACCATTTACTTTTCTAGTATTTCTTACCCACAAATGTGTAACCGCTGAGTACTATGTTTTGAATTGCAGGCTTTTGTCGGGAATAATTTGCCTTTCATTGGTTTCACGTTTTCTTGTGACTATGAGTAAGTTCATCTTTTTTACATTGGCTAAACAATGCAACTGTTTCTACTTGTCCTGTGGTACCAAGCGTGCTAAATTAGTTTATCTGCAATGACCAAGGTTTTTCCTAGCGTCTTCAATAGTGTTACGCTAAAATCACAGAGGATTTTATTGTCATTTAGGTATTCAATTGGTAAAGGAAAACAAGGATTGCAAAGGAAATCATCGGATTCTGTTGTAAGTTTAGCGACATACGCTTTTTATACTTTAGTTTTTAGTCTACCCTTCATTTAACTTTGCGCTTTGGTTTACAGCCTTCTTCTCCCTTTAACTTTGCGCTTTGGTTTATAGTGTACCCTCTCCATGTTTGCATTTTAATTTTGACCCTCCCCTTCATAAAAACCTGTACTTTTGTTTCAAACCCGTCAAGCCTAGCTAGCTTACTCTTCCTTTTTGCTGTGCTGCATAACGCCAATTCCCAAACCAACATTTCGAAGGATTTAAAACGAGTTCCCTGTAGTACTACTGCTCCTTCGTGAATACACAGATTTCATATGTTATAATATACGTACGTACGTACGACCCTCGTTGTCATACTTTAAATTGGTTGTTTATCACAGGATAGCGGTGTTAGAGATGTTTATCGCACAGGGAAGGTCTGTTTAGTGTGTGTATAAACAATATCTTGTTGGGTGATTATCTTACGTTGTGTGGTGAAATCTCATATGAGAGATCTACGTAATACATTTCGTCTTTCTATACAATAATAACTACCAATGATTTGAAGTAATGATGGACGAAACATACTATTGAATGACGTCATACTATTGAATGACGTCATACTCTTAAAGACGTCATACTCTTGAATGACGTCATACTCTCGGATGACGTGTTGTGTTATTTCAAACGAAATTTGTGTTGATATTGTAGATTTCCGAGAATTCTACTGGAGGATTCAAACATTTTACTCCAGACCACATCAGGAAGAAGTTAGATGCGTTAGATCAACAGTTATCAAAAGAGAAATCCGCCAAAGATGAGATGGAGCATAATCTAAAGTAAGAATCCAAGAATTTGAATGGATTGCAAACCTCAGTTCTAAACGAGTCTCTTGCTTTCGGTTTTGTGGAGTCTTTCATCTTACTTACAGTGTGATAGTATTTTAGGAGTATCGTTACATGTTTGTAGATGTAGATCGTCCGAGTTAGTGTAGTCCTGAGAAGGACTGTTGATGTTGACTGACGTTTCTACAACCTTAGCGGTAGTCATCTTGCGAGTAAAAGTTGGTTCGTTTGTCCACGTTTACTCCTCATTTTGACCCTGAAGATGACTACATCTGTAGTTGTCTATACAACGCAGCGCAGTCGATGCAACATACGATGCGCAGTCACGAAAAACAGTCCTTCTCAGGACTCTACAAACCTGGACTATCTACATCTAGGAACATGTGTGTTAACATTCCAAATACTCTAAGTTAAGAAAAATAGTGCTATAAATTTGAATCTTTTTAGCAAAAATACAAACGTGATGGTTATCGTTCATTTATGTATAATTCTAAAATATTCTTCTTTGCAACAGAGTGGTGAATGCCAAATTAGAGAAAGTCACGAAAGAATTAGAAGCAGAGGTTTGTGTAAAATTTTTGCGTTTGTTTGTTACGTATACTTCATGTTGAATTGAACTAAAGTGTTCCTGTTCTTTAGATTGAAGCAAGGAAAAAAGCAGAGACGTCGAACCGAGAGCTCGAAAGAAATGCTGCTTTGGATAAACATGATCTACGAGAGGTAATCTCACTATGTTATAAGATAGAGAAAGATAGAGAAGGACAAGGAAGGATAGAGAAAGACGAAGAAGGGTAGAGAAAGACAAAGAAGGATAGAGGGACAAAGAAAGATCGAGAGGGACAAAGAAAGATCGAGAGGGACAACGAAGGATAGAGAGGGACAACGAAGGATAGAGAGGGACAACGAAGGATAGAGAAAGTCAAAGAAGGATAGGGAAGAGCAAAGAAGTATAGAAAGGGACGAAGAAGGATAGAAAAGGATAGAGAAGAATAGAGTAAGATAGAGATGGATAGAGAATTATAGAAAAGGATAGAGAAGTGCAGAGCAGTCATTCCGAGCAGCCGACCTATGATCACGTGACGTAAGATTCAACGCAATGAATTTCCATCTTGCAGGCTCAAAGACGTTGTGAGTTTGAATCTGAAGCCAAAAAAAAGGTATACATACTGTCGTGTTGACAATCAATGTAAAATGTTGAGGCTTTCGTGTCTTTTCACAATTTGAAAGTTTGAAGGTTTTTTTGGTGACTAGGGTATTTCAAAACATGTAACTGACCAAAACTAAACTTGGAATGCTGACCATAATCACTTTTCAGGCTGAAAGCAAAGTTCAAGATCTTCAGAATCGTTTGGATAGCGACCACGGAGCGAAAACAGAGATCACCATTGCTTTACAGACTGCACAATCCAAGAACACTGTACTTGAGAAAGCAGTAAGTTGTCACTCTTTCCATCCAGGAACCACGATCTTTGATGATTTAATATGGCTGGGAAACGTAAAGTCACCCACCCACCCCCTCTCTCTCCCCGAGGAAGGAGTAACATTTCTTATATCACATCGAAATACGTGATGGAAAATTGTGATAAATTCAACATTTAAACATGGATGTAGAAAATATTGTGAGTTTAATTGCTATAAAACAATATTTGTATTATGTATTGTGTACTTTAGGTGGCAGAAAATCGCGAAAAGCTACGTATTGAAAACGAGGCGAGCTCAAAAATCAAGAAAAGTAACAACGATCTTACCAAGGTAGAATTATATTCATCTTTTCATAAATTGTTTTAACTGTATCATGAATTATGTTTGTGTCGATATAAGTTGATTTGTTTTCAACATAAATAATGTCAGTTTCAGCATAAATTATTTTATCTTCGACATAAATTATGTTAGTTTCAGCATAAATTATTTTATCCTCATATATTATGTTCTCAGTACTAATTAAGCTAGCCCCAGAGTCACGTTCAGTTAGTCTCGCCGTAAATTTGAGACTTACGTAATGCATCTTTAAATGAAAATTTTTGTTTTTTTTCCAGCAATTAACAATATTAGAACACTCTTTTAAAGAACTCCAAGACAAGCATAGACTTACGGCTGAATCCAAGGTTTGTTATACATGAATTCTTTTACTTTAATTTAAAAACACGTGACTGTTTTGGGGAAGATTTTAAAACTGTGTATTGTGTATATCTATGACTTGTTTAACACATCATTGGATGTTTTATGATCTTGTAAGGCTCGTATATGGTACTTATGTTACTGTAATATTTCATAGGAGAAATTAGCATCACTCCAGCGCCCATGCAAACCTTCCCACACCCTCACTACCCCTGTGTTGGAGGGATTTACATCCCCGTGCATCTTCACTTTCCCATGGTAAGTGGGATGCGCACCTCTTCGCACCCTCACTACCTCAGTGTAGGAGGGATGCACACCCCCATGCACCCTTGCCATCCCATGGTAAGTGGGATGCGCACCTCTTTGCACCCTCACTACCTCAGTGTAGGAGGGATGCACACCTACATGCACCCTCGCCGTCCCATGGTAAGTGGGATGCCCACCTCCTCGCACCCTCACTACCTCAGTGTAGGAGGGATGCACACCCCCATGCACCCTTGCCATCCCATGGTAAGTGGGATGCGCACCTCTTTGCACCCTCACTACCTCAGTGTAGGAGGGATGCACACCTACATGCACCCTCGCCGTCCCATGGTAAGTGGGATGCGCACCTCCTTGCACCCTCACTACCTCAGTGTAGGAGGGATGCACACCCCCATGCACCCTCGTCGTCCCATGGTAAGGGGGATGCGCACTTTCTCGCATCCTCACTACCCGAGTAAATCCATATATGGATTAAAATCATCTCGTGCATACAGCCATTTGAAGTTTTGTGTTTTTCGTAGGATGCTCTCGAGAACGAATTGTTCCGAGTTCAAGCTTCGTTACAAAGTGAACTTAGCACAAAGAAACAGAGTGATTCACAAAAGAAAGAATTAGAAGGTACGGTTTAAAAATGCGCGAGCTGTACACATCTTCTGTTATATGTTAGTTATGAGTGTCTTAACTGTTTCATCTATTGTGTGTGACGTGTATATGACGTATATGTTCATACGTATGTATGACGTATATTTTCATACGTATATATGACGTACATATCGTTGATCGTTCAACTGAGGTCATTGAACAGAATTTGGCAGCTTTACAAATGTTTGTGAAACATCTTCACTGTCTACTGAAATAGCCATCCAAAATACAGTTTTTGTTGAAACATTCTTCTTAGTTTGGGTCATCGAATTCCTTACATCCCCTCCAAAAACCCCCCAATTTCTTCCGTCTTTTCACTCCCCCCCCCCGAACACTACATAACTGATACATGGAGATTAATATATGTACACGTGAACATGATGTTTATGTAAAACTTATAAGTGATCTAGAAATCCTTGCTCTTTATCATAAAAGCAACGATTTCCATAATAACGTCTACTTTAGCGACACACTTGTAACGCAATATTTGTTGTCAGCGGCATACGGTCACATGCTTCACCATTGGTCAATGTGTTTGTTTGAATTTAGCGCAACATATGGAGTTGAAGCGAGAGAACGAACAATTACGTAATAAACTTGTTGAAGGCAACGTTGCGCAGAAGAAATTGGAACAAGATATTGTGGGATTACAAAAGGTAAAAAAAAAAGGTTGATTTGTATCTGATGAGCATTCATGTGAATGTCTTGTCAAACCCTTAACGTTGTCTGGAAAAATCTTTTTGACTTCTATCACATTATCGTCTAATTTCTTAAATTTTTTTTGAGCGATTCTTTTGTTTCTGAAAGTTCTTTTTTCTTCAGGAAAAAGCCAACATCGAATACGATAAGATTGCAGAAACCCAGAAGTTTGATAAGGCAATCGCCGAGTACAAAGCGCAAATAAACAGTTTCCAGGCTGAGAAGAAACGATTGTCGATGACACTTGACGAGAAGAAAGAACAAGAAAGACATGAGCAGGATAAAGCTTGTAAGTTTATTGGTGATGGTATAAAGCTTGTTCGTTGAAATAATTTTTCTATCACAATGAATTTTCTCAATGAGGAAGGTGCGATGTTAGTCATTGTTTAATGTTGTTTATGAAGAGAGAGATATGTACAATTTTTAAATGTTTCGTATGAAAAGGCGGTTGTATAACATTGTTAAGGGTTGTTTATGAAGAGAGAGATGTATACAAAAGTTAATATTGTTTTCTATGAAAGAGAGATGTATAACATTGTTAAGGGTTGTTTATGAAGAAAGAGATGTATACAAAAGTTAATGTTGTTGTCTATGAAAAGAAGATGTATAACATTGTTAAGGGTTGTTTATGAAGAAAGAGATGTATACAAAAGTTAATATTGTTTTCTATGAAAGGGAGATGTATAACGTTGTTAAGAGTTGTTTATGAAGAAAGAGATGTATACAAAAGTTAATGTTGTTGTCTATGAAAAGAAGATGTATAACATTGTTAAGAGTTGTTTATGAAGAGAGAGATGTATACAAAAGTTAATATTGTTTTCTATGAAAGAGAGATGTATAACATTGTTAAGGGTTGTTTATGAAGAAAGAGATGTATACAAAAGTTAATGTTGTTGTCTATGAAAAGAAGATGTATAACATTGTTAAGGGTTGTTTATGAAGAAAGAGATGTATACAAAAGTTAATATTGTTTTCTATGAAAGAGAGATGTATAACATTGTTAAGGGTTGTTTATGAAGAAAGAGATGTATACAAAAGTTAATGTTGCTGTCCATGAAAAGAAGATGTATAACGTAGTTTCAACTTGTTCTTGTGTTCGCCCTTTAGATCAGACGCTCGTGAAAGAAAGGGAAACGAAGCTAAAACTGGACGCTGAGTTATCGGAAGCTCAGCGAACGATCCAGGTTTTGACTGTAGACTATAACGATGCAAAACAGAAATACGAAAGACTCGAACAAGATTACGAAGCGTCTTTAAAAAAAGTAAGATTACGTACATCATTACAACAAACACAATGGTGAATGATATAAGATGCTGAAGAGTTAAGTACGTCTGTTTGGGAAATCTCTTATTTCATTGGTGTGTTTACTTTGACGTCAGAGCGGCCATGTTGGTAGGTTACGGAGGCCAACAGAGAAAGTAAGGAATTGTAACGATCTTTTTACTGTAAGGATTCTCTTCCAACATGGCTGTCTTTGGTAAATACTTTATAGGTTAATACATACGATTACAGAAGTGATTGATAAAAATTTGAATTCTGATTCTTTCACGATATTTTATGTGGAAACACCATTTGGAAGTGGAAACACTGTTGTTTATCCTCGTGGTTTATTCATAAAAAAGACACGCGATCCGAATTTTTTGAGTAATAAGTTTTTTTGTGATAAATAAATTATTAGAATTGTTAAGGTTAGCCGAGGGACTACTGTTTAGGTAGTGTTCATTATGTATTAAAAAAGCAACAACATTCATAGCTGTTGAGAATTGTCAAATAGTTTATACGATAACTTTATTGGTTTACAACATTCTGTGCGGCTAAAAGAAATGAATATTTTTCACGAGTGGAAACACTAGAAGCAAAATTCCTTTGTTGTTTATTGAAAAGAATAATGAATACTTTTCACAGGTGAAAACACTGGAAGCACATTACGAAAACGAGGTTCAAAAGAGAACAGGATTACTCGAAGAAAAAAGACAATTAATGGACGAAGTTTCTGACTTGAAAACGAAGGAGAAACAGTTGTCGAAGGTAGGATATATGTGGTCATTGAGGGACAATATGGTCATTGAGGGACAATATGGTCATTGAGGGACAATGCGCAGTTTGTTGTTGTATATTGTTGGTTTATCTAGGACAATGTTGATCTCAGAGAACAGAAGAAGACCTTGCAGGAGTCCAACTCCAAACTTAAAAGGTTTGTAAGATTCTTTAAAATATCTTTTAACATGGAAATAGAAAGCAATAAGCGACCCATTTTCTCACGAACTTTGATAGCTTCGTGCGAATTTGTTTTTTTGACACACACAACGAATTTTGATAGTTTTGTGTAAATCCATTTTTTCCACTTATAATCTTCTAATATTATCCGGCAACAGCATTTTAGTAATTTATCTAAAAAATTTTTTATAAAAACCGCAGAACATCTTGACAATTGTAAATTCATCAACGTGTGTTGTTATGAAGTAGCTACGTATGCCATAGAACATTGTCGTTTTCTTCGTTTTCAGCTCAAGCGCAATGGATGAACTTCAAATGAAGGAAATTCAAGACCAACTGGAAGCCGAGCAGTATTTCTCTGTACGTAAATTATTCATAAATATTTGACATTTTACTTTCTATACTGTTGACTCTCATGATCAACGGTAGAGTCTCAAAAGTAACCGCTCTCTCTAAAGTAACCGCTCTCTCTAAAGTAACCGCTTTCTCTAAAGTAACCGCTCTCTCTAAAGTAAACACCCACTTTGTAGAACTTGTTAGATTTTTAAAACTTCTACTTTTATCCAAGTAAAACGTTCATGTACATTTTTGTCAACTACTACGGTAACCTTACATTACTTTAAGCACATTGAAAAATACCATATATGCAGCGTAGATTTACGGGCTGATTACATGATCCCCGGTAGCCGGGATTCGGTCAAGCGTTAAATCATTTTGGCAAATGGAAACGATTTAATACTTATCATCAGATAAATCTTCTCAAGCAATTTCACAATATTCTGATTTGATAACTACGCAAAACATTTAGAATTACGACAACCAATTTGGCCTAATTTGGCGCTTAATAAACAGTTGTAATTTTTACGCTTGATGTTTTGACTCCTTTTAATATTTCGAAATCATTTCACGCCTCACTGAAATTCGGTTAGCCGGGATCATGTAAACAGCCTCTAAAAGTGAACCCATGCCGAATTTAGCAACTTGAAACTCTAAGCCCTCCGAAATTAAGGGGCTGATTACATAAGCCGGGATTCAGCGAAGCGTTAAATGATTTTGGCAAATGGAAACGATTCAATACTTATCATCAGATAAATTTCTCAAGCAATTTCACAATACTCTTATTTAATAATTTCTCAAAACATTTAAAATTAAAACAACCAATTTGCCTTCATTTGAGAATTACAACCGGAAGGACGTGAGGTGCTTCGCAAACGGTTGTAATTTTTAACCTTGAAGTTTTGGCTCCTTTCAATCCCTTGAAATCATCGGGCTAGGTCGCTATCCGGTCCAGCTCGCCTCCATGTAATCAGGCCTTAAATGTCTCTCCCCTTGGGGCCACTAATTTCAAAGCAAGACAGAAGCAATTATTCTCTGTGTGTTTTATGTGTTATGTAAAGATTTATGATCATCAATTTGTTTTTTAGACTCTTTATAAAACTCAAGTCAAAGAACTGAAGGACGAAATAGAAGAGAAGATTAAGAAGATCGAGGATTTAAAGCAAGAATTGACCAGACTTCAGGAAGATAAGTACGTTAGGAATGATATATATTGATATATATGAATGCGTGTGTATGTATAGAGGGGATACTAGGTGGTATTCCTTATTGTAAAAGTAATGTATAGAGAGGATACTACGTGGTATTCTTTGTTGTAAAACGAGCTTTAGAGCTACAGCTTGTTGATAGACTTTTTACAAATGTATTTGTTGGTTTCAACAATGTTTACTCCATCTCTATCGAACACCGCGGGTTTTTCAAATCTTCATTTTTCGTTCAATCAAATGATCTAGAAAATAGCAAAGGAGATACAGAATTACATATAATTTTAATCTGTTCTTTACCAATATGGTTTGAAATTCATCAACATTCAAACGATAAATGTATGTCTTAGTGGAAGACAGACTTGTACCTTTTTAATCTCTCTCGTGTAGCGAATCATTGTCTACACAATTGGAGCTGACGACAACGAAAGCGGAGTCAGAACAACTTGCCCGACAGATTGCAGAAGATGGGGTTTGTCAATCTTTTTGTTTAAAACAGTAGCGAGGGAAGTGCCGAACGGAAATCCAATTCGGATGATGAAAATTTATTGCCCAACATGAAGCTTTAAGTAGATTCATGAAAATAAACCAAACGTTATAGAAAGTTTTATGGTAGTAATTTTTACTGTATGAAAATGTCTTGAATAAAGAAGAAGATGTTACAATAAATTTTATGTTGACACTTTTTATAACTTTCGGTTTATTTTCATGATTCTACTTAAAGCTTTTCGTTATCCGAAATCTAGTGTTTGTTTAACTCCAAATATTTGTCTTCTAGATATTTGTCTTTACATGAGGTTCAAAACATTCTAGTTTCATTATATTAATAATAATATACATGAAAAAATTTCTCAATTTTGATTGATTAAGAGCAGTGCAATTTATCGTAAACACCAAGGGCCGGTTGCACGAAACATGGATAGCGCATCCATTGATAGCGAAAATTTTCAAACTTGTGAAAAACGTGTTTATGTTTTTCTCACGACCAAGAAATTTTGTAATCTTCGAAACAATATTTCATTTCAGCGATTGCACAGCTCAAATCATTTATTTTTGTCTTATAAGAGATTTTATGAACGTTCAAAAAAATTTGCTATCCAGTGAATAGCGCTATCCAGGCTTCTTGCAACCAGCCCCAGTACAAAAAAGCGAAACACCGGTGCTGATTTGTGGCTCTTCAAAACTGTTCCTGGCTCTTCAAAACTGTTCCTGATTGGTTACTCAAACAAAGAAGTAATATAAGAGCCAATCAAAATAAAACATTTCAAAGGCGGGAAGGTTACATTATTGTAAACAAAGCAATTACAATGGTTGGCGTAAGTTTTAAGTAGATTTTCTTCGGCGAACGAGTTTGAAGTTCACCGTTTTAAAGATGTTTCTGGATACAAATATAAACACTGCTAAAAGTAGATACCTTGCTCTAGCGGTGTGTGTGAAAGCTATGGTGTTGTGAAAAGTAATATCCGACGGATTTGAAACACACGAGCCGGTCGATATTAAAAAACTAGCCGGCTGAATGTACGTACGCTGAAGTTAAAAGTCAACACAATTGAGAAATTTTTTCATGTATATTATTAATATGTAATAGCATGGTTTCTTGTGCAATTTGGAAAACATCCACTCTTGAGTTTTTAAGAGACTTCAAATTGCACTCGTCCTTCGAACTTGTGCAGTTTTGATAGTCTTTGAATAACTCACTAGTGCATGTTTTTTCCAAATTGCACTCAAAACCATGCTATTTATTACATATACTAATACATTATAATTTATTTTAGTATTCTGATTTGGAGAAAGAGAAACTATGTTGGAATTGGAACTGAAGGATTCCATTGCTCGTCATAAAACGGAATTGTCTGAAAAGCTTTCTAGAATATCACAGGTTTCTGTAGTGTTAAATTACTGTGTGTTACTACTGCGTGTTAAATTATTGTGTGTGTTACGACTGCGTGTTAAATAACTGTTTTTGTTATTACAGCGTGTTAAATTACTGTGTGCTACTACTTCGTGTTAAAATATTGTGTGTGTTACTACTGCGTGTTAAATAACTGTATGTGTTATTACAGCGTGTTAAATTATTGTCTGTTTCTACTGCGTGTTAAATAACTGTATGCGTTATTACAACGTGTTAAATTATTGTGTTTGTTACTACTACGTGTTAAATTACTGTATGTGTTACTAATATGTGTTAAAATAAATCGTATTAAATGAAAGTAGTGTTCAAGATATGCCACTCGTACATTGTATAAAATATCTTGGATAAAGACTTAAAATGTCATTCATATCTCGGTGTAGCATTTCCGTATCAGGAAACCATAGCCATCGGTAATACAGACTTATGTTGTACCTGTATCGTATTTCGGTACAGCAGATTTTTCACCCTTTTCAATCATTGCTATTGCTATTGCTGTAGCTCGCTCTTCAAAGTATTTTTATTTTCTTTTAGCTTGAGGAATCTACAGAGTCGTTTGAGAAGAAGATCGTTGACTCTTTATCCGAAAGAGAGAATTTGAATAAACAGATTGAAAAAATCAAAGAAGGTTTGTCAATGCTACTTCGACACTTTGTGATTTGATTTAAGCATTTCAACGGGTCTATAATAAAGTGTTACACCAAGTACTGCCTAGAACTAGACCTGTGTATACACCACGCATGCGTACTTGTATGTTTCGTTAAACATACATGATGTGTTTTATATACATCAAACATCAAGGATAAGCGTTGTGCTTTGAAATTTTGCTTAAAAATGCAGTATGTGTGTTTAATTAGTGGTTTATGTGAATGTTTAAGAAATAAAAGATGTTTACTGTTTGTGCATCTGCTCGAGAGTTCTTGCAAACGTTTCCGATGTTTGTGTAAGCCCGTGAAAACACGAAAAACATGTTTTATTTCTTTTACAAAAACAACGACAAAGCGAAACAAATAAAATTAAAACAAATGTTTTAGTTTTTTCTCTATCATGTATTCATGATTGATATTCAAATCCTCTTTTATATATTTAATTGGTTGAGCTCAGAACGATTTTCACTGGCTAATGCAAACTCAGCTATAGACCAATCAGCGAGCGCGTTTTATTGTTGAAATATTTCCATAACCACTAACTGATCATTTCTGTTTTCCAAAGAGCTGGAACTTGCTAAAAACGACGAACAAGAAAGCAAGAACTCCGCGGAAAAGTTGCAAAAAGAACTGGACCGAGAAAAATCGATAAAGAACCAAGCAATCGCCAAGTTAACAGTAGTTATGCATGAGAAAAAAAGCAAACCGAAAAAGGAAAGCAAAAGTGATCTTGCCACAAATCTTAGAAAGAAAGAAAAAGAGTGTAAAAAACTGCAGCAAGAACTTTCGTCGGTGAGTTGGCATGCATGCAAACCAGCGGTTTGTGCAGTCGCAAATTTTAGAATTGCTGTACAATTGTAAAGATGAGTTGATATGGTTGTCTGTACACTTCAGCTGCGCTTCATTTTACTATCTTACAACTTCATTCATATTTTAAGATACACCATTAAACACGAAAATCCCTTCCCTATTACGACATACCGTGCTTCCACTTATAGATGTATAGCCGAGACTTTTTATTCCCTCAAACCTTTATGATCATTCTGCATCCCCGTCTCTTGAAGATGTACAGGTTAGACTTACATTCTCTCAAAGCTTTATGATCATTATGCACACCCCCCCCTCTCTCTTTGAAGATGTACAGGTTAGACCCACATTCCTCAAACCTTTATGATCATTATGCACACACCCCTCCCCCTCTCTTTGAAGATGTACAGGTTAGATTCACATTTTCTCAACCACATGCCCATATGAAAACTTAACGTGAATCACGTTGTCATCGCGCGAATTTGTTCCCGTCAATACCACCCAGTCGAAACAATGGCTTCCATAACAGAGTTATATTTTTTAGGAAAAAGAGAAATACACAAAAATGGCAAACAAAAATCAGCTGGCGACAGCAGAATTACAAAACGTAAGAACGCGTAAAATTCTTGTTTAAAATCTAGTGAATTCAGATTGGTTAGTAAATGAAGGGAAATGAAAAATGGAAAAGGTTTCCGTAGCGAAGTCATCAGAGATGTTGCCTTTCCTTGCAGAGAGATGGATCTTAACCTTAGGGGCTGTTCACATGAGCCCGGGTAGCCAGGATTCAGCGAAGCGTTAAATCATTTTGACAAATGGAAAAGATTAATTACTTAACAACAAAGAACTTGTTTGAGCAATTTCCCTATGCTTTGACTTTGCAAATTCACAAGACCTTTAAAATGAAAACAAATAACTTAGCCTGATTTGAAAATTACAACTAAAATGACTTATGACGCTTGTAAGAAAAGGTTGTAAGTTTTGTGAAAAAAGTTTTTATTTCTTAGAATGACTCAAAATCATTTACGCCTCGCTGAATCCCAGTTACCGGGCTCGTGTAATCAGCCCCATGGGCAGTATTTTGATTCCGAGGGGGTTCGTGTGTGCTCTGGTTTTTTACTACAAAGAAAAGTTGATAGTCGTGTAGGTCGAGGTTTATACAACTGTTGAGATTAAACACTATTTTGTCTTTTATTGTAGACTATTAGCAATGATAACGATCTGATCCAAAAGATTAAGGTACGTGTATTGTTATCAATTTTCTATGTATATTAACCGCTGACCCTGATCCCGCAGTCCAACGTGATCCCACATCTCGATGTTTGATGAGGGAACGCTAAACGAATACTTCAATTGGTTTTTTTTTATTTCTTTATGTTAGATGGAGAGCGACTCGAAGGATTTGTTGATCGAGCAGTTGCAAGAACAAGTGAAACAATTAAAGCAATTCGCTGATTCGGGAATACCAAGTGTTATAAACAACACAGAAGATTTACCTGGTAATAATATCTATGGGTATTTCTGTATGATCATTTTGGGTGCCGAATCTTCTTGCTTTGCTCAATCGATATCTCCAGAATTTGTTATTCTTTAAACAAATGCTTAATAAAAAGTACCTTTTCTTTGTCTTTCAAAGTATTTCCTCAAGAATTAAACATTAGAGACACTTACCAGCAATACATATGTTGTCTTGAGATTTGACGGTCGTCGCTTTCGTGTTGTTTAGAAACAGAAAAAACGAAAGAGGGCTGGCTGGCCGTCCCAAACAAACAGAATATCAAGAAATACGGCTGGAAAAAACAGGTTTATAAAGAAATGTCTATCCGAGGCTTGTTACAAAACCGTTTGTAATTACATCATACGAACAATCTCATGGATAACGTCACCCAAACTCTTAGTACTGGCTCGTGTCTACTCCTAAGATTCTTACTTAAAATTGTCCAAAGCAGCAGATAAATAGCACGTCTTTCCCCTTGGAATAGATTACATATCTTCCCGAAGTCTACCTTGCCTTGCTTTATGTGTTATTTTAATTGACGCCCCCCTCCTCATTTCCATATACTCTTGCTTCTCAAGAACACGTAAATACCCTATGTATCCCCTCTTTATCTCCCCATCTTATGGTCTTTTATAGCTATTTCATCTTTCCTTTTGTATCATTTTAGTACGTTGTCATTAGCAGTCTAAAGATTTTCTTCTACAACACCGAAGGAGACAAGTCAAAAGCTGATCCTAGTATGATATTAGATATAAGGTGAGCATTTATTTTGCTATACGTTAAGCTCATAAAATGCCTTTTTATTTGCAAGTTTGATTGTGTGCAAAGCTATGGATGTACGTTTTAGTATCTTTTGCTGTGTTTTACACACTTTTCCATCGCTTGGTGTGTTCACACTTTTCCATCGCTTGGTGTGTTCACATACTTTGAGATTGTTTGGTGTGTTTACATACTTTGAGATTGTTTGGTGTGTTTAAATACTTTGAGATTGTTTGGTGCGTGTAGACACTTTGAGATTGTTTGGTGTGTTTACATACTTTGAGATTGTTTGGTGTGTTTACACACTTTGAGATTGTTTGGTGTGTTTACACACTTTGAGATTGTTTGGTGTGTTTACATACTTTGAGATTGTTTGGTGTGTTTACACACTTTGAGATTGTTTGGTGTGTTTACACTTTGAGATTGTTTGGTGTGTTTACATACTTTGAGATTGTTTGGTGTGTTTACACACTTTGAGATTGTTTGGTTGTGTTTACACACTTTGAGTGTTGGTGTGTGTACACACTTTGAGATTGTTTGGTGTGTTTACATACTTTGATTGTTTGGTGTGTTTACACACTTTGAGATGTTTGGTGTGTTTACACTTTGAGATTGTTTGTGTGTTTACACTTTGAGATTGTTTGGTGTGTTTACACTTTGAGATGTTTGGTGTGTTTACATACTTTGAGATTGTTTGGTGTGTTTACACACTTTGAGATGTTTGGTGTGTTTACACTTTGAGATGTTTGGTGTGTTTACACACTTTGAGATTGTTTGCTGTGTTTACGGTGTTTGCTGTGTTTACACCTTTGAGATTGTTTGCTGTGTTTACACACTTTGAGATTGTTTGCTGTGTTTACACACTTTGAGATTGTTTACTTTGTTTACACACTTTGAGATTGTTTGGTGTGTTTACACACTTTGAGATTGTTTGGTGTGTTTACACACTTTGAGATTGTTTGCTGTGACTGGGGACATATTGCCCACGTACTGTACTTTAAATGAACGAAAAGCAAATCATAATTTTACATCTGTCTGAATCCCTTTTTTTTAGTAAACTTTTCCACGTTCGTCCTGTTACGCAGGGCGACGTGATTCGCGCAGATAAGAACGAAATTCCGAGAATATTCCAGGTTAGTTTTCTAAGCTACAGATTCTACTTCACATGCGGGAATTGGGGAGTTTTCTCAAGTTTCATATAAAATTCCATTGCAAACAGTACATGTTTAATTGTTAAAATGTTTTAAAAACGGTTATAATCAGTGATACACTAGCTCAAGCCTGCACAGTTGTCATTTTTAGTCCCGACGCGGGTTCCCTGGAGTTGCACACCTTCAAGACATTTTTTATTTTCTTTTGGAAACTTTTCCGCGTCATTAAAAATAATGAACATTGACCTATGTTCTTAAAAACGCTCTTTCCAACGACTCCCCTGTCTTTGCTAAAATATCCTTTAAAAACCCATCATGTCTACGTTATGGACGGGTCGTTAATTGATGCTGTAATCGTTTTAGATTTTATTCGATAATGACGCCGAGAGCAAAAGGCGAAGTGAGAACAGGTTGCAAGAAAATCCAGAGGTAAAGACGGCTTTTTAGAAAAATTTTCCCTCTTCAATGCGAAACTTTGAATTTCTCATAACGTTATGACCACCAAAGATATATGTCTTTTACGTGGATCACTACAAAAATCACTTCTATCTAGCAATTTACTCATTTGATTGGCACTGGATCTAATGAGTTGGCTTCAAAACTTAGTGTTCCCATAGTTTTTGACTCTGAAGAAGACTACAGCTAAGGTTGTAGAAACGTCAGTCAACATCAACAAAACAGTCTTCTCGGGACTCTACTAACCTGGGCCATCTACATCTACAAACATTAGTATTCCTAACTTAGAAATTCGCGATCCAAGTAACATATATACATGTATATACAAAGTGTATTACAATGTGCCCTCCCGGCTATCACCATAGTAAAATGGTGACTCCTGCACTTATGACACAGGATGTTTGGTTACACATTGTATGGATTGTTTTGTAGAGTCACCAGAGCGCTCAAACCTATAAAGGTGAGCTTTGCATAAAGCGAAAGCGGTGAACGTCTCTCTATGAGACTCTACACAATCCGAGAGCGCTCAAACTGCGCAAGCGCAGCGAGCGTAATATTCAAAGTGTATAACAATGTACATAGTGTATATATATATATATAAGTGATTATGATCAATATTAGCGCTGTAGAAATTTATTAACTCCGTGTGTGTGGCGTTTACACCGCAGGACATTCCTCCTGTTTAATAAAGTAGGACTGTCACATGAAAGAATACAGGGGGGAGTGGTGTCATAATGAAGCTGTAATGATCTTCTTTCTTCGTCTAGGAACGTGGTAACGTCATTGTGTATTTGCAACACGAGTTCTTGATCGTGCATTATCACATGCCAACCATGTGCGATTTATGCCCTAAACCACTGTGGAACATGTTCAAGCCACCTGATGCTTTGGAATGTCGAAGTAAGTTGGAGTAATACTATACCTTTTATTCAACGTACAGTATAAAACAAATTACGAAGAAGCAAGACATCTTGAAATTGCAAAATATGCATTAAAACAAGACGAGAAGTGAACTGTAAATTTTCGACTTTATTTCAAAGTCATCCTCAGGCAGAATGAGTCTTTTTCGCATTATTTTAATTTGTAAAAGAAATAAGATGTTTTTCATGTTTGCACTGGCTTATGCAAACCTCGGAGACGTTTGTGAGAACTCTCGAGCTTGTGCAACCCTCGACCTTCGATCTCAGGCTTGCACTGATCAGCTCTCGAGTTCTCGCAAAGTCTCCTTGGTTTAGTTGCATAAGCCTGTGCTAGCACAATAAACATCTTTATTTTTAAATGATTGTTGCTATGAAATAATTGTTGAAATAATTCTTGATACTAAAACTTAGCAAATTCAAATAATTGTTGATTTTGGAACTTAGTTTTCATTTACGCAGCGATGTTTTCGATTTCCTGCTATCTGATTGGCTGCAGGGCGGTAATAGCTCGGATATGCAGTTGAAAACAAATTTGAACATTGAATTATTCTGCCATTTCTATACGTGCTGTTACTATTTTAGAATGTCATATGAAATGTCATAAAGATCATGTGGATCGCGAAGAATCAATTGTACCGCCATGTCAAGGTAGTCATTAGTAGTACCCCCATCTATCCATCACAACTTTATTAACAATCATTATTGATAGTACCCCCATCTATCCACCACAACTTTATTAACAATCATTAATAGTACCCCCATCTATTGAATCTACAACTTTATTAACAATCATTATTGATAGTACCCCCATCTATCCACCACAACTTTAGTAACAATCATTAATAGTACCCCATCTATCACCTAACTTTATTAACAATCATTAATAGTACCCTCATCTATTGAATCTACAACTTTATTAACAATCATTATCGATAGTACCCCCATCTATCCACCACAACTTTAGTAACAATCATTAATAGTACCCCCATCTATCCACCACAACTTTATTAACAATCATTAATAGTACCCTCATCTATTGAATCTACAACTTTATTAACAATCATTATTGATAGTATCCACTTCAGTTTAACACCTGTTGTATATTTTACAGTGTCACAAGAATGACAGCAGGATCAGTTCTAGCGATCTTGACAAAGAATGGAATCATATAAGGTGACAAGTTTTAACCCATGAAAACTTTGTGATGCACTGAGTGTATATATAAGAACCAAAGTTTTAACATCAGATCACTCCTGATGAAGACACTAGACTGGAGTATATAAGATGTCGAGTTTCAACATCAGATCACTCCTGATGAAGACACTAGACTGGAGTATATAAGAACTCAAGTTTTAACATCAGATCATTCCTGATGAAGACACTAGACTGGAGTATATAAGAACTCAAGTTTTAACATCAGATCACTTCTGATGAAGACACTAGACTGAGGTATATAAGGACTCAAGTTTTAACATCAGATCACTTTTGATGAAGACACTAGACTGGAGTATATAAGATGTCCAGTTTCAACATCAGATCACTCCTGATGAAGACACTAGACTGGAGTATATAAGAACTCAAGTTTCAACATCAGATCACTTCTGATGAAGACACTACATTGGAGTATATAAGAACTCAAGTTTTAACATCAGATCATTCCTGATGAAGACACTAGACTGGAGCATATAAGGACTCAAATTTCAACATCAGATTACTCCTGATGAAGACACTACATTGGAGTACATAAGAACTCAAGTTTGAACATCAGATCACTTCCGTTAATTGTATTGCTTCACAACAAAGCATTTATTCTGTCAATAGATTCTACCACATATGAGAAAAAACTTTAAACGATAAACTTGTATTTTTAGAAACCGCAAAGGATTATCAAGATGGACGAAGACACCGAGGAAGGTCAAAATTTTTACCAATGATAGGATTCCTCAACGTTCAATGTCCATGGCCTCTACTAGCAGAAAGAATTTATAAATTCGTACCAGGTTTTCCTATATTATCGAACACGGCTTTCAACGAAGCTTCAGGGAAGAAGGGACGTTCAACAATGGCCAGAAATGTGTATAAGATTACATCAAGTTCACATTTGGTCGATAAACAGCGACGTCTCATTTTCTGCCTTGACCTTGCCAGGCTGTGTAGTCGTCGATTATATAAAAATGCATAAAATATGATAAATTTGTGTTCCTACGTAATTCTCACCTTTATTACTAAAGGTAAACTAAACTAGGAATACGAATTTCGCCGCATCTATTTTAAATGGTTGTGTTAATTTAAAAACTTCTTGTTAATATTATCAAATTTTCATAAGGGGGCACCAACGATCTTCACGTTTATGTACAGATAAAATATGTTGAGCGAAATTTATTTTGTTTAGACGCAAAAACTGAACGTACGCGACTATTTGTGATTTGCATATCCTGCGCAGTGTAGCGAATAATAATTTGTACAAATTTTTATTAGTGGCTGTTGTTGTGTTTTATATAAAGTACGTTTGTGGTTATGTCCAACCGCTGGTATTACGAGACAGCTGTTTCAAGTATTTTAATTCCATAATTCAATATGTCGGTGAACGGGTGAATTTAATTGCGCTCAAAAAGACAAATTTCCTTTTCTTTTACTTGTCTACCTGCTTTCAAAATGTTCACATTGCTTTCTGGATTATGGCGCTACATTTCTCAAAAGACGAGTACTACATTCTCATTTTGGGCTTAGATAATGCTGGCAAAACAGTAAGTTGAATTGTTGTCAAGTGACAACTGTCAAATGTGACAACATTGACAACATAAGCTCTTTGCACGAACCATGTTCACAAATTGACTGTGTACTACGTTAAACTTGTTTTTTCAGACGTTACTAGAACATATAAAGAGAAAATTCAACGAGGATTACAAAGGCGTCGCTTTTGAAAAGATCACAAATACAGTTGGTTTAAATAGTATGTATTGTGCTAAAATTGAATATTTCCATGTTTGAAATGGATTAATTCGTGTATGTTGGCTGTGCAGTAAGAAAGAGCATCTCTAGTTTGGTGAAATTGCAAGTTTAGTGAAGAAATAGACGAATAGTGACATTACCAATTTGCAAATATTTTATGTTTTTCTGCCATGATTAGCTGTTTAATGCAGCTGAAAATAAAATATAACAATGTCTGAATCACAGCCCCAAATCTTAGCCTGCAGTCTTACAGGATTATGAAATTGTGTGCACTGACAAGCTCTTACTTTTCTAAGTTATTTAACAGTATAATTGGGTAATGTTATTCCTGATTCAGGCTCAATAACATTGTTTGTTTTTGTTAACAAGCATGGAGGACAAGCCTTTGTTCGAACTTATTATGAACAACATTGCATGAACCGCATCATTTTTAGTTTTGTAAGTGAAGGATTTTCTTTTCACTTTCCAGGGTTCGAATTAGGAGGGATAAATTGATTCGCAACTTTTTGAAACGTGCATCTACTGAAATTTCTAAATTTGCGTTCGGGCTATAACATAGCTCAAACGCATGCCTGATGTTTAAAATTTGCAAAACAGCAATGGAAAGTTACGGCAATATTGTCCTTATAAACTGGTTGTAACAATTTTGATATCAGTCAATAAGCAAAACTATATTTGAAAAAATGTACCACCTTTTGTACACTAATATTTTTACCACGGCCTATACCCATGTAACATTTATATTTGAGCCATTAATGTAACACACCAGAAGGTGATATGTTTAATTTTAAATGTAAAAGAAGTTAATCTAACTTCACATCAAAATATTCAAATTGTCAGTGTCAACTACTGTAAATCGTACAAAGTGTATTGCGCTACATTTAGAGCAACATGTTCTGGTTATCGATATTTTAATGGAGCATTTCTTACTGAACAGACAAAGCATAAATGGCAACTGTACTGAATTATAGTTTTAATAAATTTCCATTTAAAGAATGTCTAAAATAAGCTTTAGCTGTATGTTTTCAAATTTCGAATCACAATTTATTCGTCTTTGATTCGCTGGAGCACAAAATTGGCTCATAATTTTGCGAATTGCATGTGCTAATTCGAACCCTGCTTTCAAGTTGAAACAATAAAATGTGCTTTATCTTGTTTGTTTTTTGTAAAATAGTGTTACTGCATTTTAACTGTGTCTTTAAAAGTAATCTAAACTAATAAACCTTTTTCAAAATAAAATAATTAAAATATTTATGTTACAGTTGGTAAAATAGAGGTGTCTGGAATTAAATTATTATTTTGGGATCTTGGTGGCGACAACGATCTGCAATCGCTATGGGATAAAGTGAGTCTATTTTGTTACATTATAAATGGCCTCAAGCTTACAGAGAGGTTGGGTAGAGGGGACATTTTTCCATTAGCCTAAAACCTATTGAGGTCCCTGTTTTGCAAGAGCATCTAAAATTAAGCTATGCTCCTTCAAGAATGTTTGGTTTGGGGAAAGAAGTTATTTTCAGTATTGTACAGGGATGGACTTTTTGAAGGTGCAGGGGGTGCAAACCCCTTAAAATTCTCTTGCACCCCCCAAATTAAGCTATGCTCCTTCAAGAGTGCTTGGTTTGGGGAAAGAAGTTATTTTCAATATTGTACAAGGGTGGACTTTTTGAAGGTGCAGGGGGTGCAAACCCCTTAAAATTCTCTTGCACCCCCTAAAGACAATTTTATAACAGTCATAGAGGCTATGAAATTGTGCAGTTAGACTTATAAAGGTTCTCATTTCAAAGGCACATTACTTGGAAAATCTGCACCCCTCCTGTCAAATGAGCATTGATTCATCCCATGTATTGTATATTACATACATTGTATACAATAGTATTTTCCTATTACTTGTAAAGTTTTCCTATTACTTTTAAAACTTGGTTTTCAAATGATTGCAGATTTTTAAATCATCAGGTCGTTAGTATTCCTAACCCTTTCCCAAAGCCCTACAATTTTTTTTGATGGTCAATAATGCGTAAAATGTAAAAGTTTGTAAAGAAAGCCTAGATTTATTGCATTTCATCTCAATCAAATCAAATCAAATCAAAAAATTGTTTGATATGAATACATCTTGCAGTTTTTACAACTGAATTACATGTATAATACACCATTATTATTTATAGTTACAAAAATATTAACAATAGTAAAAGTTAAAGATTAGATAAAAGATATATTACATAAGCAGATCAAATGTACAACATATGGGCAACCTACAATTTAAGAGATATGTTCGTTCAAGAAATTTGGAATAAAAGAGTTTTTTAAAACAATTTGTACAATATTTATTAGTATAAAATGTTTTATTTGTCCTTAGCTGATAATAAATGCCATCAGTTCTTTGAGGTAATAAATTGTAAAGTTTGTGATTATTATCCTTCACTATATCATTAAAGAATCTCCTACTGAGAGATTCACGTCTGTCGAATAGGGTCGGGATATCAGCTGCTGTTAATGCATCTTTATAATGTGCTCCAGGAAATATTTCTAATATAAGAGGTCATGTTGGAGTCCTTAATGTCAAATACATTCTTATGTTTCAGTACTACGAGGAGTGTCATGGTCTGATTTATGTTGTTGACTCTGTAGACCAACAAAGGTTACACGAATCTGCCAAAGTATTTAGTAAGAGCATATAGCTTTGAATATTTTATTTGTGAAATTAAAGGCTTAAATTTGTTTATTTTCTGTTTCAGGTAGTGTGTTACAAAATGAAAATCTTCAGAACGTACCCCTCTTAGTTTACTTTAACAAACAAGACTCACAGGTAAATTGATGATTTCATCCAAACTCTGCAATTTCCCATCAATATTTACCTATTGTCCATGCTTGCATGCACAAAATTGATCCTCTGCGCTCCTATTTATCTCGCCATAACATGTATTGACAAGATCATGGAGAGTAGTTGTTTAGTCTTACGGACTTCCTCTGTGCATCTATTGATTTTATTGTCGATACGTTTACTAAACTGTGAATACGACATTTAATGGTGGGGATCCAGTTGAGGTTGAGTACTCCTTGTACTTGAGATCAGAGGGCTTAGCATTTGCAGTATCCCCAAATATCCAAAGGATGCTAGATTTTAATTTTCGATGCCAGATATTAAAGGGCTTAGTATCCTTATGAGGTACTACAAAATTCGATGTTTTGAGAAATTTATAGTTCAGATCTTGGGGAAGTAGAAATATTATTTTTTTCATGTTTGTTGCGTTGTTTCGGAAGTGTTGTTTACTTGTTTTTCTTTGTGAAGCAACACGTGACCAGTCACAGAAACATGCAAACAAACAAATATTGGTCCAATATTTACATATTGAGCCTTAGCTCTGGTAATGCAGTATGTAGCGGGTTTTTGGTTGTCGTTTATAGCAAATATAGTAGGTGTTGTTGAAATATGAAAGAAATTGTTTACAACCACTTGTGATAGAGGATTTAAATACACAGCTAAATGCTGGATCGAGACTTAGCTAATGGCCCGTCCACCCGTCTTTTCGATGATGATTTTAAAAGTAGACGGGCGCAACTTGCAAATTTTGTTCGTTTTCAGCTTTCCATCTTGTGAAAAATACAAATTAAAAAAGGAAAACGCGCTCCAACTGCATTTCGAACATGCCACGAACTAGAACTATCCTTCTTATGCGTGCAGCATTTTAAAGATTTGAGTTTCTCTTTACTATTTTTTATACTTGTAAATTGTAATTTGCGAAAAAGAATTGCACCAAAATGAAATATTTTTTTCGTCAAGTCTAAAAAATGCAAAGTTTGTGAACAAAAGCTTGTTTACAGCAACGAGCAAAAATTGACTGAATTTCTCGTCTATTAGCGGAATTCATTTCAAAATTTTACTGGCAATTTGGACTCTCCCCCTTCCCCCCACAGGAAAGCGGATAGTAACTTAGGCCTCCTCTACCAGTGGACGGGTAAAAAAATTCGAATCCTGGCTCAGGCCCTGTGCTGGACTATTTGAACATACTCCAAAATTTCAAAATATACAAGTTTACTTTGGTTGACATTGCCTGCTCTCTCCCTTGTTTATCTCACTAAAATTATTTTTCTTGTTTATTGTACAGAATGCTATATCAGTAGAGGACATAAAAGATTCATTTAAAGATGTCACTCCCTACATTGGACGACGTGATTGCACTGTTCTACCAGTGTCTGCCATAGAAGGGTTAGTTTTGCATATGAAACTTATCAAGGTTTGGTGGTTGGTTAATGAAACTATGGTGGTGAGGTAATGAATCTAAGGTGGTGAGGTAATGAATCTAAGGTGGGGGGTTAATGAATCTATAGTGGTGAGTTAATGAATCTGTCATGCTAGGTTAGTGAATCTATGGTTGGTTAATGAATCTATGGGGGTGAGGTGATGAATATATGGTGTAGGTTAATGAATTTTTGGTGGTGAGTTAATGAATCTATGATGGCGAGTTAATGAATCTATAGTGGCGAGTTAGTGAGTCTAATGTGATGGGTTAATGAATCTATGGTTGGTTAATGTATCTTTGGGGGTGAGGTAATGAATCTAAGGTGGTGGGTTAATGAATCTATGGTGGTGAGTTAATGAATCTAAGGTGGTGAGTTAATGAATCTATGGTGATGGGTTAATGAATCTAAGATTTGGTGGTGAGTTAATGAATCTCTGGTAATGGGTTAATGAATCTATGGTGGTGAGTTAATGAATCTCTGGTAATGGGTTAATGAATCTATGGTGGTAGGTTAATGAATCTTTGGTGGTGAGTTAATGAATCTATGGTGGCGAGATAATGAATCTATGGTGGCGAGTTAGTGAGTCTAATGTGACGGGTTAATGAATCTATGGTTGGTTAATGAATCTTTGGGGGTAAGGTAATGGGTTAATGAATCTATGAATGGGGATGCAGAAAGGTTACCAGTTGTCAGGTGAGGGTGATCTTTATTAGGATTGAAGAATGGCGTGATCAACTTAACCTAGGAGGCTGTATCATCTGCCTTGGAGTAACAAGTTTTAGAATATGGAGGATGGAGAATGTTTATCATGTATTTGTTTGAAGTATCAATGTGGATATCAATGGATAGACCTGGTGACCACCATAACGTTCTACAGATATGTTGTACTGTAAAATCTTAGTGTCATATTTATTTCTTTAGAGACGGTGTAGAAAATGGTATAAATTGGATGGTTCGCTGTGTTAAACGAAACATTTACAGACCAGCGCATACCAAGTACGAATTAGCTTAACATTTAATGTACCATTCCATCTGATTCGTGCCGATGAAAATTCGTGTCCGGTCAAAGCATGCTCCGACTTGCACAAAGTTAGCACTTGTTAATGACTTTAGACTAAAAAATCGTATTTCAAAGTGTAGTTTTCCTCCCAAATATGTAAACGTAAGGTATGTCAAGTCCAACATACCTTTTATAAACGTATTTGGGTTACAAGACCGTGTAAATAGCGTTTCTGACTTTGCGTTATAAGTCAGTATTAATAGTGTTTCTGACTTTTTCTAATATGTTATATACAACTAAGCCTGATGCGGATCAGTCTAAACCCGTAGGGTATAAAATATATCGAGATGAAGAAATTGGTTGTTTTTTTAAAAACCAATTTTTTAAGACTTTAAGCTGTTTTTATGAAAAACAGCCTTTGCTTATTTATGTACGTACTTCGAGTGATTGCTGCACATAATAAACTTTTTGTAGAATTTGCGACATAAAATGTAACAATTTTGCACTGCCATTAAAATTCGTCAATCTTGAAAGATATTTTTGTCACAAATATGATATTAACAGATGGATGTATCAGCGACCCACGTTGCGAAATTTACGTTGATGTAATCATTAGATGTTACGTTCTTTTGTAACTATTGTTCAAGTGTTGACCGAGGGGCGGATCGAAGGAGGGATGTAGAGTTTCCTAGGGATGGTGGATTGTTGTAATAGCAAAGTGGTATCCTAGTGGTTCTGCTTTTTGTATTCATCATTTTCCATGTTTATAATGAAACTGCGAGCGCATGCTGTGTAATAGAAAAAAGAAGCGCTAGTTAGGACATCAACTGATTATTGCTTTGTTTTATTTGACAAATGAATGCTGTTTCGCGAAGACATATGACTACTACCCCCCACCCCCGGACCATTGTTGTTTTATAGGAGTAGGGGGGAGAGTGTGATTATTATCTTTATTGAAGGTATGTCTCTCGCATATTTCAAACTAATCTAGTGGATCGTTGCGATAAAGTAATGAAAACAGATAATGTAAGAACGAGGCAGGTTTTGCATATTTGAGGATGTTGGTCATCTAGATTCGTGCAGACGTGAGAAGACTTTTGAACATTCTCAATGGACATCTTCGATTCTAGGGGAGGGTGTATAAACGGCATGAATTATTTTAGTTGTATAAATCACTTCTTTCGCCGTATAATTTATCGCTTTTTGACGACAGTATATGGTCACTTCATCAGACGAATTCTGCTTGTATTCGATTCCTCACTGTAAGATAGTGATTACCCAACCTTATCTCAACTTTCTGTGAAAGAAACATCTCAACAATTTAACCCTAAAGTTGATTATTTTTTCTTTCCTACACTGCTAACTTTCTGGTAGAGAATAAATGGAATCATGTCGTTATGGACTTTCTCCTGAGCTCCACTGACTTTTCTCTTATGAGACCAGCCCTCACGCAGGCTACTTACGAAAGCTACAGCTATAACATTGACCTTTAATGACTTGGCTAAATCTCACTAAAGGCTAACTCTTGCACTGCCACTGTACCCTAGAGGATAATTAGAGTTTGACCCACAGTGTCGCCAGAATCAGGGAACCATGTGGATCATTGTGGATATTTTGACCTTCAGCATCATCACTTATAACTTGTTTGACCAGTTCTTCTATTGGAATTGGCTTAAACATTTACGCTTTTACTCACATCACAGTATAGGGAATATACAGTAGGGCCACTTCACGTGCATCTGGATGTTGTATATTCAATAAGTTTACTGGCTGCCGTTAGCCATTTCATCATTCTTATTGATCAGAAATTGCAATTGACTGCCTGCCACTATGGTAATCATATGCGCAACAAGATACGTGTGGCTTGAAAGAATAAAATGAAGTGTCTCTTCTGTATGTTTTCTATACTCTGCTCTAATTCTCTAAGTCTCGAGGTCGTTAAAGGAGGGCTAAAAGATCATCTTTTAACTTGAGCATTGACAGAATCATACAGAGCTTTCTTGTAGACTATTAGAACTGAAAATAGAAAATGAGCTCATTCAGAAGTGCGGATGCGGAAAACGGGTTATTGGACATTTAGCTTACGATCAAGGATTCATTGCATATATTTTAGATCCTCATATTTTTCTTTGACGTAACGTTTTCTTCTTGAAAAGAGAAAGGTCTTTCAGTTATCCACGCGCCAAGAAGTGTGGCGACGATGGCACATTCGTCGTCTTGTTGCCTAGCCATTGCGTCGTGATGATGACGTCTCACCGTTTCCTGGTGCTTTTATTGGAAGTGAATATTACATTTCTCGCTCTTTCTTTTGCTCTTTCGTGCTCTCAGTGTTTCAAACCAAAAATATCTTTCTTTGTTTTTAAAAAGGACGAAAATAGGTATTGATGCATGCGGTCACATGGCATAGGTTTAGCGCTGGACGATTATTGTCTAGTTTTATATGCTCACCGACATGCAGGATTTTCTCAAAGAAATGAATTGAAATGATTTTTAATGTTGCATTTTCTTCCATACAGAAGTTTACATTGATTTCTCAGAGACTTGTTGGTTGCTTATTCGTGACTTGTGATGTATTTTCTTATTGAGAACTTACACTTACGTAACTCATAAGAATTGTAGTAAGCCCTAATTTCGTAATTTGTTGTATTACTTGTAGAAACAGACCTCCGGGAAGAATATTATTAAGCTGATTCATAAGCTGATATATTCTGGGTTAGTAAAGAGTCGATGTATTTGTCTGTCTGTTGGATTTGTAACTTTTCTTTTGTACGTTGATGTGTGTTCTATTCCTCTAAAAAAATATTTTATCTTGCTTCATTTTAAGTCGTGTGTCGATGTATTCTAGCTTGAATGAAAAGTTGTCGCTATAGAAATGGATATTTGTTGTTCAGCTGATTATTTGTCTTTGTCAGTCATCTCAGCATGCTTGTTTCTTCTCGGTGGGGTAATAAAGTTTTTAACGAAAACAAAATATCAATGTCGCTGCGATCTTATTCATGTATTATTTCTTAATCCCCGCAAATGCATAGGGCATGTAGAAACATGAAATTTAAAACAAATAAAAAATAAAAGCGATGTAAATGCTATGTATATATAGGCTTCCCACGACGAAACATTCTTTGTGGTCCGTGGGTGGCTCGGAGGAATTTCAAGTGCTTTATAAGAGGATTGTTATTTATAAAACTTGTTTGTGAGTGTGAAATGGATCTTGAAAAAAAGACTTTACGCGTTTTCGTTTTTGAAAGAACAACGCGAGATTGCAACTGTTCACTTGAAGAATGCTGTCCGTCCTCTCAAACAGAGAGCTCTTTATACTCGACTAACCGCGATCGTCAATATTATAATGAAAATTATATTAATTAATACCCCCCACTTAAAAAATTATGTGCTTGTGTATGATGTAACTGATGACAGCATATCGTCATAACGTCCATATTTAGAATACACAGAACTACATACTTTGAAATGGATTCTTAAAAATTGTCGCTCAATACCACAGCAATAGTCTGTAATATTTTGTGTTAATCGAATAGAGATGAAGCAATTTTCAAACGCGAAACTCTTCGTGCACTTAGTCCAATAGACACAAAAAGTTGGCGAGAATCTCGTCTTTTCTCTTTAATGCATTTTGCTCATGAAAAGTCGATGTTTAAAATATTCATATGTATTGATTTGCTTGATGTATATAGAATGATGTTGCTGTGAAATTCGCATTGCGCTTTTTCTCATCAGATTAAAAAGTTTACATCGCATTAAATCGCTCTGTTAACACTACTGCAAATAGGAAATACGTTTAATTAACAGCTCAATGCACATTTATGCAACCTGTGGTACGCAAGAAATATCCCTGTGTAGAGAAAGATTTGTGTATTCATTTGCTCTGTTGTCGCTCATCATATGCGCGCGCATCCCCGCTGTTGAGTACCCACTTCTAGTAACTGTGATTCAGGTATAAAACATGTTTAATTAAACAGAAAACTCACCGCGAATGTCTTGTTTTTCTGTTGCGTGCTCACTGAGAAAAAATGTTACAGATTTGAATCACAATTAGCTACCTGAAGTTAAAAACTCGGCAGTACTGTGCACACGCGCGGCGAGCTAATAACTATCCCGTAAACTAACTTATTTAACATGGATAATTTTTATACAATGAATAGCTTTCCCGCTGCATATTCATCATTGAATTTACAAAATGCAAGTTCAAATTCAAAATTCGAGCTCAACCAATCGAAAACAATGTCATGCCATTTCGTGCTGTAGTTGTTGAAACACATAATATTTTAAAATGCGGTTGTTTGTGCCAAAAGTACATGTTTATTCAAGGAAAATGGCACGCTGTATATTTTCATGCTTACAATTGCCAATGTATGTTTTTGCTATGGCGCGTTTTTCGTTAAAAATCTTGGCCACTCTTCAATATTGCGGTTATGACAACACGGTTTTATATTGGAAATTTTACCAAACTTTCTTCGTTTTATATATATAGTTTTAGCTGCTTGAACACAATTCTTATATATTAAACGCGTGATTGCTTTCCTACGTGCAATTGTCTTTGAAATAATCTTCCTGTTTCTCACGAAATGTAAGAAATGATGTTTGAATTTTTGTCTTTTTCATTCGCACGTTCAACAAGGAAATAGTGACAGGTCGCCCACAAACATACGTATCGTGCATAATAACAGTCTTGGGACGGAGAGGAATGTTCACTTTTAATCCCATATAAGTCCTTAAAGTCACTCTAGGTTACTAATTCATGAAAATTTATTTTATTTCATTTCCAGTGCCAAGCGCCTACATGTTTAACAACTTTTATCACGATTGTTTCTGGGGACATGTGTAAGCTTTTAATATTCATTGGAATGTAGCTATTGCACCCTCTCTAAGATGTAAATAAAAAACAATTTGTTCCAGCTAATTCTTGAATCGATTTGCCATTAGTTTTTTGTTGATTTTCACAGCTTTCAAGTGTCGGTTTTCTCATGTGAAATACTGTTGATTTGTTTTTATTTTTGTGATAAAACATCGACAAAATATTTGGCCATACTTTCCCACAAGATTAATAACTTCCCCTTTTTCTAGGCCCTATATTTTTGAAGTACAAATTTCATCGCATTGATGGAGTCAAAGATTAGCGAAATGTACGTTTGAATTTTTCGATAACTGTTGTTAATAGTTTAGAAAGATTTTCCATTACTGCTGTCGGAACTTTAAACGGGGCTATCAAAATCTTTAGTATTTTGTGATGATGATCTTGACTGTCAAATATGAACCCCCACTGACTTAGATGGTGTGTGGAGTGAGAGCAAAAACTGCTATGGAATTTCGGGTCCTCAATCTTTCCTCTTCGATAGTTAAAAAATGTTTTCGTACGTTTTTAAAGTCTGTATCCTTAGGGTACGAACTAAAATCACATCACCTTTTAAAGTGATGTATGTGAAGCACTTGAAAAGGAATTCCGAATAGCCTCCACATCTTCGCAAATCCTGTTGTTTACAATACGTGGCATTTTCTTAAAAGCCATCATGCAAAGTTTGAGATTTTCTGGTAATTTAGATGTTACACTTCATAAATTACTGTTTCCTTCCTCTTTCATCGTTGCCAATTCGTAGTAGGGGCTGAAAACTACAGAAATTTTCAACCAACATCATCAGTGTATAGTGAAATTAAAAGGTTTTGCGATTTTATGCTGCGTAGTTTTGGAAATTTTAGAGCTGATTTTTCAAAATAGTCATCTTTTAATTTATGCTTCTTTGGCTGGAAGGTTTTCTTCCAGTTTTTTCCACCAAACTACGATTACTCTTCCATACATAAGTCTTATATACAGTTGAACACGACATCAATTCGATGAACTTCAAAAATAAATCCATCCAAATCTTGGAAGAAATTTAAGCAACATTTTTTATGTGTTATTGTGTATTTCATCGCTAAATGGGCTGAAATCTGACGTTTGTTGAGATTAGGTCTTAGTTCAAAGACGATTTTTAGAGTCAAAGGCAGCGTTTAGGCACTTACCTATTGACATAAACCAAAAAATTTTTCGAAATTCAATCAAATTGCCAAATGTTGGAATTCTCTCATGTAATAAAAGTGACTTTGACGACGAAAACAAACTAATGACGCCCGCTAAATTCAAGTTGAAATTCGAGACCCGCTCTAAATTTCAAAATGTAGAGAAGGAAGATCTGGCTGAATCTAGATAATACGTCGTTAAGTTGACGCGTATGCTTATACTTAAAGAAAATGATTAATGATGCTGTTATTCATTTCTCTTTGATGATTTAGTTTTGTGACATCGAATTTCTGTGAAAAATACATGTTTCTGTAAACTATCGGCTGTTTATCATAGAAGAAATCTGTAATTCGGAAAACGTTCGCTGTCGTTTCGTTAACTGAGTTATTTTTGAAGAAGATGAGAGTGTTTGCCTGCGAAACGTTTCTCAGAGATTTCGAATGCCAATAACTTAAAACCGTTCACAAGAGGTCTATTTTTGTATCAAATATGTATTCTCACGTGTATTCTCAATAACATAACGACACGTCATGGTTGAAGATATAATGAAATCGATAATGTGCATTTCAAACATCGAGCTTTTCGTGTGCCGTAATGTGTTACAGAGAAAAAAAAAGTAAATTCGCATCCTTTTCATTTCTTCTTTCTAGTGTGTTCGTCGTATGATTTAACTATTGAATCAGGAATGAGTTAGCGATAATTTTTGACAAAACTTTGTGACAGCCCTGTTTTATAAAGAAATCCCTGTTTTCTTAGTTGACACAGAGATGTGCGTCATTCCATCTTCCATTGACGTCAAATCGAAAACTTCACAGAGAAGCGAAAATACCGCGCCTCACGTTTGAAGAAATAAAAAAATTTAATATTTGCATTCATCGAAAGCTCGATGTTCCTTTATCGAGGCCAACTGTATGCTATATTTGGTCAGCTTGTTTGCAGTAAATTATGTTTACATTGCCTGTGTTTGTTTAATCTTAACACTTTTCTTTCTCGCGATTTCGTTTTATTCGGTTATATCTTTTTTTAAGTTAAATGATGCTGTAGATTGTTTTGAATAATGCAGCTGATATCAGTGTAGGTAGTAATGAACAACAGAGAACGAGAACAGCCTTTAAACTCTCTGAAATATATAAGAAATAAGATAACGTATTTCAGTGTAGGTAGTGATGAATGAACAACAGAGAACAAGAACAATCTTTACACAAACTCACAAACTAAAATAGGTAAGAAATAAGATAACGTATGTCGGTGTAGGTAGTGATGAATGAACAACAGAGAACAAGAACAATCTTTACACTATCTAAAATAAATAAGAAATAAGATAACGTGTGTCAGTGTAGGTAGTGATGAATGAACAACAGAGAACAAGAACAGTCTTTACACTATCTAAAATATATAAGAAATAAGATAACGTGTGTCAGTGTAGGTAGTAATGAATGAACAACAGAGAATGGGAACAGTGTTTACACTAGCTAAAAAAAAGACTTCACAATCTGTGAAGATAGATAATTAAGAAATGAACAAGAAAGTCCTTGAGTCTCTCAGTGTCAATACAGTAACACGATGTATGTATGAGATCTTTCAATAATAACTAATCACGTGTTTCTAAAGTGGCCAGGCAGTAAATGAAAAACAAAAACATCAATATTGAAGAACTTCCAAAAGCAAAACCTTTCAAACTAGGCAGATTTCCTTGCGGAAATAGCTGGTCTTATCAGTATTGACAGTGCTGACGTGCAAATTGAACGCTAAGAGGATTATTTGTACGCCAAAACACTTCTAAATTGAATGGAAAAACTCTTCAATCTACTGTGCGCAGCTTAGAAAGTGCGAGTTTAAAGAGAATGTATGTAGTCTTTTGAGCCTTTAACTGACGTTTTTGTGTTGAAGTAAGGCTTTTCTTGTTTTCTCCAGATCATTAGCTAGCGAGCCATATTTAATGTAAAGGTAGATAGTTAAGAAATGAATTATATTTAATGTAAAGACTGCTCTCTTTTTCTCTGGTTCATCAGTTTCTGTAAAGACTTTTCTCATTTTCTCTGGATTATTGGCATCTTCGTACCTAT